CAATTTATTAGACAAATAGGAGGAGCTATGTGTGCTATGTGAAGTCTAATTTATATTCTGATTTACTGTATGTTGCGCCTATTGTAACATAAATTTGTAATTAAACGCCATCACTGAACAAACATTACCTCGAATCCCCATCATCAAATCGATTATACAACAATCTGGTCCTAAAGTCAGTATGCCACTTTCATCTTACAACTTAAAGCTCCTCTGAGGAATGTTTTTGTGAAATAGAAATAGACAAACTCACACCAATGCTTTTTCGTGATAAACAAAACCCAAGTAAGACCATCAGCGACAAGACTGTACTATTTATCATTCTTGTGTTCAGTGCCTGAAACCAGTGTGAGGGGGCAGGTGTCAGCCTTTCAGCTGATGTGTTTTTGAATGAAAACAGTCAGCAGGATGTCAAGGATGTCAAAATCAATTAAATTGAAAATAAGAATGAAATATAAAAATATTTTAATTTTCCTGGAAAACGCTTTCCATTATGACAGAACTGAAAAGATGTCCCATACTTTAAAAAAAGATTGAAAAACCAAGTTCATGAGTCACTGTGTTTATTAAAATCATTTATGTGATGTTAGAGTCAGCATCTACACATCTCATGTATATGTAAAATTATTACATTAAAATTTTAATGTGCACTGATCAGAGACTTTGTCAGGGTCTGTTTAAATGCATGTCAGTTTTCAGACCTGTGGGCATGCAGCCTGTCCTTCAGTCACGTTCAGAATTTCTAACAGCCCCGCCGCTCTTTCCTTGTTTTTGGCCTATCAACACTTGTGTTGAGTTTGAGTGCCTGCGAGTGGTGATGAGGTCAAAAGCTACTCAGCCAGAAGGTCAAGAAAAGAAAGAGAGAGAGAATAAGAGACAGTATGTACATGTAATTTGTTTGTTTTCTACAAAGAGAAAAAACTTGAACAGAGATAGACAAAGACGATAAGGATGTGGTCGTCTGCCTTTTACCTGAGTTGTTACTGTTAACATGATACTTACCTGATGCATTAAAAAATATACATGATTGCTGTGTATGTAATTATAAAGTTCAGTGAATTTTTCATCGAGAATTATCCAATCCAAATGTTTTAACTGCGTTTGAAGAGTATGAGGCACTTTGTAAATTTCTGTTTTTTAGAAGTGCTATAAAAAATAAAGTTATTATTGATATTATTATTATTATTATTATTATTATTAAAATCTGCACCAACTCCCGATTCAGGTGAACCAATGAACAAATAGAGAACCTGGATATCTGTGAGGAGATGATGACTTACGTGTGTCTGTAGGTACACGTGTGTATATACAGGTATGTTATCTTATATTCTTTTTCTGTTAAAGACACTGTTTTAGTGTTGAGCAATGTGCTGTTATGTTTATGGGTTGGGCTCTGTGTGAATATACATGCATTGTTTGTTTTTGGTATGTGTAATTGTGATCAATATGGTTGTTTTGTTTGTGCTAAAGTTTGATATCTTCTGTAAAATGTTTAATATATAAAAGTTGAATAAAAACTTCAATTACAAAGAGAACCTGGGTATCTGATTTACATATTACATAAACCACCGGGCACCCTGAGGTGTGATGTCTCTAAGTATCACACCCATTGATAGCTCACTGTTTAAAACCAAGCTGGGATGGCTGCCTGATTTTGATTTACTGACTGACTGTACTAAAGCAGCCTCCTCCAGAGAGAGATTCTGGTGTTACATTGATTTCAAGTCATCATTGTGAGTCTGACAGTTTCAGAGGGGAATAACGCTAAATCAGTACTCTTTTAATCCGGCTTCAGTCTGCTGTATTATGCAGGTTGAGCTAAGTGGTGACACAAACACTCATGAACTATACATATCAGCATGTTTATGACAACAAAAACACTCCCAAACATAGAAACATGTTCCTTCTGATAAGTCAGATTCAGAATTTTCAGAGTACAAACAATATGTTCATATGAAGAACATTCCTGCACATAAATACGCAGAGATATTTTGAGAGACACCCTCCTTTGCCGTCCTCGAGGCCTGTCACTCACAAACATCACCTTGGCATCCAGGGTATACCCACCTCCACCCAAATTAAAACAAGGAGGGCAAAAAGATATTTTCCAATTCAGCAGATGTGAGTCATTTCATCTTGTGATTCAAATGAGTTTGGTGTTTTGTGTGAACAGATGTCCGTACCCCGCCTCCTTTATCAGCATTAGCTGATTGGGTTTTAGCATGCAGCTTGCCGTGCCTCTGCCTCACAGGTACTAACACACTAATCTGCCTCTGCACAGCTGTGCAGCACAGTGGCGGAGGGAGGAGAGGAAAAAACAGGAGAGCAAGGGCAGAATGCAAAAAAAAAAATGGTGAGGGGCTTGGAGGGAGGAAGAAAGAGATGGAGAAGGGAGATGGAGGGAGAGGTGGGTGAGACAGAGAGCCAGAGGGCGGCCTGGAGAGAGGATGTTGGGATAAAGAGAAGAATGAAGAGAAACCGACACTGGAAAAAGAGGAGAAAAGAAAACAAAGAAGAGGTGAAGACAGAAGTGAAAATACAAAATCAGTAAAAGGGAGACAAAAGCCATTCAGCGAGCAAAGTTTGCCTCAGTGTGTGTGTTTGTGTATGTGTGTGGCGAGTGCAGTGGCTCTCAGATAATCCCTCAGTGGCCTCCTAGCCTGGAGCACCTGCAGCACAGCGAGGGTCACACTATAGTGACACACTTTCTGCTCTAATAGCGTGTGCGCTCGCAGGTGTGTGTGCATGTGTCGCCTCATCATTGTAATGCAGTTTTGTGTGTCGCCCACAGCCACGTTAAACTCCATTCTGCACTCCCACTCCTCTGAACTGGGGTGTTAGATATCTGTGAGTGTGCATCTGACTCCTGACTCGGTGTATGAAGGTGTGTGTGCGTGTAGGACAATGTGGCACAGACCTCTGGTGCGTTTGTTTACCCAGCCATCCCGCCACAACAACGGGGCTCTTTCTGTCTGCACACCTGTTCAGCAGGCCTGACATCAGCAGCACTCAGCACACAAAGACCACCTCTGCACCCCAGAGGGGAGCAGCAGGAGGGGAGAATGAATTTGAGCTTTGGGAGGAGCAGACTGGAGGGAGGAAAAATGCAAGTGATGATAAGACAGGGAGCTAAGAATGAGTGAGAGATGGCATAGAGATGGTGAAGGGCTTGCAGAGAAAGGAGGATGCAGGCTGCGACAGAAGAGAGGTTTGGAGGAGATAAAAAGATGTTTGAAATAACAAAGTGAAGATGCGTCAGGAAGCAAAGAAAGGGTTTAAAACAGTCCGATTGAGAAGTAGTAAAAAGGGGGAAAGACGTTTGAAGGGTGGGTGGTGACAACGAGGTAAGGTGGTTGGGTGCTGTGTCCCTTTGCGTCATTCTCCTCCACCCCGGGAGTTGATCGGGTGCACTCAGCTTGTGAGCTCATTAAAAAGCACCCATTATCCCGACATTTGCACGCATCGCATGCAAAACTAATTTACTTGTAAGAAATTAAAAGTTCATTTTAATTGAGCTCGCGCTGCAGTATGCAAATTAGGAGTACATAATGTACATTGATGCGGAGCAGACAACACGCTGAAAATGGACTTAACCCTTTTGTAACAATACAGGGAATCCTTAAGTCTGAATTATAAACAAAGAATCTCACAAGAAAGAAAGTAACATTACACCAAATAGAGACAGTGAATATATATGATTTTTATAAACACATAACTATGGCAACATTTTGTATATTGATGCACTTGAAGCATTTATAGATAATCAAAAAACAGTTTTATAATACAGCAACAAAAAACTCGTGTTTCACTTTTATCAGACTAAGATTCTGTTTTTTCTTCTGTATTATAGTAGATGCATTACAAACACATGGATGTGCACGTGTGTGTGTGAAGGGGGGGGTCATTGGTGCACGTGTAAGTGCCTAGATTTGGTGCTCAATAAAGTAGTGAGGCGGTGAGAATCTATATGTATATTCCCCTGGCTGAGGTCAAAGGTTGGAGATAAAGATTGGGGTCAGGAAGTAAATAAGATGGAACTGAGCTTTCATCTTGTGTGTATATGTGTGTGTGTGTGTGTTTGTGTGTGTCCCAAGAGTGTGTCAGGTCAACCTGAACTCTGAGCTGTGACCTTTCTGACCCAGCCTCCAGCCTGTCAATAGCAAATAACATGTCAATAACATGACAGTGTCACCTGGAGCGTTCCGGTGGGGAGGGAGGATAGTTGAACAGATCACAGTGGGTGTGTGGATTCCTATATGAATCCACTCAGGGACACTGGTATGTGGGAGTTAAATACGTGCATAAGAGTGGTTTAGGAGAGATCTGCACTCGTAGAAGTTCTTACATCTAAAAATTGCATTTTCAAAACTGCTTTGAGGAGAATTTGGAAACACTAACTCTTTGTTTTCATGTAAACAAATATTCAGCTGTAGATGTCATTCTCAGATCTGTTAAATTTATTATCATGCACAGTAATCTCAAAATATCAATAACTGGAAATGCTGTGTCAGCATATCCACTTTAAAATAATAACCTAGCCATGTGCTTTTTTACAAATTCTTTTGACCAACACTGAGATGTGTAAGATTTCGTGAACAAAGATTATGGTTAGCTAAAAACAGTTTTGTGTTATCATATACAGCGACCAGCATAATTCAGTACACCCTATTAAAAGTAATGTATTACTAAATATCTAGAGGAGCAAAAGTACAATTTCCTGAGTTTTAACAAAGCTGAGTTTAACATAACATTTTATTTACTATTAGATGAAAATAAGGGTGATATAGTAACTAATATTAAGCTTTTCTCCCAGAACTTTGATTGGGTTGTACTCATTTTTGCATCCTGACTTTAAATTGAAAAAAATATATATATATACTTTTTTGTATGCAACTTAAAAATTCTTGTTTGTAATCAATGGCCTCCATTTGGGGAGTATTTTGTTGTATAAAAAAAAAAAAAAGTACTCATTCATTGAGCACTATATAATGATGAATGCAGGGAAAATTGTTTCTGTGAAGCAGCAGGCATGTTTTAGTAATGAAGGTAGTACTTTTAAATATATATATACTGTAAATGTTGGTTTGTTAACAGTAAAAGATGGCTGAACATTAATTAAAACCAACCAGCAACTTCATTAAAATGACTTTCTTCACACAGAACAAAAAATTGTAGCTAAACTGTAAAATACTTAAGAGTGCTGAGTCAGCGCTGAGTCAGCAAAGCATTTCTAGCATGCTTCTGCATTCACCCGGTGACGGCAGGTGATGCTGGCGCTCACAGGGCATGGCTGCTTGGCACGGAGGGTCGGCGTAGAAGGCGGGCGCGTTGTTAGCTGGCTTGTGCAGGCCCTTAATGAGCAAAGTGTTGATTTGGCGCTGATCCTAATAGGATCAAAGCTGTCATTTGGCTCCCCCGATGGCTGACAGGAGGCCAGGCCTGGCACAGTACCAAGAAGGAAAAGAGACGACATCACTTTCACAGGCTGTGTAAGTACACATAGTGGAACGCAGCCTCTTTTCAGTGTTTTTTCTTCTCTTCTCTTTGGCACTGCCTCTGTCTACTTTGTTACCTTTGATCTCCACTCTCCCTTGTCTGTCTCTTGGTACTGTCTTTTTTTCCACAGTTACATGTATACTCACAGAAAACATACCAAAGAGAAAATAGAGGTCATTGTTAGAGCGTTAGTTAGGAGTGTGTCATAGTCTGGATACATGTTCATTTCTGTCAGTCCACTGAAATAGCCTCAAGGCTGTTATCTCACAAACTGAACTCACCCACAGTGAGGGCAATAGGAGCAATGTTTATTGAATGTAGATGATATTGTTATGCACTAAAGAGCGTCTCAGCTGGCTTCAGCTCATTGAGAAGAATGATTTATTGTGCAAGAGTAAGTGGGGTTTATTTTGGCTTGGGAGCGATGCATGCCCCGAGGGCTGGTGATGGATTCACTCACACACACATGCATGCATTGTCACTTACAGATACACACATACTAAGTGCAACTTAAAGGCAAATGCAGTCACATTAAAATGTACACTGTTTGAGAGTATGCAGTATAAAATAAACTAGAAAATCTGAAAAAAAGCAGATACTATAGAGAGCAAGGGCAAGAGAGAGGAAGAGACAAAGACAAAGAAAAAGGATCCTGAAAAAAAAAAAAAAACTCAGTCCCCTCTGCTTCTAAATTAAAATGCAAATGTTTTTTTCTTTTTTTTTTTTGTTATCATTATTTGCCTCATCCTCTTCATCCCACATGCCACCCCCACCCTTTCACCCCCCACCCCCCCATCCCCACTGCCCACCCCCCTTGTCTCCTCCATCCTTTTGTCTCAAAATTAGTGAAGCAGAGTGCTCGGGCGGCTAATTATGTATTCAAATGAAAGAGGCTCGTTAATGTTGCACTGGGGAGAGGCAAGATGATTGGGAGAGGGTGATGGAATTGAAATGAGTGCCAGGGTGTCGTTCGCTTGCTCACTCGTTCGGGTGGCGGCGGTGGAAGAGGCGGTGGTGCATCTGGAACCAGCCGAGCACATCCCGGCAGATGTCACCTCCCGGGGGGTGATTGGAAAGCAGGGTGAGAGAGAGACACAGAGAGAGAGGGTGGTGTGTGCTAGGGGAGCAAGGGGGTTGGGGTAAGGGAGGAAGGCAACGGTGGGAGGGGGGAAATGGGGGGTGGGGGGGGGGGCTCGGTCAGACAGGAGATGCACATTCTACAATGACAGGATGGGTGGGGAGCAAGGAGGGGAAGCGTGGCTGGGAAGGGAGGAAGGGGTGATGTGGAGGAGGGGTGTATGTTTGGGGGGTGCACATGGCTTTGTTTCTGCAGAGGACACACAAAGAAGAGAAATGGGATGGTTAATTTAGCTCAGCAGAGAAGAGGGAGAAAAAAAAACAGAAATGAGCTAATGAGCATGTTGTTTTTCTAGTTGTTGCCCCAAATGGGCGCTCTGCTATGTGACCTGCTGCAGCTCGTGTCTGTAAGGAATCATGAGAAGAAGGGGACTGTGATCGTAACAGAGCTCTGGCTCTGTTTGGAGATTCAGTAGTTAACAATAAGGGATGTGTCGGTGCATTTATCGCAGGATTCCTGTGTAAATATTGAACCTTATCAACAATCTGAAGACATGAAATCATTATGTGTTAAACAGTACGGTTCACTGTCCACTCTAGTGTTGAAGTGCATGAGCAGGAGAGTATGTCGAGTTGTGCAGGGGGGGAGAAAAAAGTCCAGGCTGAGTGATGCACGGGGGCTGAGAGAGAGATGAGGTGAGGTGTTCATACAGCTCCAACCAGCCATCTGCTCTCTGTGTCCTTCATCTGACATACTTCTCACCCATATTGGCCCATACAGGCGCATGCACAAAAACACACTCAACCTGTACACACACACACACACACACATAGTTTCCTCTAGTCCTATCCTGTATTCATGAGGGCTGTCCTGCCAGCTCGCTACCCCGAGGCCCCTGGCCCTGTGGCCTGCAGCTATCATTAGAGAGAACCTGTACTCTCATTATTGATCCCCTGTCTGATAATGTTATGCATGCTCTGTCCCTAGGGGGCACCACTGGGACCGGTGGCCCCCGCCAGCCCTGTACCGCTGCTGCAAGGGTGTTCCATCAACGACATCTCAATACACACATGTACACACACACACACACACATAAACACATTCATTCTGGTCTTTCCAACCAGCCGCCACTGAGGCATGTGATACACATACCTAAACAATGCATAGGTGTGACAAGGGGCTGATGGGTAATCTGCAGGTAGAGTATTACACTGTGGAAAGACAAGGTGATGAAGGAGGATTAAAGGTTACGTACGCTACCAATCTATCTGTGTACTGTATGCATCTATCTATCTATCTATCTATCTATCTATCTATCTATCTATCTATCTATCTATCTATCTGTCGATCTCTCTATCTGATATGTTTATGTCTGTCTGTCTCACTCTCTGTTTCTTTCTTTTCCCTCCATCCCCTCCTTATTTTTTTCTGTGAATCTCTGACGGAGATGCATGGTGTTTCTAATTTGGCATGCAGACATTAATTCCAGCACAGCTGCTGCCTCCTCCTCCTCCTCCTCCTCCTCTTCCCTCCATCCTCTCCCCACCTCCTCCCCTCTGCAGCCCCCCCCCCCCAACCACCAGCCCACCCCCTCAACCCCCCACATCTCCTCCTCCCTCCTCTCTCTCCCTGAAGGCTTCTCTCTAATGTGCAGCTTCAGAGAGGCGCGGCAAATTAACACCATTTGTTCTGCGGAGCATGCCTTCTTCTCAACACTACAAGCATATCTTATGAGGTTTGTCTAAATGTAAGAGGGAGCAAGAAAAAGAAATCCACAGAAATGTTACCATTTTGTTCCCCCCTTATTCAAATCCACAAAAGATTTAAGCCCAAAATACATCTGAGGTTTTTTTTTTTTACACAGGAGATTGCAAATCATGTTACTTTCTTATCTGTAAACTTTTCCCTTTAGCAACAGACAGCCCTCGGCCTCTAACTCACCAGCACTGACAGAGATCAAAATGTGTAAATTGTCTCAGTTACAACAGCCAACATCTGTGCAACCGCTGAGAACTCTGTCGCCTTAGACAAAATGCTGCAGAAGTGCTATTTATCTATTAGCACACATCAGTGATCTCTCCAAACAAATGTTTTATTCAGACTTACACCCCCATTAGAAACAAATATCGGATTTGTCAGAGGAATAGCAGTTGAAACGCTGGACCATATGTGAGGAAAAGCGAAGGGAGAAAAACAGAGCAAAGGAGGAGGAGGAGGAGGAGGAGAGGAGAGGTGCGGGAGGGGAGGAAGGTGTGGAGAGGCAGGAGCATCTGCAGACTCCCAGACAGGTTGTTTTGGTATTCTAAGTCCAGGCTGACAGGAATATTGAATATGGCAGACCTGGCTTTGCATACTGCACACAAAGAAGCACAGACACACACACACACACACACACACACACACAAACACATATACACAGCCCTCCAGACTGCCACCTGCCCCCCCTGCAAAGACCCAGCAGGGCTCTCTCTCTGTGGGCACAGCTCCTTTTGAACCATGGGCTAATTCCCTCTTGCACTCCTTGTCCTCCTTCCCCCTTGCCTCTTCTTCCTCTTCTTTTATTTACTTTCATTTTCTGCTCCCTCCCTCTCTTTCTTATCCGACATCTCCCCCTACCCTTCCCCCCTCCTCCTCCTCCTCCTTCCTCCTCCTCCTCCTTGCCTCCAAGATAACAGCATTATTAACTGGCCTAGTTGACCTACACTCCTGATAAACTCATCCCACAGAGGAGCCCTGCTTTTCTATCCCCGCTGCAGTCGGAGGATTACTATCTCCCAGACCAAAGGAGACCATAAACACTGAGTGATCAGAACAGAGTCTACCTGGAATCAGATGGTAAACACAGATACACACACTTGCGGAGAGAGTGTGTGAAAATAACAAAAGTAATTAATGAGGAGAAGAGAAGAATATGCAGAGCGAGTATCTAAAACCAAACGTTAAAAATAAAATGTTTACAGCTGCTTGAAATCAAAGAATTATATTAGCTGCTAATTAGCCGATGATGTAAATGCAATTGATTAGCTGGAGTGGAAATAGTGTCGGATGTGGGCCAGAGAGTAGTCAGCTGTGCCTCAGCTGGGAGAGAGCTGAATAACCTCTTTAGTGCAGGTGCATGCTGGGAGACTGCAGGGGAATCAGTCTTGGAAACTAAACAACTGCTTGGCATCAAAAGCGAAATCCTTCTTTTTTGCCTTTCTTCACCATTTTCTCTGGGTAGGCCAGATAAAAGGTAAGTCTGAGGGGAAAAGATGAGTAATCGAGTCAGAGAGTGAACTGTTGAGGGAGAGATATGAGTTAGACTAAGACAGACATGCTGGCTGAGTACATACTTGAGGGTACGGACAATAAAAAAAAATAAGGAGAAAGAGAGGAGAGAGAAAGAAGGAGAGGAAAGTAGAGACTACGAAAGGAGGGATCAAGTGTTGCTGCTCTTGGAAAGCTGCCGCCACATCTGCTCGTCCATGATGTCTGCGCTGCAGCCGTCAGCTGTCATTTTGGACTGCAGTCAAGTGGAGCAGAGGTACCGCCTGGCTCACTGCCTCCCGGCCTCCTTTTGTACCCGGGAAGCTGGTTTGTCTTTCCACTGCTCTGAAATGATCCTTCTCCTCCCTCTAGCCATCCTTTCACCTTTCCCTCCTCACCCTATAACCCTCTGGAACCGTCATTTCTTTGTGTACAGCTGACACCTTCAAGTTCCTCTCGCTAAGATTTGCCATTGCCTGGTCAAAGAGGTAAATCATTAATGTTTCTCAGACATCTGCTAATAACTAATGGCCCCCCAAACCTCTGCCCAAACAACAAGCTGATCCATCATGAAAAAAACGTCCATAACAGCCAAACAGGATGCATTACGGTAGAGCATTTAGCCCAATTATCACCACCAAACAAAGAATTTAAGTGTCCCAATGCATTAGGCAGGGTTGTAAATAATGGCATTGTATTTAAGCACTACCATTAGGCTTCACAGACAAACATCAGTTATTCAACATCTATTCACTCCCAACCCATCTGCCTAATAAAAGTGAGGGGGGAGAGAGAAATCAAGAACAGGGTAAAAGAAAGGAGGGGGAGGACAGAGGAAGATCCATCAAAATACTCCCTGATATGAAGTTCGGTATGTTTATGTTTCCATGCCGATGAAAAGACACACTGTGAAGGAAAAAATAAGTGTTGAGTGACTCATGGAGGAACAGGAAGGTGAGAAGATGCCCTTGTATGTTGAACTGTTGTTGTGCATCAGACAGCCAGGCAGCAGGGTGATGAAATAAATAAATAAGTGGTCTCTGGTCTGTGCGGCGCGGTGCTGTGCTGTGCTGCGGTGCCTGGTTGCCCATGAATATTCCATGAGGCAGAGAGTGGGGAAGTGTGCTGCCTGGAACATCTGGTCTGGTCCACAGGGACCCTCGTGGCGAGAAAGCTGCAACTTCAGGAGGAAAGCAGGAGAGGAGGGAAAAAATGCCAATAAAATGAAGTGAAAAAAACAGCAGCAATCAGCAAGCCTGCGCATCATATGGTTGATTTGTTTTGCTAATTTGATTTTAAGACCAGCGGCCCCAGTCAGTACAAAACAAACTAGATGATGAATTCAAATGCAAAAATAAATCCTGCACAACATCAGGGTCACCTTTTTCCAGGTTTAGCTATATGTGTGATCAAATATGTATTTCATACTGCATTTGTATATGAGGCTATTTGCATACTTTTAATTTGCATTCAAATTGGCAAGGCTAAATATATTTAGAAGTCGGCTGTGAGGGAGTTGTTGTGTTTTGTGTTGCTTTTATTCAGGAACCACTCTGAATGAGTGCATTGCATCTGTGATAATGGTACTCACAACAGAGTTGTCCACCTCCATATTATATTAGTATGTATGCAAAGGGGAAGTAGGGGGTTGAACATGCAAAGCTCAGTTCAATAGTGCTCAATGTGAAGAAAAAGCTGTTAGGATGGAAATGTGAGCGTGGTGAAGAGCTGAGCGGCAAAGAGGGAACCGTCATCAGCATAATGCATGTGGCAGAATGCAAATCAAGTGTTACAATAACTGTGGCCTTGTTCCTGTCACTTTGCTGTTGGAGCAGTCCACACACTTGGGCTCAGATCATAAATGTGAGAGGCGGTTCTCATCAGAGAGATTAACTGTACTCCCAGAAAGGAACACTAATACTTCATAGTTATGATTCATTGTCTTATCATCACAAGTTATGAGAAGATAACTTGGGCTCAGGGTCCTTCAACTAGAATGTGTCCTTTTTTACAGTAATGAGTATCTGTGAGGAGACACAAACTCCAGTGTCTTCTATGAAAGTCAGATGCCTGGCCTCAAACTACACAACAGTACACTACTTGAATTTCCTGTCAAGGATCAATAAAGTTTTTCTTCTTCTTCTTCTACACTTTCTGAAAAGGCTTGAATTGTTGTTGCGAGGGTTGACTAGAGTCTGAGGAGTCTGAGGTGTGAAATGATACAATAAATGCAATTCTTTTGTTCATGCAAGAAGCTGAGGTCTGTTCCACAGAAAAAAAAAACTGCATTAGTTGCATAGTTTTAAACTGGTTGTAGAACAGAAAGCATTTTAAGAAATACGAAGGATGCCATCATAGAAATAACAATATAAACAAACCTTTGTTGGAGTTTGACGGTTGGATACATTTTTGAAGACGGAAAACAACATTAGAAAAAAAAAAGGAATGGCAGACAAAGACCAACAATTGTTGAAATTCACAAATAGTGAAGTTCTTGTTTTTCTGCAGCATTTTCAGTTTCGTCAAGAGAAAAGAGAATACACAGAAAAGTAGAATGAAGTTCACTGCTCTGAAACACCTCAAGGTTTTCTGCTTTAGACAGCATCTGACATTCTTACTTAAGAACAAAAATAAAGAACAACCTTTTTGCAATCTGGTAGTTGCAAGGTTGGTTATAAAACCTCGCACAGAAACTCTGCTTCTGCGGCTGAGAAACAAAAGACAGCAATTTGAAATCAATTAAATGATCTGACTCTTTGATTCAACCTGTAAAAGAAAAATGTGTTTTCATGTCTTGTAAATCTGCAGTTTATGTATGTGAATGTTTTCTTGTTTTGTCTTGATCACTCTTTTGTTACATCAGTTTAACAGATTGGTTGCACGCAGAAAAAAAAAAAAACATTTATCCAGGAAATCATAGAAGAGAAGTGTGTTTACAACCTACACATTTCTTGGTCTATTCAACAACATTAACAGTAAAAGTTACTCCTATATTTTGTCTAAATATGTTTTTAATTCAAACATTTAAAAGTCAACAAAAAAACTTATCTGCAGCAGCCAAACTGTGAAGATCCTTGTGACTCTGCAGACAGAGACATGTTCACACTGGCAGCGATTTGGCAATGGACACTAAAGAGATCATTGTTTTGATCTAAAAAAGTACTCTGCTCACATTCAGACTAGCTAAAAACAAACTGAGGCTTCACAAGAAATTATAAAACACTGGCGCTGAACTTTATTTCAGAGTATAATGATTAAGTCTAAACAGATTTAACATTCAAAGACAAAAAAACCCCATAAAACTTTAGTTTGCATTTTGAATTTCCATTTGTGCAGTTGAAGCCTGGAGTAAAGAGAAGTGGTGAGTGAGGGTCAGGGTAGGCTGTCCTGTACCCTGAATCATGGAGATCTCTAATAAGGCAGAACTAAACCCGTGATGATTGGTCTTTGCAACTGAGCACCTGAGCTCTACAATTTCTACCCCAACTTCACTGCCGTCACTCTCTGCCTGCAGCACTCCCTCTAGAGGCTTTATTTTCATGACAGCTCTAAAGCTTCTTCAAAATTGTTTGTTGGTGCCACAATGTTACAGTGACACAACATACAGTACAATTAAAAAAGAAAAACATCTAGTAAAACTGTAACTGTATTCAATCCTGTCAAGGATTTAAATAATTATTAATATTGAATAAAACCTAAAAGATTTGGGATAAAAATGTATCAAATGTTGGAACTGGAGTAAATTTCACTGGTACTTGTATGCATTGTAATTGTAAAGCACATTGTGTTGCCTTCTGTATAAAATTTATAATATCAATATGTTACAGACATCAATATTGTCGGGACTTTTTGTCAGCATTTTCAAAGACCAGGAAGACTCCAGGAGCTGATTGTAGAATTGCGTTACAGTTGTACTCGGAAGTCGGGATTTCCGAGCTCCAAGTCGGAAATTCATCTGGAACACCCCTTGAAGTCAGCACTTCTGTTTTGTTTTTGTGAAATTAAATAAGTTATATATGTCGTACTGCTTAACGTCTAACTGTGAACACGGTGCTATGGTCTTTGTAAGAGTAAAATACTGCGTTATGCGATGTTTACAACTGGTTTAACTAACAACAACTGACTGTGGCTAACGACAGCTGACAATTGTAAACAATGGCTAACAACGGTTAACAGTAGGTGTCCATCTTGGTTTTCTGACTTGTTTACTGGAACCCATCAACTCTGGTGTAACCTCATTCCCATCTCCGACATTCAATGATATCTTCACTATCATCCCTGAGCTCCTACACCACTAACTGACCCAGCTCACTGTGCCGGGTTCCACCAGTCAGTGGACCACCAACTTCCTGGCCAATAGGAGGCAACAGGTGAGGCTAGGGGCATCATATCCAGCCTTAGGACCATCAGCACCGGTGCCCCCCAGGGGTGTGTTCTTTCCACTTTGGTCTTCTCCCTGTACACCAATGACTGCACCTCAGGGGACCCATCTGTCAGACTCCTGAAGTTTGCAGACGACACCACCATCATCGACCTCGTCCAAGACACTGATGAGTTTGTATTCAGCAGGGAGGTGGATCAGCTGGTCCTCTGGTGCTGTCAGAACCATCAGAATTGTGGAGATGACAGTGAACTTTAGGGGTAGCCCTCCTGTACTCGCTTCCCCTCACAATCCTCAACAGCACCATGTCTCCTGGAATCCACTATCTACAAGGATCTGACACGGGACGCCCACATAGACCGCATCAGTAAAAAGGCCCAGCAGAGGTTGTACTTCAACCTCAGGAGCTGCTGATCCATTTCTACACTGCCATCATCCAGTCACATGTACATCCATCAGTCTGGTTTGGGTCTGCCACCAAGCAGGACAGGAACAGACTTAAACAGACAATCGGGGCTTTAGTGAAGCCCATGCAGGTAACATCACTGCAGACCCCTCACAGGCGTTACAGATCACTGTACTCACAAAGACCATTTCCTCCCTCAAGCTGTGGCTCTGATGAACTTCTAACATTTACAGAGCTACAGAAAGACCACTATGACTGTAAATGATGGTTTAACTGTTTATCTAAATAACCTTTTATAACAATGTTCACTCATAACAACTCTCCCACATATTCTCACTACAGAAACCATCCTCTCATCTGACATGTTCCTCTGCACACTATCTAATATTTACTGTTAACACTGTATTCAAAACAACATATACCTCATGTACATAATATAATGACATGTACATAATTTTCAATCACTTATTACTCCACTACTATTGCCGTTCCAGTCTTGTATATATCAGTTAAATGTCCCGTACAAGCTCGTACATATTTTTTTTATTTTTCTAACTTTTCATGTTCAATGTTTTTACATAGGGAGCAAAGTTTACTGGAGCCACATTTGTTGTATGTGTACTTGGCCAATAAAGCTGATTTTGATTGGCTGAAACTTTATGGTCTTTTGTCCTCAGAGAGACAAGCAGTGTTTAATTTTCAGGAGGAAATAATGTTCAGTATTGTTAGTTAAATGTGGAGATTTCTCTGTATTTACTGGTTCACACATACACAGAGAGGACAAACAGCCTTGTGTCTATGATGTGGACGGACTTTCAAAGCTATGGTGATTTAACTGTGGGAGAGCATCATCTAACAACATCAACATGCCCTTAGTCACGCTAGCTTTCAAATACACTCAAATATGCATTACATTTTCCCAATCTCTCTGTCATGTTAAATTGTATCCTCACCCATTCATGTAAACCTCCCAGGATCCCTGGGTTAATATAAAAGACTGTCTGTGTGTCTCTTCCCGGGGCTGAATTCACAAAATATTTTATCTTATTGCACCACTAGGAGTTCTGCTGTGTGACACACATACAGAAAGCTGCTGAAAGCATATTTTACTGAGGAATGGATAGACCTCAAAACTTTGCACAAGTCTCACCTTGTAAAATGATGTCCTGACTCACATATGTATGAGCTATCATACAGTAAATGCTGACTAGTGTCTTATAAATGGTCAGTTAAGAACAAAGAATAGAAAAATATGTACATGTTGTGCCATGTTCTGCATTCCTCTTTGCCTTTAAAGTCATGCAAATAAATAACAACTCTCTTGGCTTAAAGCACTAATATTTATCCAGGTAATCTTATCTATTTATTAGTCCCAGACACGATTTAATAGAGGTATGTTGCCTCTTGTGAAAAGGTGTCATTATTTTGAACATATTCACGACTCCTACTGGCAACTTAAACTGCAGCTGTTCAAAACTCTGGCTTCTTAATATATAATTAGCTGTAATGAAGCTCCACTTCACCCAGTTTATGCCTCATGTCTTTTACAGCTAAATATTTGTGTGAGTAAAAACACAGGAGAGCATATAAAACATTACTCTTGTAGAGTGTACTGCATGTCTGCTCTGCAGAGCACAGGACTGATGGGAGTGCAGGAATCCTCTGGTCCAATATGCACTGATGGATTGTCTGTTTGACCACAATATCTGTGGTGAGAGACCACATGAGCACACCTCATCCATCATACACAGGCACACACACACACAGACACACACACTCACACAATCAAATTCACCTTATATCATCATTCCAACCCACATATTTCCTTTTCCACCTGGGACCATCACATCAAGGGGGGAAAAAAAAGAAAAAACATCTGTCCTTAACTCCTCCTCCACAACAGACACGACCTCTCCTTCTTCACCTCTGCCCCTTTTTACACCCACACACAGCAGGGCAAGGGGAACAGCTCTGCCTCCACCCCTGTGGTCTTGCCATTGCTTCATACAATGTCAGGAGTGTACAGCACTCCAGTGCAAGTGGAGGTGTGCAACCTTGAGCTATTCACATCGAGCTGTACTAATTAACGCAGAGACAGTCAGGACAATAGTGAGTTTGAACAGAAAGGCCAAAAAGCTTAATTTAATTGATAGGAAAGGTTGTAAACAAGAAATTATCCACTGCTTTTATTATGAATGTTAATGCTGAATGTTAATAGAAGCTAAAATCATTCAAACATACCCAGCAGTGATTGATTAAATCATTTTCTGCCTACATTCAAGCTGATGAATAAGCAATTTATTAATTAAGTTACATTCAGAGATGCTCTCTGCTCTTGGGGAATGTACCAGGCTTGTTGTGATTTTAGCACTTCTTACATCTATCTACCAACCAAATGCACTGCCTTATTTTAGCACCAAGTCTATGTGGACTTATAGTGAAAGAGCAGCATATAAAGGAGAGACATGAGAAGGTAATGATTTAGTGGAAATCTGGACAAAAGAAAAATAATGTCTTTACCATATCATTCCCACTAAGCATTTTTTGGTCTAAAAGAGGTCTAATGGATGTCTAAATGTAGCCTAGACAACTGGTCTAAAATCAGGCTACCACAGGTCTAAAAATGAAAGATTTTTAGACGTCTAAATTTAGACCAAGTTTAGACTAAACTTAAATTTGAACTATATCTATTCTATGCTGTATATTGCTCTACAGCTATCATAATTATTTCTGTTAAGTACTTGGAGATCAGTTATGCAACTCACAGTTGCTTTTTGAAACAAATAGTTATCAAATAACAGGTTAAAGTGCAACGTCTAAATTCCGTCTCAAAATATACAGAATCTAGACGGTTGAAATTAGGTCTAAAAAAATAACTAGACGTCTAATAGCCGTCTATTGCTCAGTGGATTACTTTATATATTGAAATATTCTTCTATTAAAAGCTTATATCTGCATCTATTTTAAGCACCTCCCTGTCAAAAAAAATAGTAAAGGGTTTGTCAAATGCAGTCAGCAGTGCCGTTAAAACAGATGACCCGAGCCACTGAGCTGTGCTTGGTAAATGAAATCCATTGATTAAGAACTAAGACTATACTACATATAACCAGGTTAGTTAGCCAGATAAGCTGACTGAATATCAATAATATAAGTGAATGGAATTAAATGAGAATCAATTATGAGGTTTTCCAACCAAGCACAACTAAAAATATAAGCAACATGGAAATAAGAATATATGTTGGATTCCTTGTTATTGTGATGCCTACATTTTAGCTACACACAGTGATTCAGTTAAGATTCTTACAAGACAATCAGGCTCTCTGTAAGTTACCAGCCATTTTAACCAACACAAAGAAAAACATTTCTCTGTCTTTTATTATCTTATTGTCACATTTGCTTCACTTCTAAATGGATGCTAGAAATGCTCAAATGTTACAGCCTATATTTCTCCATGTAATTTATGAGCATTCTCACATTTGGGTGCTGTTTAACATGGCAGAAGTCAAACGACTTCCCGCATTCACAACATGTATTATACAAAGTGAGTGTGAGGTGCATTGCTCTACTTCACATCTCCCTGTACTCCCTCGTTCAAATCAGCAATTTAGATAGGATGTTGGTCTGTTTTCACAGCAGACGCAAGGAGTAAATTAAAAGCAGTGGCTGACAGAGAACCATATGGTAGCACTCTCTGCAAGAGAAAAAACACAGCAAAGATTAATTGATAATAGCTGGCACTTCCACCACCTCCAACCGGGATATTAGTGTGCGTGTGTGTATGTGTGTGTGAAAGTGTCTGCGTATATGCATGCAGTACATGTTTGCGTGCAGATTTCAAACAGCATGCGTATACTGAAAGGCCCAGGAGGGGGACCTGTCAGACAAAATGGTTTGTATTGTCTGTAGCATCAACATGCCTCCATTTTTATACTTGCCATCTTGTAAGAGATGCTGAAGACTTAAACAAGCAACACATTACTCATGCATGACAGCTTTCAGGGCACTGTTGGGCTCTATTATTGGATGTGGGTTTCTCTGACTGCGGTTGTTTGTCCTTGTTTGTGTCTGTGTGTAGTGTGTAGCCTACAATCCATTTATTGTAAAACTTGGTACTTTCTCTAACAGTTGCTGCTACAGGAGGAAAAAGATAACATTAATACAACTACTGAGTGTGATATAAGAGATTTAACTGGCAGGGTTGTGCAAACAATTTCACTTGAGACGATTAATCGCTATATGAAAACAAGGACTATTATATTTACCACATTTTCATGTTTGTATAGTTGAGTGGTCAGTGACCCCTACAGCTAAAGATTGGCTATTTGGATCCTGAAGTCAGACAGGTGTGAAACCCTGCAGGGGTGGACGGGGCTAGAAGGGGGAGCAAGGAGCGATATTTTCTTTGATTGGAAGGACTGATGCAAAGGAGAGAAAGAAAAGAGAGAGAAAGAGAGAGAGAGAGAGAGAGAGAGAGAGAGAGACCACTCAGGGGAAATCAGCTCTCCCCACTCATAAACAGATTCATCATCAGCTCTGACAAACCACACGCCGCATAACGATGAGCTTAAGTGCACAGAGCAGGAGGAAGAGGATGTGAGGGAGAAAAAGAGACAAGGGAGGGATAACAGGAAAACAGGAGTTATATAAATATATATAACTATAGACTGTGGTAAACATGCATCAATCTTTAATTTGTTAGCATCACTGTAGCCTGGCTCAAGTTCAGCGTTGTCATCCCAAACTTTACATCCAGATAAAGTTTCTTTAAGTTTATGTCTCCAGCTTTGAGTGACAGAAACAGGAAGCTCTATTCATAATTCAAGCTAGTCCTTTTCAGAGTAGGTGATAGTGTGATGAAGACAGGCAGCGCTATTTGGAGACATCTGCATTTTTCCTCTTTATCCCTCCATATAATTATTTCCAGTGACAGAGATTTCAAACTGGTCTAATACTGAATGTAAGCTGTGTCAGGGAAGGTAACTAAGATACATGTGATAAGTGATGGTGGTACGTGATGGCAGGCTGGGTGTGGTGCGGCAGAGGGGAGGACATGGACCCATGAGATGGAGGAGCAGAGGGGGTGCCAGGGGCTGGACTGACAGCCCATAATTACGGCTCATTTTCAGTCATTAAGCCATGGAGTGTGAGCAGCTCTCTCACTAAGGGAAGGGCCCTGATTAATAATGAAGCCCCCCTTTCCTCTGTCTAATACACATACACATATATACTAAGACATGCATGCAAAGACACACTGCAGGTAAGAATGCGCATTTATGGGCGACACACACTCCGCTCCGCTTTAAATCTTACAACTGGTGTGAAGTATTAGTTTGTTGTTTTCACTCCCTCTCACAGGTTATGAATCATACTTTGGATAGAAACACATTTAGATTCAATACAGAAGTTGATTTAAAATTCCTCAACAAAAATCTTCTTCTTCTTCACTGTTTTGAAGGCCGGGGGAGCTGTCCAGGAAATTTGTGGTGCTGAATTTAAAACCAAGCGCAAGGCAAAGCCTCCCTCCCCTTCTCCCTCCTCCTCCTTTTCCTCCCCCCCACCTCCTGTCTTACTCCAGTCTCCCCTCCAACTCCTCCTCCTTCACTCTGTTCTGGCTGGCTGTCAGAGGACCCACCGCCTCCTTTGAACTCCTACACCGGCACCCTGCAATGATCAAACTTCGAGCTGCTCCCTGCCATGAAATATTTACCACACAGAAGGGACATATTCAGTCAGTGTCGGTCGAGAGGCTGGTACAAAGGTGCAACATGAAAGAAAGAGAGAATATGAAAGGAAGAGAGAAGTATTTTGAAGCTGGAGCGCCATCCTTTCCATCCTGAAACCGCAGCAAAACATGACTATTCAGTTGGCTTTTTATTGGGTGATGTAATATACTTGAGCAGGATAAATAATTCATCTTATCCCCAAAGAGGGGGACAGACAAAAAAGTCAAGCCATAGAACTTGAAAGTGTTCTCAATGTCTTAACTTAAACTAATTCTGCTGCTTTGCATGAATTTTATTCAAGTTTACTCAATAATATGCAAAACGAAATAAACAAAATATATTACACAGACCCCCGGTAATGCTGCGAGCTTGTTTTGATGTGGTACCAAGCACCAAATATGTATGTCAATGTAAGATATGGTTCTTAATCTGGAGACTTGAACCCTGGTTCTGTCAAAGTTGTGACCCAGAAAGAGAAATAAGAACAAAGTAAAAATTCCCCAACGAATCAGAACTTTGCAGTTCTCAGTTGTTTTGCCAAAAGCACACGTCTGCTACCTTGTCACTGTTACTTGCAGGTGTCACAATCTCCCTGCTTTTACACACATACAGTGAACACACACACACACACACTTACATACACACAAACATACACCAGCCGCACCAGCAGCACCAGCACAGACAGGCCCAGGACAGAGCTGGCTGGTCCCAGCTGGTCCCTGCTAACACATTCCACTGCACCCTAATGACAGCGGGCCCCCCAGCCTCTGTGACCCTGGCCCTAACACCCCTTCATGGGCCCCCAGGGATCCTGCAGGGCCAGGAGGGGTGAGGAGGAGGAGGATGGATAGGGGGGAGGAGGAAGAGGAGGAGGAGGAGGTAGGGAGAGAGGAGTGACACAGATGAGGGAGGACACTCCAGGTGGTGGGACAGCTCTGAGGGAATTGGAAGTCATGAATATATTAACTGACAGGAGGGGGAGTAATGAATTCAAATTAAATTATATGTGCCGGGCGCCACACGAACACGAGCGAACACGCCGGGGATATTTCAAGGGGGCCGACATAATTACACCTTTCAGGAAATTTGATAAAAAGGAAATATGTGTTAGACAATCAGAGATGCAAAACACAGCTGCCAAGCTTGTGTTACACTTTTAGAAAGTTAGACACTATCAGGAAGGAAAGTGGTGTTGTTTGTGTGTGTCCCCCTCCCTCCTTTTTCCAAGTCTTTTGTTTTCTTTCTTGAATCTCTATGGAAATGAAACATTTTGTCTAATTAATAGAGTTGAAGAAAAATATATCCCTCATTTTTCAGGACATGTTTTTGAGTCATTCATGCAGACAGGTAAAAAAAATCAACACTGTAATAACTTTTTATTGTAGTGCGTCTTTTTATCGCAGATGAATCACTGACCTATGGAGCTGTTTTTCTGATCTACTTTAATTGGGTTGAGGTAGCAGGCCTCACTTCTGGTCAAATCTCATGGCATATTGGTCATGTTCCAGGCCAGAGATTTGGGCCTTATGGCCGTGGTAACAAGACAAACCCCCACAAGCCAGGAGGCTAGAAGGCGTCCAGCTGTCTCCCAGGGCTGGAACAGACTGAGGCAGCCTTACAACACCCCTTCTCCATACTCCATCCTATCCCATCACCCACTTTGTCCCTCAGTCTGTTTTCTCTTCGCCAGGGGCAACTGTCAGCCCCCAAAATCCCCTCTGCTGTGGTGTTGGGCCAGGTGACCAGAGGGGAAACAGCACTGGAGGACGATTGGTCCAAAACAACATTCAGGACAAGCAGGCCCTGAAATTGTCCCTGGCTGCAGAGGAGAAGGGGGACAGATTTGACAGGGATAGAGGCAGGAAGAGAGAGGTCAAGATGAGGAGAAGTGTTGGTTTGATGGAGTAGAGAGAGAGAGAGACAGAGAGAGAGAGGGAGAGAGAGAGGAGTGGGTATGGTGGAGTCTTCTGCACAGCCTGAGGCAAAACAGAGATAGAGAGGGGAGCTCCCCTGCCTATTGTTCAGATGATCCCATAAACAATATCCCAATCCCTGTGATCTGCTGAGTATTATCCTGTCCATACGGGCTTCCCTGCTTAACAATGAGATGAAATGATCAGAAGTAACGGACCAGATGTAAAAAACCTGTCTTCATTTCTCCTTAAATAGAAACTCTCTCTCAGTGTTTTAATGTATGGAACATTTTTACAATGAGGTTCAATGATTAAATATGATGAAAGTGGAATCATGTAACATTAACAATTTCCTGCACAATGCATCATATATGAAAAGTGGAGAAGTAGTGGTAGGTAATGGGTTGTCTGCACGTTGACACATTGTGTTAATTATGGATTCTGAAGGCCAATTAAAAACCACAGTCACACAGGGCTTTGTTTCAAGGTTTCTATTATTTGGTGAGACTGGAAGATGGGGGGAGATACGGCGCAAGGCAGACGAAGATAAACGCGGAGTGAGATGACGCGGGGATAACCGGTTATCTCAGCTTTCACATGCCTTCAGCTTTGTCCTTCCCTTACCCTCCCTCTCGCTTTCTCTATCTCGGCCTGTCTATCGCTTGAAGATCTCTCACAAGTAATCTGTTTTCCCTCCAGCCCATGCCCTCGTGTCCTCTTTCAATATAACATGCTTATTTTGGTATGTTGCATCTAATATCCGTATCTAACCATCTTCTCACACCTCTTTTATGTGTAGTGTGCAGTGAATGTATCTTTCTGTTCGTTCCCCACCCATGTTCTCATGTTTTTATGCCGTCTCTCTTTTTTTTCTTTTTGCATATTCTTGTTATCTTGATGACAACAGAACAGCCAGCATCCCTGCCTCTCACCTGGAAGAATTTCAGTGATTCAGTCCTTTACAGAACGGCGGATATTTCACCCAAATGGGAAAAAAATGGACGGATCTCATTTAGTTAAAATTAATCTCCACGGTCCACCGGTTCTCTACAGATAAATAAACAAATGCAAATTTTAATCTACACGAGCATATTGTTGGAATAAATATATGTAGGCCAGAATGGTGGCACCAGTCAAGGCTTTGTGTGTGTGTGTGTATGTGTGCGTGCACTTTGTTGCAGATTAGGAGGTGCGAGACAGCAGATGGGTTTGTCTAAAAAAGCCTCAAGCTCCAACCACCAATCAACGACAGGATTGATGTTTAGGTGACAAATTATTTCATTGGTGCTCATGAAGCTGATTATAAGTTATCAGGATCATGCCGCAGCAGTGCTGGATGCTGACAAGTGAAAAAAAATAATAAACAAAACCAACTCATTCAACCTCTCAAGAAAATTTGGAGGGATTACAGCAACCCTACAAAAGCAAATTGGCTCATAAAGATGCAAAGATATAAGTCGAGTGATAAAGTGTTTGAGGATATGTTTTTTGTACGCCTCAATGAGACAGCTGCTCGTCCAACCTCAGCTTCCCCTCATACATAAGTATATGACCATATCTTGCTGTGTCAGTTCTATGTCTGTGAGCGTGTGTGTGTGTGTGTGTGTGTGTGTGTGTGCATGTGTGACAGATGAACACAGACTAGTGTATGAGCAGAGAGGCTGATGACAATGACAGGACTTGATGAGCAGATATAGCTCGCTGCTGATGCCCTGGCCATATGGCCGGGTATTGTTGTGCCTCCCCCTCACCACCACAGATGGTGCCCGCAGCAACACAACACAACAAAAAAAACTAAGCCATTGTCTTACCAGTAGCAATCATAATAAGGGGAAGGAGGCAGACTGGCAGGAAAAAAAATAATTACTTCTGCAGTCAGGAAAAAATCTGTTCTTCTTCGGCACTGGTGTCCAGAAGGGCAGATTCCTGAGAGAAAGCACCCAGAGTGGTTGTTGGTAATTGACTGATATGGAAATGATTGCCTAATTATACCCAGCACACAGGAGTGGAGGGCCGCCTACACAGTCACTGCCCCATGACCCGCTTTCTGACAAACTGTCACTTCATCTCGCCACATCACTCAGGGGCTTATCAAATATGACCCCAAAATAGACAAGCGATAATATACACACAGGCAGGGCTGAGTATATGCACACACACACGCATACACACACTTGAACACTTGCAAGCCTGATACACACATAGACATATGCTTTTACACTCACACTTTAGTGTAAGTGTGTGAATATTATGACACATATGTGTCTTCATAAATAACCAGTGAGTACAGTAATAAGCCTTGGAGTCATGTCAAAACTCAGAATCACTGTAACAGAAACCTTTACCATCAAGAAGAGAGATCTAATGACTCTTTAAGCAAGATACAACTCATTAGCTATGCGCATACTTCTCTCTTCACTTTGAAACATTATGATCATACTATTGTGCACACATGATGGGTGTATGACTCACTGTGTGCACTGTGGAGCAGACTCTCCCTGCAGTTTAAATACTATGTATGCCATGTTGCAGTGAGTCCACTAATTTCATTCATTCACCATTTTATCAAAATAGAGCCATGGGTATTCTTTGCCTAGTTCATTCAAACTGCTTCCCATTGTTCACAAGTTATTCATGTAGCCTTAAATCTACTTTTAATTTTGACAGCTATGTGAATGGTATTCAAACTTACCCGGCAGGGATGCCAAATTGAAGCTCTTTTGACCAAAAGGAATTTTACTCAGTTGAGTCCCCAACAGTCTGGCTATATTAAAGTAGTGAACTGCATGTGTTAAAAAAATTCAGTGGAAATTTGAGGATAGAACAGAAGAAATGCTGTTGATTTCAGCACTACATGGGTGTGAGCCATCTCAGCAGAGAGGGGTAACTGCTACTCACAGGTTAGGGCAGACAGTGTGACCCTGGGGTATGCATAGACATTGTTTATGAAATTATTCCTGCTGCTAAAGAGGAGAGACAAAAGTTCCACATTACTGGTTTATGAAGAAATAACCCATACTGCTCTGTTGGTTCAAACTTCTTGCCTGTTGTGGGGTTTCTCTTTACTGCGAGCTTGTGACGTCTAAGTCTGTGGTTTGAAGTCTAAGACAAAGACTGATATGAACAAAGCAACCTTTAAAGAAAAACCAGCAGACAAAAGCTAATGAGCTATTTTGAAGTCAAAGAAAAACCATCTCCAGACAGTTGCTCACTATTAAAGAGTCCATAAAAAGACTCAGTGACATTATTCAGCAATGTCACTGCATAAATCGAGTGTTTTTAACAGTGATTTTCACAGCCCTAGCAAAAGCATCCCAACACTGAAGTTTGATGTTAGAGGATGGGGTTTCCTCCTGAGCACAGCTGTTATATTACCGGCACAGTTGTTTGGAATATGCACCCTTTTTAACACTTCTCTTTCACCCAGAGTCACAGCAGATCCTTCTGTCAGTGGAATATTTCTGTAATTCCCACAACCTGTCAATATATCTCCCCTCTAATTCGGGGTTTGAAGGTTTAGAAAGCCACTCTAAAAGAGTCAATGAAAAATCCAGATATGAAGAATTTCTGCATCCTCTCAATCAGCTGACACTTTAAAGACAGAGCAGACAATGTGAGTACAAAAGGGGGTATGGGCAATAACTGAAATCAAAAGAGGTTGTCGGCTGTAACTAACTTGCCAAACTGCTTTTGTTTATGTTAACGCCTAGTCAAATAAAATCCAGCTTGATAAAATCTTAATAAAAAGAAAAATGAATTAACATTTTAGATATAAAACAAGCAATGTCACTGTATCTCATAATAGAAAATACAACAATCCATAAATTTACTTGCTACCATATTGGAACTTGTCCCGAAGCGTAAAGATAAAATTCGTATAGAACAACAATAATCTAAAGTATATCAAAACTACATTAAAGGGGTCGACAAAGACCTTTCTACATCACTTGTTTCCCTTTTTTTCACCTCAGGCTGTTGACACCCCACAAACGAGCCCTTATGAATCCCAGAAGACCTAAAAAGTCCAGAGAAAAAAGAAAAGAAAATGATCCTACCTCACTTTTATTGGGAATCTTGAACCTGGTGGACCAAGCTGGTTGCTCTGACGTTGTTTTAAATGCCAATATTTGTTCGATCAAGATGAAATGGCACCTTGAATGGAGATTTGGATGAATGACAGCAGATGAGAAGAATGGGAACATGGATAACAGTCAGTCAAGGTCCACTTTAAAAAGCTGTACGGAAACACAAAAAAGGAAAAACAGACGTCATTTACAGAGGTTGTAAAAACAGTTCCATATGATAAGTGAAAATATCCACTGAGATCATCATCAAAAAAGTTCCTGCTTTACAGTTAGGGTACTCTTATTCTTAATTAATAAAATAAAAGTCCCATCAACTGTGGGCTACACACAACGCTGCAATTTACAATACCAATCAAAATTGGACAAACTGAATTAAAACATCTCCAAATTCCTGAGTTTTGTCTTAAGCACACCACTGGACTAGTTTATTTTACAGCTCAAAATCATAGTCGTATGTAGGGCTTACTCAGAGCATACATTAAGATTAGCAATGTAAACTTTTATTCAACCCTTCTCACAAAGTATAGCACCTAACTAGCTTACACTCACAACTCTGGACTAACTGCAGTGGTTCTCTTAAAAGGGACCCAAACACAATTAGCATTTGTTTATCAAATTATTCTTAAACTCATCAAATTGATTGTGACTGTTTCAGACATCTCAGCCTATTTAATTTTTCCTCTTGTAAGTGCTTTGATATGGTTGCTGAATTTTTGTAAAACAAAACACGAGCCGGGATCATCAACTCACCAAGACACCAACTGAGACAACCTTTACTCAAAGCAGCAGCACCTTGGCTGACATGTTCAGAAAAACTTGTTAACTTTGTTTGAATAAAGTTACCATAATTTCAGTTTCACTTGAACTGACATGCTACGGCGAAAAAATAAAAAAAAGGCTTTCAAGGATCCTTGCAGAGTGGTGGTTTCTGAACACTGTACAGGAAAAGATCTTTTATAAAAACAGAAGTTTCACTCCTTGTGATTTTTGGGCGCTTGAGCAGAACTACCATATACATTATTATCAGTTAAAAAATGCAGCAACTGACACATTTTATAATCAAATCCCACGTGGAGTTTCCGCAGTCTGTGATGATTTGGGGTTTCATATCATCTACTGATGATACTCCATGCATTTATCTGCTGTACAGCCTTTTCTTTGCACCTGCCCACAACACCAAAACCACCACCAAATGGTTCGCTGACCATAGTATCCCTGGCCTGACTTAAAGTGGATCCTATCAAGCTTAAAGACTCTATCAGGGCAGTCTTAGCATGGTACGCAACTCATGATAAAGGTGTCCTAACCATAGACTGTATAAACTACGGACAACTTGGTTCCGCCTACCGCCTGTATACAAATTTGAAGCCAAAAAGCTCTCAGTATTTCCGGGATTTTTCTTCATTTCCTGAAACCAGCGCTGCGCAGTAGCAATGCGCGCATTCGGCCGCGCAGTCGCCAAGAGTCACTGTGATGACGCTCAGCTCAATCAGTGTATCCTCCCAGGTGAGCTATGCAATCCCTGAACGCCCATAGACTATATCAGGTATTAATCATTGAAAACATGAACCCCATAATAACTTTTAAAAACAGAGCTTTACAGAAAAAAAAGAGGACTTGAGCACAAACCAGACTTACAATAATTACATGTCAACATCACAAGCAGGGGGGAAAATATTATGTTCTGTGTAATAACTTTCTAAAGTTTGTCCAGAGTCCCATAAGCTTTGCTGGCAGAGGCGGGATTTATGACCTATACTGCAGCCCATCAACAGAGGGTGCTGTTCTCGGAGTGGCTTCACCCAGCGAGGAGGCCGACTCTGTCCATTCTATATACAGTCTATGGTCTTCACTAAGTAGTAAGAGTATAAATGAGCACACTTTAGAGAAGTTGGATATTCCTGTTCTTAAGATTCCTTTTTGATCCATCTAAGTAAACTTTCTTTTTTCATATACTGATTTTATGATCTGCATGACAAAATTTGCACAAAAAAGGTTGGAGTATTTCACTTTACATGCAATAAATATAGAATACATAAAAGTTGACCTTTTTGAATTAAGTTACATGATCTTTTTCTTTCTTTTCTTATGGCATTCTTATTTGCTGACTTGTAAGTTCTGCATCGATGGTAGTTGTCCCTCTTTAAAGCTTGACTCACATTCAGCAGACCAAAAAGGTCAGAGGAAGAGGGACTGCACAAGAGACATGGAAATACATAGATAGGGATGACACAACAAACAGACAGAAGGACGGGCACAAGACAAGAAGGACGGTTCCTGTCATGTGGTGTGATCATGTATCAGTGGTCAGCATGCTGGGTCAGACCCTCGCAGTATCAGTCCAGAGACATCGCCACCCTCCAGATGGTATTAGTCCAACAGGTGGTCCCATAGTGGGTGGGGGGCTGAGAGGTCTGACATCTGCCACCCATAGCTAACCCCACGCGCGCACACACAGTAGCACAGCAGAGTTTGCAGCAACACCTTTTCTACCCCCTGTTTTACATTTCTGCTGCAGTGTGATCTTTTCACCTAGGGCTCAGTCTCCAACTGTATGTCTGTTTCCTCGATCTGATTTCACACTCATCTCACACATCGCAGCTCAGTGTGTTCTCATTTCCATGGCTCGGGCTTCTAACAATGACAACTCATTAGCATGTATTGTATGGCCTTGATTTGTCGCAAACTAGCAAAGACTGAGTACGGATTCGCTGCGCAGACCTTTTGTTTTATTCTGTTTTCATTTACATACAATCCTGAGTATGTTGTGGCTGTTTGTGATTTACCACAGTGCAAGATCGTGTACAGCCTTACACTCGTCACTTTATTTAATTATGTAAATAACAGTGAGGATCATAGGAGAGATAAATGCCTGGAAAAATTACTTATCACTAATAGAAACGGAGGGTTCAACAAGGCCAGCAGACGATTCCGCTGCCAGTTTCTTGATTTTTTTTGCTTACATTAGATCCACATTTAAGCACTTGAATAAAAACACTTACTGTGAGGAAGTCAGTTGCCATATTACCCATCATATGTTGCCCTATGTGTTAAATTTTTTCAGTATACAGTATACATCATTATTAGCCAAACTGAAATTTAAAACATGAATAAGATCAAGTCAAAATCAAATCAGATTTTATTTATATAGCGCCAATTGACAACAGTCGTCATCCCAAGTGTCAAAAGGTGGTATCCAGGATACATGAAAAGAGAGGAAGGTTTTCACAAACTTATTGAGCTAAAATATTATTTTTTTAAGACAAATAGTTTAGATTCATCTTTGGGCGAGATTTCCTCTCAAACATCTCTTTTAATTTGACAAACATATTATAATCATTGGTGAATATGATTATCAAAACTCAACCTTGAAACACTCCTCTTTGAAAATTTCAACATAATTAAGGGAATTGAAAACTTAGTAGCCAGCGAGACTGTTTGAGTAATCACTGATCAAAAATCATGTGAGGATAAATCGTTACTCAAATAAACATTTCAATGTTATTTCACTGTAATTAAAGTTGATTCTATTCACTGAACACTTATTTGTTCTCATTGACTTCCTTCGGGATGGGCACATAATATTTTTGATTATAATTTTGGTGGCTGTCAAATGCATTTAAGGGTTTTTATTCACTTTGTCGAATTGAGCAAAAAGAACCAGTTAAACTTCGCCCTAAAAACACAAGGATGTAGTTGTATGTAGCAGGAAAAAATTCTGCTGTCCAGGAGCAAAAAAAAAAAGGAAGGTGCAGTGACCTCACTGTGAAGGTTCAGAGGAACTTGCTGCTGAAGTTGAATTATTCATCAGACATCATCGCCATTCTTCTCTACCTACAACTGACAGGTGTCTAGGTAAGTCCATATGGCTTTTGCACCTCAATACACAAACACACACACACACACGTTCACAAGCACACATACACACACACACACACACTCTTGACATAGTACCAATCATCTGTTCACAACCCTTAACACCCCCACCTTCCTGTCCCTGCTTGTGTGTGTGTGTGTGTGTGTGAGGGAGTGTGAGCACATGATAGAGGTCTCATTAGCACCACAAGTGTATGGCTAAATTAGTCTCCTCGATCCCTCCGTCACACCTGCTCTCAGACCCTGCAGCTGTCACTGAGCACATGTCTGTATATCTATCTGTCTATTTATAAGTGGCTTAATGTTCATTCCTTACATGATGCATCAGTTCTGCATTTATGCCTCTATAGTGCATCCCTCTGCTTATAGAAGAGCACAGTCATCGGCATGAAAAACCTTGAGCTTAATTATTAAAATGAATGAAAATCTACACACTGCTGCACTGAAAAACAAGAGCTGCAAATACAAATAGCTACAACTGCTGCTGATAAACCTTATAAAGTAGTACTAAAGTAATTCAGCTCATATACTTCAGTTCAGAACGTGTGAGAAGATTTAAGCACCAAACTCTGGAATTTCTTTTTGCTACTTCATGTCATGTATTTCTGACTCACATTTGTACACTTCACACAACATTTAACCTCGTACATTATGGTTAGTTATCTTTCAATTCAGCGATTTTGAATTCAGGTTATCAAGTATTTTCATAGTGCGACAACCTTCCTGGTAGTCAGATCTAAAACCTTGCTGCCTCGGTAAAAGTAGCTGCTCCTGTGAGCTCTGCTGACAACTGTTGTTGAGACTAGGAGGGAAACTTTTAAGAAATTCAGTGACACTTTATTTGACAGCTAGCTCTATAACGCATTATAAATATATGTATAATGGGTTATAATCATGTTATAGCACTGTATAACTATAGTTATAAACACTGATAAATGATCATAATGCTTTATAGCAATAATCACAACACATTATAAAGCATTTTATCATGACTTACAAGGTCAGGTTTTATAATGTGTTATGCTTATTGTTATAAAGCCTTATGATAATTAATGAGTGTTTATAATGATAGTTATACAAGTTTATAAGCAAATCATAACTCATCATAAATATAAGTATTATGCATTATCTATGTGGGTATTGTCAGTAAGTTGTTATAACACGTTATAAAACGTAACCTTGTAAGTCATGATAAAATGCTTTTTAATGTGTCATGATTATTGCTATAAAGCATTATGATCATTTATGAGTGTTTATAACTATAGTTATACAGTGCTATAATGTGATTATAACACATTACACATATATTTAGAATGCATTATAGATAGGCTTCAAGTAAGGTGTTACCTACATGTTGAGTCATTAGAGCCTCCAAGAAGAGTTTTTTTAATGTTTATGAGACAGTCTGAATTTCATATTGATGCCTTTTCATGAAATCCAAAGGCAACCAAGTCCATTAGTGATAATATCTATGAATTTTTAATTGTAATGTTAAGGGCAGAAAACCAGCATGGGGGTTAGATGTTAGCAGAGCAGCTTAAAAAACAGCCTTTTTTAAACATTTCCCCTCAGAATATTCAAAATAAATGACACATTTGACCTTCAAAAGTTAACAGGATGACATTAAAATAGTGGCTTTCTAATCTTGTGTAATTTTTCATTTCATATCTTGTCAAAAAAAAAAACAAAGACAAAACATTATCAGTGTTTCACTAAGAACTAAAGCACTATCTCTACAGACAAAGTATTTCATTTCCTTCCTTAAACCAGTGAGTATTTTACATACATACATCGTGGTCAGCCTTAAAAAAATACAGCATTACACCTTTATTAAAAACCAATGTTACAACTTTAAAAAGCTGACCTTTGCCTCACGTTCCTGCTGCCTTTGGCCTTCTCTCCATTCTTCCTTAAGTCATTAAATCACTGTAACTCTTTGCTCGGCTCTTTACTGCGTCTTCTCTCTGCCATCTCATTAACTTCAACATTATGCTGTGCCATGTTTTCTCCCATTCTCGTATTGTGCAAAACACTGAACAAAGAAAAGCAAATGGACAAGGATGAAAGTGGACAAAAGACTGCTGAGTAAAAGGTCAAAGGTCACATTGGTCATGACCGCTGGGATAAGGCAGTGGGATGTGGTCTATACTGCCACCATCTTTGCAGCTTGTAAATGCTGATTAGGTAATATCAATCTGGGAGACTATTTAGTCCAACCTATTATCACAGGATCTTAGTTTTTTTCTTGTTCCTTCTTGACTACATAACTTTCCTCCTTAATGTCTTTGCTACCTCTCCACTTATGCTAACTGACACGCTGTGACCTTCCTCCAGTATACAAGCCAGCTCCCAGAGCCTGCAGAGACCTTCACAATATTGCCTTTGAACAGGGTCCAATAAACAAACAATTACAAGGGGGAAGACATATCAGGCTGAATTGCTCCACGATGGTGAAGCGTTTAATTTCTGATTTCACAGTCTTTTGGAGGAGAGGACAGGGGGCCAAGCCAAACAGCAGTCACTTTCCCAGGGACACACACACACACACACTCACACACAAACACACACACAAACACTCTCCTCTCTCCTCTCCCCAGTTTTCACACGCACACGCTCATACACACTCAGTTATTTTCATGCCCTACTGTCTTTGAGCAGCCTGTAATTTGCCTCCTGGCCTAATGTCATGGCTCCCATTTTCAATTTAATGTATAGTTGTAATGCATTGTGGCACGAGAAAAACATCCATCTCTATCTGGCTTTTTACATGCTGCTCATAACTGAATCACATTTTGAATAATTCAATTTGCAGGCATATATAATCACTAAATATTGTGGAGAGTGACCACAGTTTCAATGCTCACCTAATGGATTGATTCAGTTATAACAGTGGGCAGGAGTAAGTAGTTTTCCTACTGGCTTGTCTAACCGCAGTGTAGCCATAAAGACCAGCATTAAGCTACACGCAGATCAATACACACCACTGAGAAGGGTGGGGGTGCTTGGGTAAGATCATGATGAAGCCTTTTTTCTTGGTGAACGTTAAATGGTCACTCCCATGTAAAACATCCTACACTTCCCTTTCCTCCTCTACTAAACAGCCAAAATAGATGTGAATGGTGAATGAGTGGTCCTTAGTGGTCTTGGGATAATTACAAGATAATAAGAGGAAAAAAAGCTATTTTAATTTTACTTTTCAAAAGAAGGACAGGTACCATAATGTTCGAAATTGTCCATTAAAAACTCATTCAAACTCTGAAGAAGAAAATGAAGTACTAGCTCTAAATTTAACCGATAATTAAACTCGCTCGTTCACATCTTAAATATTTATCGCTTAATTTGTTTGCAAGATTCGACAGGGTGCAGTATACTGTATATAGATGTAATGCTGTATTTGACTGTGAACAAAGTGAAGCCACTTGAGAAATACTCATTTTAATGCAAACAATGATGGTTAGTTCTTTCTTGCTTACTGATAAGCCCCCCTGCTAAGGTGGGAACAATACACTGAAGAGTATTCAGGGTCAGTAACTTATAGACTCATAACGCCCCCTGCCAACCTCCCTCTTTCTGTCTTTTTGCCTTGATCTGCAAACACACACACTCATACACAAACCAACACATGTGCTTCCCCACTCCCATTGTTCCCTTGCTATTGTTCTCAGTGGAATTGTGTGTATCATTGGCCCCCTGATACATCTGCCAGCCTGGATCTATTGTCCAGCAGCGCGCCACACAAACAGCCATCAATTAGGCAGCCTGCGCCTTTCTGTAGCAACGTGATTGTTTTGGCCTAGTCTCCATTGCAGCACCTGTCTTGCACATGCTGGACTCCTTTGACGGGACGTAACTTAACCCCTGTTCAAATAACCGAGGGTAAAAATAGCCCGATCATGGTCAGGTCAGCCAATGATTAGTCTCTACAAGCTCTACAAAATAACAAACAATATCAGGACCCACATTTGAAGACATTTTGTTTTCATGTGGATGAAGCACAATTGAAAGACTTCTTGAGAACTAATACATTTGAAAGGCATGTGATTAAAATGCTCAATATTTTTTAATGATCTAAAAAACATTTGTCTGATTACTGTTGTCCTTGAGGGCTTCAGATCGGTCATTGCTGATCTCACTTTAATTGAGAGTGAAGAGAAAAATCAATGACTGAACCATGATAGAAGTCACAGTGTCACAAAGCTAACACCACTGCAGATGGATCAGCTTCATCATGTTGGTCATGTAGCTTAAAGCTCCTGTGAGAGTGTTTTTTTTTTTCAATATTTATGAAATTTGAAAGGGTAAGAAAAAACAAACCATTATTAAATAGACTGGGGGGAAAAGACAATAAATGTTACATTTGACTGTCAAAAGTCAGAAGAAGACACTATCAAGCATTTAGAGGAGAAGATAAGCAACTACTTTGTCGACTAATGGTGCCAAAATCGAGACAAACTGAAAATACCTCACAGGAGCTTTAAATAAATCAATCGCCAAGTGGTGAACTTTTATTCCATGGTTGGAATATTTTAGTCTGCATAAAAATGATCAAAATGAAAGCACCCCAAAAGCGAAACCAAAACATCTGTAGCGCCCCCTGATGATTGACAGCAGTATAGGTCATAAACAGTTTGGACATGGTCAAACTACAATGTCAGAGCAGTTTCTGCCATCACACAGTAGTTACTTAACATGCTGATTTATATCCAAATTTTGGTTTCGATTAGTCTTTAAATACTACTTGAGTTAAGAAATGATGACTGACAGCTCTTTGGACGGATTGCACCAGATTGTCAGAGTCCAGGAGTAATGGCAAGAGGATATGTAACTAAATTCATCTTTCTACAATAGTGTCTGCCTCAATCCACAGACATCAAATCTGCAGAGGACTGTTCAAATACGAGGGAGCGTCGCTGTTTCTCTGGCGCATTATTTAAAAAAGAAAAAAATCACTGCTTTGGATAGTGAACACAACTGTTTTGATTGCAAGCTGATCCCTAATTGAACCTCTCATTGTCATCACCAAAGTAAGACATCTGCACTACTTGGAGGTTATTTTGGCTTCACTTTTGTGGTAGGATGTGGAGATACAATGACCATCTTTACACACAGTCAACAGTACTGACTCCTTATCTGAGCTGGAACTGTTGTTCTGCAGATTGTTTTGATCTAAGTTTGGAGGATAAATCCTTTCTGCTCAAACCCTCCAATATAAATATTCAAATTAAAGTAACTGCATCAGGAATTCTGTCTTACGAAAATTCTTCAAAAAGTGGAAAACTGTGATGGATAAAAGAAACCAGAAAGGAGCACTGCAGTGTTCCCAAACAGGAACCAGACAGCACTCTAAACATGTGTGCACAGCTCATTATGACACATGAAACAAATGCATGAACAACAGCTGACTAATGCTGGAATCCATTTCAGACCTTTAGTGTTACTATTGATCCTGCGCTGCTTTTGATGGTCAGAGTGCTCCTAATAAAGCTCAAAAACATCACACCAGGCAGCTACATAAACTTCAACTGATTAAAGGTCAGCACTGAACGGATCAATAAGAAAAAAATACAGTTTCAACAAACATTAAAGCAAATATTTTGACATTACCAGCATATTTACATGTCGCTCATAAAAATAAAAATAATAATACATACCCGAATCTGGCTGCTTTTTCAGACTTTTATTCTAACCTTTTAACAAATTATTTCCCCATTTAATTTCACAGTGAATCAATGTGAGTTTCTTGGCGTTTTATTCAAATAATACTGAATTATAGAACATAAAACATCCAAGATTAAACAGTGTTAAGATATAAATTTGTAGGCATGAAACAAAAATCACAGCATATTTTAATTCCCATAATATTATTCTGAAATGCTTTGGTAAAATATGAAGGGGCAACAGAATGTAATGAATAACTACAAACATATGTCTACTCAATGATATGCATTGTGTCTTTGTCCTCACAGAGGGAGCAGAAGTAAATATTATCATGTGTGCGAAAAGATACTGTTAATCTGTTCTCAAACTTCATGGTTTAAAAGAACCGCAGCTAATTAACCGCACACCAAAACAGGAATACATTTTAATATTGATCCCCTTATGTCCCTGGTGCATTGTCTTTGTGCATAAGTGTGTGTATGTGTGAAAGAGTGCATGTGTGCATGTGCATGTGTGCAGGCAAGAGTATGATTATGAATATTTTAAGAGCACATTTAACATGGCGAAGCCAGAGCAGGCTCGGTGAGGGATTTGCGCCTACTCTTCAGCTAATGACCCCAGGCGCTTCCAGCAAAGCTTCTTCATATTTTAAAGAAAGTCGATAGAGCTGCAGCCCAGTCAGCAGCATTAAGATTCATACAGACGCCACAGGGACCCTGAAAAAATTAATAACACGCGTGTCTAACAATCCTTCCTGCGATTTAGTGGAGCACCCAAGCTCTCTGCCTGAAATGCAAAGCAGTAATGAACACACAGATAAGATAAATTCTGAACACGCATCCCCTACCCCTCAAGTCAATGCACAAACACACTTTTACACCCACTCTTTCCTTCATCCCCTTTTCAACAAACACACCTATCAGCCTCCTGCACTCCCTGCCAAAGGTATCCAAACACATTCTGCACCCTTTAATTTTTCTGTCTACATTTTCCCGTCTCTCCTTTCTTGAAAAATGAGAAAAAGAACAAATCCAAGGGCTCCGAAAGATGCAAGATGCCACAACCCAACAAAAGCTTTTTCTCACTCACTTTGCTTCGCTGTAATGAATTTGCAAATCTGCCGAGGCCTCTCAATGCAAGGTTAGCCATTGTCTACAATCCATCTCAACAGCTCTTTACTTGTTTACATTTTGCCAGAAGTGTTCACACTCTTCTGCTTGTTGCACTTCCTGTAATCTAACGAGGAGGTTGGGAGATAAGTGTACACATACCGCGCATGTCATACTACCAAGACCACGAAAATACAAAGGGACTGGAGAGCTATCGAGATTAGTTATCAAGATAAACATTCATTCAACACTTCACTCAAGTAGGCATTGCGATGGCAATTTTAGATCTTGACTTTGGGCAGGTAGAAAGTTAATTGCACAAAATGCATTAAACAGAGTTTTAGCAGCAAGTATTAGTAGGTGAGGTGTTTAACTACCAAGAGTTTCCTTTCGAGTCAAGACAACAGTGCAGCAGTAGGCTCTGTCCTCCCTGGAAGGCTAGACAACATATGGCACTGTCTCCCACAGAACAACACACCACCCAAGCAGCCTGGCAGCCTTAGAGAGTGTGTATGTGTTTGTGCCTTTCTATGTATGTGTGTGTAAGGGCCAGTGGGGGAGCCTGTAGTATGTGCATGTTTGCAGAAGACGGAACAAGAACGACGCCTGCCAAGTTTCTTTGCATGACAGACGAAATAAATTGAGGATGAATGGGAACTGTTGGTTTCTTTCTCCCATAGCCGCATAAGCTAAACAGATCTATTTATAATCAAGCACATTATTATGGAAGATGGATTAACCAAATATTTTCCTTCACATCTAATGTAATAAAGTGCAACCACATGTAATTTTCACTTGATTGATTGAATAAGATATTATAACCCTTAGTGATGCAGGCCGGTCAGAGCCAGTGAGCTGAAGAAGATGAGAGGGTGAGAGCATGGCATAATAGTTTCCTTTTCATGTGTGAGAGTTAAAAGGGAAGGAGGAGGATCAATAAGGCATTAGTGAAGAGCCATCAAAAAAAATTCCACTGTATTTTAAAGCTTATTGCAGCCAGTAGGTCAGGAAGTTTGATATCATTTATTTAGGATGAGTTACCTTAATACTACAGTTAAATCAACTTTATTCCGTCCATTTGACCACGCTGTCTGCCTCAGTTATTCAGGGAATGTGTAAGTTACAAAAACAAGTTGCAAGCTTTTTCACCTAGCCGCTGTTGTTGTTATACAGTGTATATCCTCCATTAATGTGGAATATTTACTGAAAATCTAAAGGGAGAGCGACTCAGCTTGAATCTGACGAGATCCTGTGCCAACCCAAACAATGCACACCAACAGTATATAGCTACTTCAAATCCTCTGGTGGAGGCGTCTCTCCCTCTCGCTCTCTCTCTCTCTCTCTCCCTCTCTCTAAGGCCATGATGAGAGGCTCATGTAAGCAGCTCATCAGCAGCCTGTTTGCCCATATGTGCCTCACACCCCACGGTCCCCAGTGGGTCCTGGCTCTGTGCAATGATACCGTCTCTTCTGCCAACATGAACCATTTGGAAAAAAAAAAAAAAGACAAAACCCAATCCCTCTTCTGTTTAGCCTATTCTGCCCTCACTGGCTTGTGTCATGATCTGCACTGATAGTGTAGCCAGGCTGTCCTCTAAGTCAAGTGCCCAATCAAGGGCTGGCTTGTAAAAACAGAGGAAATATGGTTATGACTGAGCAAGAGAGGTTAAGCAATGAATGAGATGCAGAGTCATGATGGTGACCAAGACACACACATCCACACACAGCACTGACAAGAATAAATCTTTGAGAATTCAGTTGGCCAAAGGATTCATTTACAACAGAAACAGCACCCAAAAGATGGAAAAGGCAGTTGCAGTGTTGGTGTTTTGTCAAATCACCAAGGTGTGAATCCTTGGGGCCAGTATTGATGATGGCATATGCTGTGGGAAGCAGACAGACAAAAAAATCAGGGTCCAGTGTCATCTCTGCTGTGTCTTTCTGCAGGTCCCGTGTGGCAACGGTTCGCTTATCCCCCCGCCACCGCACATATGTTTGGGAAACGGAACAGTTGGACGTGGCCGAGGGCTAAAATGGGTCAGACCGACACAGATGGAGAAAAAACTCCCACTGGGTCACTGTCAGATGACTAACACCCACAGAAAAAGTGAGAGAATATGTGCATGTGTTTGCGAATGTGTGTAAGAAAGAGATAAAGTCAAATTTTGACAGATTTTAACAGCTTGACGCTGACAGCAAATCCTCTCTTAAAACGTAGAAAGATAAACCCTAACAAAACAAATCTTGAATTTCGATTAGGTCTTGCTGTGCAAATGTAGCTGAGAGAAAACCAGGAACTCTTTCGAAGGTTGGTGAGTGCCAAGGATACCTAATTTTAATTTGGCATTCTGCCTCTTGACGTCTTCTGCTTTTCTAACCCTGAACTCTTCGAATAACCCCATCAATAACTCCGGTCATCAAGTACCACCGTTGCTGTGATCCCAATAAAGCTGTCTTGTTACACAGTGCTGCTTTCAAACTTTAACTTTGACAGAATAAACTTGGTTATATTGAGATTTTTTGGAATATAAAAGCCTCTCCTCTCTGGAGAAAAATCAACTCAAGGTGCAGAGGAACTTTAAAACATCACTCGCACTGTGAAGAAGAGCTGACAATGAATCCACCTTATGAATAAAATGGACTTATCCAAGGTAACTGATGGTTAATCAAAACAGTAAGAAAAGAAGATATACTACAGAAATAGACAATGCAACATCACAATATGCTGTCAATGGTCTTTGACTTTTCAATAAAAGATGTAACAAATGAAATCTTGAAGTGGGTTACTGCGCGCATATCTCACAAAGTTGCCTTTGGAATGAGCTTTGAAGAATAGGAGGCGATCTTTAGACAAAACAGCTTTTCATTCCTTTGGTAATCCATACTGTAGAAGCTCAAATGTATTCAAAGCAGTCCTGGCGAATGTCCTTGGTTGTCAAAACCTCCATTAGAAATGGAATGTGAGGAAATAATTATTGGGTTGAAAGGTCACCCATCCATTGGTTCATCACAAAAAAGGAAGGGAATTCCTTTTCAGTGTAATCCTTGGCTGCCTTTTGATCTTTGAAAAACATTTCAAAACACAAAGAGCAAAGCTGACACTGCCTGATGAAGACCACAGAACCCAAACTGAAATACCTCTCTGAATAACGGGTTACCACAACTTGTATTTGTCCTCTGCTCACCATGAATTTGTAGCACTGAGGCTTTAGAAATTGCAATTGCAAATCTGTGAAAGCCAAGAATGTTTAGCTGTTCCAGTGTTCGGTATATACATCACATAAAGATTCATCCTCGAGCATTCTGGCATCTTTCACCTCAAATGAACCATACCATCACATGAGTACACACACAATTCCCTGTGCACAGAAAACAAGCCATGTTGTCAACCGTGCATTAGTATGTGGGTGGCATGTGCTGTGTGAGGCAGTCATATGTTTACAGTGAATATCTTGGATGAAATTCAAGTTTGCAGCTGCAGCCTCAGAATAATTCATCGCTCGCCTTTTTACCCAGGAGGAGCCACAGGTAGTTGATGAAGTGGCAGTGCCAAGACTCCCAACTGGCGAAGACGAAGCGCAGCTGCCAGGAGTCAGCGCGGCCAGATGCCGCTGCTGATGTACCATGTGTTCCAAGCAGGGCAACAGTGTGTTTGTGTGTGAGCTGGGGTGGGAGGGGAGAGAACGAAGAGCTTGCCAAGGCTTTCTCACATTGATGCCAACCTGACACATGCTTGGGTACTCCCCATGGTTTGTGTTACCATCTCAGCCTCTCACAGATCTGTGGGGGGTCCCCTCTTTCCCTCTTTCTCCTTTTCCTTCGAAGAAGTCCTTTGCCAAGATGGGAGTTGGCGCCGGCTTGCGGCCATTCTGCCCATCAGTGATGAGATCCTTTCAGGTGGTCTTTGCTGAATGGTGTGTTGGCAGCAGGCCATTGCAGCAGAATGCGAGCTTGTGCTAGATACTCCATCTGATCATGTTTTAGCCACAGCTATAACCAGTAATCCTCACAATAGCAAAATCTTTCCTCGAAACCATGTCAAAAAAGACAATCGTGATGTCCTTTGGTCCGCTTTTCATCAATTCCTGCTTGGATCCAAAAGATGTGAATGAGTCCCTCAGTAACTCGGATCCCAGTCCCCACACGCCAAAAATATGGCCAACTTCCAGGAAGCAAATCCAAAAGCATGGGTTGTCCGTGCTGTATTTTCATTTCATCATAGTGCGCATTCGGTTCTTTTTAGGTTATATTTGAGGAAAAAGCAGCAGTGGCATCTACATAAGAAGACAAAAGACTGAGTAAATACCCTGCAAATAAAGGATACACTGAAAATAACATAACTGCTGGAGTAGCATAGCATCCCCCCGAATAGCGTTTTTTCCACGAAAGGGAATGAGTGGTCTTTGACGATACTATTCCTGAGAGTGGAGGGGAGTTCTCTGAAACAAAGGCTTCAATTTCGATAGGAACATGCCATCCTTGTCTGCAGTGTAGGGGGTTTGGGGAGGGAAGTGAAAACTTTTTGAACGTGTGCCATGTCTGTACCATTCTCTTATCTGAGGCCCGCGACTGCCAGCTGGCGGCTGAATGTGCCCACTTGCACTGTGATGATGAAGCCAGCCAAGCTAGTTGGCACACTGAGCGGTAGGACTGGCATGGGATCTAAAGCCAAACACGGCTCTGTGTAGGGTAGCTGCATGTATGCTGCACTCTCCCTTCCCCTATCAACACTTCCCGAGAGCAGCTCAGCTACTTGATCATGAGGTCTTCAAAATAGGGATGGGTCCTGACAAAGCCAGAGTTAAGAAGCTCTACATGACAGACATGTCATGTAGTGATTGACAAAATAATAAGAACCATATGCAGACCTGGCATTTTAAAATCACAGCAGGCTAATTATATTTATAAAGTGAGAAGGAAAGGAAGAAAATGAAAGAAGGAAAAGTAGATCTACTGTTATGAATTCCTTAAGGGAAATTTTAACTTTGTCACTACAGAGCTGAACAAGCTCTGCTAAAACACACACACATGCACAAACAGGGTGGTATGGTCATACACAGATGCAGAGATTTTAGTGAAGGAGGTCCTGTACCTGTCTCATGAAGGCTGTCGAGGTGCTTTGAGGTGTCCAGGAGGTGTTTAAGCAAATTTCCTATACAGATATTTTTAAAAAATTATTGATTAAATAGTATATTTAAAGTAGAGTAATTTAACATTTTAGTAAATAAAACGCTGTACTACTTACCTTAAAACCGGAGCCACCGCACACGAGGTTTGCTGATTTCAAAAATGAGACCGGAACCTTTGAAACGGCGCCTGTTTCTTTCAGGAAGATAATTTCCGGGGCGCTGTCCTTCACTCCAAGATGCACCGGGTTTGTTTTAGGGAAGGTGAGTATGATATCAAGGAGGCAGTGTTCAGCAGAGGTCATGAATAAAATTAGAAATGTAGACGATGATGAGCAATAAAAAGGATTTTTACTCGTCGTAGTTTGTCGGCGGTTCGCTCAGTATCGACTTTGTTTGTCTGCTGTGTTTACAGACGGTTTTCTCTCTGTAATATCAGTGTTATGTAAATAAAAAAGTCATTTATTTGTACATACTCGTGATAACAGCAATAATTTGGAGCAGACGAGACACCAAGTTAGTGGAGAATGACTCCGCCTCATTTTTATTGCTGTATGCAGTGATTTGGCGGTAAAACCACAATAACCTGTGAATCAAAGTGAAATAAACTCCTGGGTATAAACAGTGGAAATACAACAGAAGAACACCAGAGACATTTTCTGCATTAGCACTTTTTTTTCTTTTTGTATTACTTATAATTGCAAAAACAGGACAGGAAAGGCAATACACCAGGCTGTTTTAAGTGCATGTGATCCTGACTCCCTAACCCTCCCACCCCACCAACCTACAGGGGAGTTAGTTAGTTAGTTAGTTAGTTAGTTATTAGTTAGTTTGTTAGTTAGTTAGTTAGTTTGTTTGCATTATTGACTGACTCTTGCTTGATGACAATTCAAAGTTATATATGTCCCAAAAGCTCTGTAGTAGGGCTGGGCGATTTGGGAAAAAGTTTATCACGATATATTTTTTTCATATCAGTCATTTCGATATATCACAATATAAATAATAAAATTTAACAGTGCTTATTGGTCGCATGTCTTTTGGAATACAATAACCTACTGCATCTGTGAGGTCTTTGTGTCTCTTTGTCATTTTGTCGTAAGGTGTTGTGCTAGAGAAAGAGGACTGAATGATCGGCTGCTGGGGTTTAGGTTTGCCTGCATCTGTGACTCGCTTGAATGATCAGTCCAATTTGAGTATTAGAAAAAAGATTTATTGTTCAAAAAAGGGAAAGAAAACACGCTGATACTTTTGCCTTCAACTGAAAAAGTGATATAATGAAATTAGGTTAAACAGGATGAATGAATGAATGAAGCTGTGAAAAACAATGAGAAATGGTCAAAACGGTCAACAGAAAATTATCAGTGCTTAGCAAACACAGTTTCTGACTACACCTGTGAGTTTAAGTAACCCGCCAAACATCCCAAAACCACACCCCTCAGTGACAATCCCGGAAGTGACGTACCTACAGAAATAAAACTTTCAATAGATATATTTTGGCTCCTACAGGTGCCATGGGCTCATTGCTCTGGATTGCATCATTGCATCAAGATTTGAGGTATTCCTAAACTTTGCGAGAGCATGTACTCGACATAATTTGCAGTGCACATTACTCTGCTTCATGTCTGACCTCAAAAAAACAAAATACCTCCACACCACTGATGTTTCTGTACTAGTGTTGTTGACGATGTTGTCATCTGTTGAGCCTTCATCTGCATTTCTGTCGGGGGTAGCACTCATTTTCTGTTTTTCTCACAGACAGTGCTGTCAGCTTCATATGTTAAAGTGCTATGGTTGCATGTAGCTGCAGCCTGCTACTACACAGCTGTTTTCTACTTGGTTCTAATTGAACACATTATTGGTTCAGCGCGAAGTGGACCCGGAGAAACTCCGCTTTACATTGGTTATTCGTATAGTCTACCAAAACATGACAAAATGCCAACTATCGAAAAGCATGTTGCCCATGTTTTATACTGATATTGATATTCTTCCCAAAACACTCAAAACAATCCCACTTTGTTAATGAACAATTCCCCGAGATAGAAATGAACACATTATGTTTATCATAAAGTTGACATCTTCATATGGCCTCAACTGACAGATGCAAGATGTAAAAGTTTTTATCTCTTGAGTGTTTTCTGCTTACTATGGGCAAATGAGAACATAAAGCTACATTCAGTACGTTTGTGTTAAGAGGGGAAAGTGTACTTCATTTGTGCATTTTTTGCACTTAGGGAGAAAGTGTCAATCATGTGTTGTGCTGAAAAAATCAATGCTAATATGCTTTTTTTGTGTGTCTATCCACAGATGCTGCTATGTATGAACGGACAAAAGAGATCGATGATGGAGCCATCTAGGGGTTCGAGCTCTTGAGGATCAAAACAGCTGAGTCTGAAACATGCTGTTAGGTCCTGCTGCTGTGTGCCACTCTCTGAAGTGGACATTACCTCACTGTAAAGCCATTTTGCACAGAACTCTTAGCCGATTTAAGCTAGAGAAATGGTATCTGGCCTGTGCGGTTCAAAGACAGGCTCACAGATGGACTACAGTACCCTCATTTAGAGCAAACCAGAAGCCAGTATTTGCAAGAGCTCCAGTGTTTGGAGACAAGGTTGCTATCATAGACAGTAGTGGTAGCTACAGCTATAAGCAGCTCTACTGCAGCAGTTTAGGTCTTGCAGGTAGAATTAGCTCTACTCTGAACTCTGATTTGGGGGGACTGGAAGGACAACGAATCTCCTTCCTGTGTGCCAATGATGCCTCTTATACAGTTGCACAGTGGGCAGCCTGGATGAGCGGAGGGACAGCAGTGCCGCTCTACAGAAAACACCCTCAAGCTGAACTGGAGTACATCATCTCCGACTCCCAGAGTTCCCTGCTGGTGGCGGGGCATCCCTTTGCTGAAACCCTGGAGCCACTAGCTCAAAAGATGGGCCTCCCATGCCTGACGCTGCCCCCGACCTCTAATCTGGACACTTTGCATGAAGGAGAAACCAAGGAGATGGCGTCCATTACAGACTGGGCTGATAGGCCAGCTATGATCATCTACACGAGTGGTACAACTGGGAGACCAAAAGGAGCACTGCATACACACAGCAGCATTCATGCCATGGTAAATGAATATCTTTTAAACTATGATTTTGTCCACTTCTGGTTTGAAGTCTGTATATGTGGATGAGCAGCAGAAATGGCTGGCCCACAGCTTTGATATAGCAGAGAGCGGTGCAGCTGGTGCTAATGCACTTAAAGCTGGGGCTAATTAAAATAATGAGCAGTGGGGGTTGTTGACAAACCAGCTATGTAGTATGCTCTTCGTGTCTCTGATCATAAACCCTTATATCAGGGCACATTTACAGCAGTATGTTTAAAGATTGAGAGTGATTTTTGAACAATTTATTACATTCAGAATAGTAATGATGGTTTGTATACAGCAAAATACATTCTTGATAAAAAAAAAAGCAAAAATGTATTCATATTTGAGCTCAGAGATAACTTGTGTAGGCTAATATATAGTGATATTAGATTTTAGCAGATGAACCACACTGATTGTCGATGGATAAAAAATTAACTCGCAAAAACAGAAATGTAGAAATGTCAAATGAGCCGTGGAGTAGTAGTGTACATAATCAGTTGGGCATTAATTTATGTTTCTGTTGAGGCCATTAGAAACCATATCTCTATGAGTATTTGTTTTCTGTCAGAATTTCTCCTGAAATTCAGATTCTCCAGTAAACTGTTTGCCGAATAAATGAGATAGACCGGATGTAAAGTTTTAAACTTGGGTCTCCTTGTGTTAAGCCTTTCTCCAGGGTTTAGCCTAACCCTTCCCTACAGTTAGACCTTATCTTTAAGACATTGAGTTACTTCTTGTAAAAGCACCAGTCAAGGTTACTACACTTCACTTAAATCTTGCTACAAAGTCGTTCAGTCATGCAGGCAAAGGTTATCAAGAGCTCCATGTGACGAGGAAATAAAGACACACATGCATATTTCTTTTAAGTAATGAGCGTTCAGCCGCTCTCGCCCATATTTGAGTCCCTGATTAGCATCATTTTTCGTTTGTTCCAGTTGAGCTTTCACAATAATCGCTAATTTATGCCATTAAAGATCTCCTGAAGATTTTCCAGTGTTTTTTAAGCTCAAATTGACCTACATGTTCGCTAGTGTGGAAAATTAAATCACTCTGAAAGACGGCAGAGCTTCATTTGTCTCTGGCTGGCATTGGGACGTGAGTGAGGGAGTGATTAAGTGAGTCTGTCTGTATTCCTGGAAGGCAACAACATCAGGTTGTCAGAACCCCTGAAAGCTCCTCCATCAGGTTAATGTGAAAGAAGACTTAAGACAGGATTGATAGGGAAAATAGATTTATTGAATCGCCACCAAATTTGACTCGGATTAAAGATGGTGATTGCAACTGCCCCGTGTCCTTCCTAAATCTCCGATATGATTGACAATGTGTGCACATAAGATTTTTTTAAGTTTCTCTTCTAGTGTTAAAGCTTTTATTCAGTGAGAGGATAGGACAGTGGGTAGAGTTGCAACGACAGGCTGCCCACTTAGATTGCATGACTTCTGTACGTGACGCTTGCACGTTTAACCACGAGGTCAAACCATGGTGTTTTGTTTGTGTCATTTTCGTTATCACACGCTTCCTTAAACATAAAATCCCTCATTGCTTTTGTTCACAATGGTTTTCTCTTTCCTCTCACCGGGTTTGGTTTAATCTGTGCCATTATTAAACGGTATCACACAGTTCCTGAATGCTATCGGAGTGATCGAAAAGTACAATGAAAAACAGCCCATGCTGACCTACATGAGATTCTCTTTAATGTTAGGAGGTCAAGTACAGACAATCAGATCAGACACAAACATAAAGGTCTGAACCCTGCATACATGTGTTCTTTGCAAGTGTGTCAGCAATTTCCAGCAGTGTGTTGTTCAGTTCTTTCCATGCACAGTTGCCCCTACAGTGAGCAGAAGTTTCCCTGTAGTTAATTAGGAAAAAGTAGTTATTTGTTTTCTGCTGCAACCAAGTGATGACCAACAAAAGGTACTAGCAAAGACTTGTACAAAATGTCTGCAACAGTTGGACTAAAAGAGGGTGAATTATTTTATCTCTTCTGTCGTACCCCCCTCACCTCCAGGTCCAGAGTCTGGTTTCGGAGTGGGCGTGGTCCAGAGATGACGTCATCCTCCACACCTTGCCGCTCCACCATGTTCATGGTATCGTTAATAAGCTGCTGTGCCCCCTCTGGGTTGGTGCTACCTGCGTCATGCTGCCTGACTTCCAGCCTCAGAAGGTCTTGGCTTCACTTTGTCTCTTTCTTGTCTCTCCTTTCACTAACAGTCTTGAACAGAAAGAATTTTTAAGGTGTAACCGAATGAAGTTAGATTTTGAAGACCTGTGTAGACGCCACTGGGTTTTTAAAGTCCCTCCACTGGTTTCACATGAATCACTCTTTTTCTGTCCTTGTTTTCCTTTTTACATTCAACTTTTCTTTTTGTTTAATCTTTTCTCCGTCTCTCTTTTTATCAGTCTCTCCTCTTTTTATTCCTCCCTCCCCTCCTCCCTCTCTGACTGTCAAACTAAGTGTTTGGGGCTCAGTGATGAATTGCCCTGTGTGGCTTTGTATCTGACCAATGCCGACTCACGGCAGGGGCTTAAGCAGCAGATCAATCGATGAGCTGACATTGAAGGATGATAGTGCTTGTTTGGCCCTGAGAAGGGTGGGGAAGATGGGGTACTAAGTGTGTGTGTGTACAAATGTGTAGGTGTGTTTTTGGCACATATAGGAGCATGCAGAGGGTTTTTTTTTTCCCTGTGTGTATATGTCCTTTACGGCTCAATGGCAGATGGAAAGTAAAGGTCTTTAAAGGACATATGTATCTGTCAACATGGGTATTGCTGCACTCTTATAGCTATCAGTATTCAGCTGTTATCCCTGACCTTGTGTACCAAACCACAAAGCCCCTCCTCTCAGCCTCAGAAAAAAACCTTTCTTCTCCTCGTCCTGAAGTTACAGTACATTGATGAAGTGATCGATAGTCTGTCTCTTCTATCCCCTCAGATCTCTGAAGGGTAGCCTAGGCAGCAGAGGCCGCCATTGATTTTTCTGATTTCGCCTGGAGATAGTGACAGAAATTTTCAGTGCAGGAATTGTGATCCAGTAAATCGCAGATAAGTCTCTTTCAAGTGTAGCTGTTACAGGCTGACAGTGGCAGATACTAGTCACACACAGCACTGTACACGGGGCTGTATCCAACCAGAGAAATACTAGGTCGAGTGAAACAACACCGACTCGTCAACAGATTGATTCATAGGAAAAAAAAGGAAAAAAAAACAACAACAAAAAAGTGACCTCTAGATCAACCTAATTAGTGACAGTGAAATCAGTGCTCTCTGACTGGCAGTTCAAATGAGCTTAAAAATAAACAAAACAAGCTGTTTGCAGCATTTTAAATGACTATTAATCTCATATTGTTGTAGTGAAACAACAATTTTCTTCGAGCTGAACCTTTCTGTATCAGTGTAATTTCTGAAAATATAACTACCTGTGTATTTACTAGGGATCAAACCACAATGAATAATAATAATAGTTAGACACAAAATAACTTCAGATCATTGTTTTTGTTTAACAGGACTCACTTAGTCCAGCCTGACCAGAGCAGAGTCACTCATATCACTGTGATTAAATTGAACTCAAAAAACACAGAAAATTAAATTTAGAGCTCTCAAATGGACAAACAGTTCATTTTTTAGATTAACATTCATCAAACAAACCAGCTTAAATGAAATGTACAGGGCTTAGCTGTTCAGACTACAACCCCTTAAAGCAGGTGAACATATGGTTAAACTCAAAGCCAATCAAGTGTTTAACACAAAACAGACCACAAGTTCTGTGCCAACGTTTACGGTGCACACACTTTTAACTTTTGATGTTTTTATTTTATTAATACTTTGGTTTGAAGACATTTCATCATTTTGTGTTTTCTGCTATTAGGAAAGAACATGAACTGAACTAAATTCCTGCTACTTTATCCTAAGCAATATGAACAGTACTAGAGTTTTTTCCAAATTTGCCCTACCACCAAAGAGGTGCAAGTGTATTATTGTTTTAACACAAGCCAACCTGCATAATCATATATTTTACATAGGGGTGTCCCAATACAACTTTTTTACTTCCAATACGATACCAATATTGTAGCCTTTAGTATCGTCTGATACCGATATTGATCCGATATTTGCATAAACTTGTGCATGACAAGTTTAACACTCAGCTGCAACGTCTTTTAGCGACTTAAACAAAGAATACTGCCACACGGCTGACATCACTCCTACTCCTTGCTGCTTTGTTTGTACCTTAGTACACACTGTTGTTGTGATCATGTGGGCTCAACATGCTGGATCCGGATGCTGCTAGCTAGAGGTGACGGAGTGGAGTCTGGAACAGACTGCTTGTATCTGAGTGCTGATATCAGAGATTTTAGATGCAGGCTGATATAATCCGATATTTGTCTTTTGGCTGATATCAGACCGATATCAGATATCACTATCATATCGGGACAGCCCTAATTTTACTCAGAGACTAATTACTTCACTTATAACTCATCATTCAAAATGGCCAAGCAATGGAAACATTAACCAAAAAAAAACAGAAAAAAAATCACCAGGCACTACCGCTCATTTTTGTCAGTGTGTGTGATTCTTAGCTCTGCAGAAACAGTGACATTCAACTTCTCATGGAGGCTCCTCTGGAGTCCCATGTTGAGCCTAGAGTTGATCATAGTTGTTTAGGATGCAGGCCATCGCTTCGGGTTCTCACCACATCCTGTCCCCCAGGTGGAGGCCAGCTCTTTGACGGACATAAATTGCCTTCCTCTCCCCTCCAGACTAGACTTTGTGGAAGCGCTCCACTGCACTTGATAGACACCACCCAGAATGGTCGGGGCACCCTCGGTTACTAATCCCTCTCTTGGTGCAAGGTTTTATTCTGTGTGTGTGCACAGGTGAGTTGGGGACTCACACACTTTTTAGACCAGGTAGTTAAGATGTGAGAAATGATGTATGGGTTTGGTTAGACTGTTGACAAATCTTTATTTTCAGAGCTGTAGTTGTCCATACATTTCACTTATGTGGGTTTATTGTAGCCAGAGGAGGGAAGAGGAGGAGAAGTCAATAGATAAAAGATTAGGTGAGTCTACTTCAACAAGCTGACTCAAAGGAGAGGTGAGAGGAAGAGTTTGGAAATTGTTGGCACATTAAGAGGAATGTGTTGGTTCTGTAGGTGAGACAGATGATGACAGAAACTGCATTTTTCTGTGTGTGTGTAAGAGAGAGAGAGAGAGAGAGAGAGAAAGAGAGAGCGAGACTGCAGAGGCAGCGAAGCAGGAAATTACGAAATGGAGAGAGAAGGTAAGTGAATGTGAGATAGAGAGCGGAGGGGAGTGAGGGAGGAAAAAAAAGATGAAGGGAAGATGCAGGGTCAGAGATGAAAGTAAGGGAATGAAAACGAAGCACTTGGAGAACGAAAGTAGATAGAAAGAAGGAGTGGAAAAAGTGAGGATAAGTAGGTGGGGAGGGGAGGGGAGCCAGCTTAGGAGGAGCGTTTGTCTCCCAAGGGGGGGAGACGGGACTTAGAGGAGCTGTCGTTCACCTTCACTTAATTCATGCTGTCGTCCCATCCTCCCATCGTCTACTGCTGTGTACCCAGACTTTGTGTGTGTGTGTGTTTTCAAGTGTGTGTTTGTGTGAAAGAGACAGATGAGGTAAAGTGGGCGGGGCTGGGTGTTAAGATGCCTTTGTCCTTGAGAAAGCGAGTTTATGTGACATTTGAAACGTATTTTCATAGGTACATGTAGTTCACGGTGTATGTTTATGTCCATTAACTCCCTGTAAGTGTGTGTTTGAAGCAGCATGTGTGTGTATGTGTGTGTGTGTGTGTGATGGAGGACATTGTAGCAGTCAAAAAGCACATTTGTCAAAAGTAGCCGTACAGAAGGCCTTTAACTGGCCAGCGTGTCAGCTCTGCCCTACAGCACTTTGCTGTTTTCTTCCTGCTGACCTTTACAAATCTCAACTTTCTTCCTGCCCTTTTTTTCTGCATTGTGTTGACAGGTTCAGTGTTAGGCTGCTGTCTGGACTTTACTCTGCCATTTACATCAAATAGAAGAGAGAATATCACTTGCACATGAGCTAAATGGATAAATCCTTCTGTGCATTGATCGTTGAGTTTTATTGCCCGTCTGTGAGGTACACCGCTCTTCCTACCTTACCTTTTCCCCTTTCTCTCCTCATCAGTTTTATATCTGTGTGTGTGTTTGTGTGTCTCAGGTGTGGGAGATGCTTTTGAGCTCAACGGCTCCCGTTGTTAACGTGTTCATGGCTGTGCCAACCATCTACTCGAAGTTGATCCAGTACTATGATCAGCACCTCACACAACCTAATGTCAAGGACTTTGTCAAAGCAGTCTGCAAGGAGAGGATCAGGTACTGGCGGTGGGATCACTGATAGACAGTTTACTCATGGGGGGATGAGTTTGTGGATATATGTGTTTGTGATATAATGATTTGTGATGAATTAAATAATTATGGAAGTAGAATTTATCTGTTCAGCTTTATTCATTGACGTAAATTAAAAAAGCGCTTTGTTACAGCATTAAAGAATTTCAGGGTAATTAAAACATGAAAAAAGAAGGAAAAAATAAAAAAACTAATTAAATCACAGTGAAAGCTTCAGGGAATCACCGTCACCAGATCTAAACAGCATGTATACCGATGGGAGGTTTTGGATCTATGTGATTCCAGTCTCACTTTTAGACTGAGCTTTCTACCAGCACTGTCAAACACTGTAGAAGTGAGTGTTTTTTGGACGCCTGGTATTTATCCCTGAGGCAGAATTTTAAAAACAACGAACAAAATTTATCGTTCTCCCCCCAGATGTGTCACCTGTTTGAATATATAAGTGCAAAAGTTGTACAGAGACATGCTATTGATTCTGTTATTTAAAGACAATTTAAAATTAACAGAGCATCCTATATTGCTTTAGATATGATCTTTGCTGTGTTTAATGGCATCACTGTTTAGTACACATCAGCTTTTTTAAATGTGCAAACGCGTTGAAAAATCATCCATATCAAATCTTAACATCTCACAACAAAACAAAACAAAAATATAACGACCTGAAACATGTTTGAACTCATTTGATGTTCACCATATTTTAAAGGCAATTATACCTTAATGAAATAGTCCTGCTGTTAAACATCATTTTTTAAATATAATTTGTCTCAGCAGGTTTTTGCTAATTACCATGGCGTTGTTAAATCTAGGAATGTGTCTTTTGCAGCTTTAAGGATTTTCGTTATTGTGTCCCTCTCTCTGCAGACTGATGGTGTCAGGCTCAGCGGCTCTCCCTCTTCCCATTCTGCAGCGCTGGAAGGAGATCACAGGTCACACACTGCTGGAACGCTATGGCATGACCGAGATCGGCATGGCACTGTCCAATCCACTCAGAGGCCCACGCATCCCAGGTAGGATGTTACAGGCAAATGCTGGATTGACAGCAGAGAAAGAGAACAGGGTGAGACATTTTAGGAAGTTATGTTCCAATATTTTCACGTAAAAGCCTCATATGACAACCCAAATCTGTGATGATGATGGTGATGATGATGAACAATAAAGCTCACTATAAGAATGTGATATCATTCAAATCTTTCACATTTAATCAGATCACCGAACCTCAGTGTAATTTATGAGTTTGTTCACCAACAAATTTGTCTTTTTGGCGAGACAAAACCAGCGGAAAGATACAGCAAATAGTTCAACTGAATTAAAACAAACACGATTTTGCCGCGTCGTCTCCCGCAGCAGAAGGGTTTGCCATCAGGGTCGGAAAAATTAGTCGATTTTTGGTCGCAAATGTCAGGGTTTTAGTCAACCAAGAATGTCTTTGGTTGATTACAGCCCTAACTGAGTGCGTTTGAGATCATTATCAGAATGAATCATAAATCAGGTGCTTTAAAGGGAATAACATGACAAATTTATGTCTTACTCTTTATGTCTTAGCATTTAAGATACTATACTGCCAGGTCATTGTCTTTATTGAGGGCTGAGGAGGAGAGGGTTTGTGTTTTTGCTTCATGTTTTTGGAGATGAAAGTTAATGTTCAGGAGCTGCGAGCTGCATGTTTGATTTGGTTGATTTTGGTTCCACTTGTTGGCTTCATGTGAAATGAGAGCGTCACTTTAAACGCTCAAATCTTTTAAAATCGTACTTCAACAACAATTTGATGGTTGAATTTTGTCAACGCATTATAAGGCATTTTTGCAGTTATAAGATCAGAGAGTGGGAGAGGACGTGAACCAAAGGGTGGTGGTCAACAGCTGCTGTGGTGAGGACTACAGCCTCGGTATTTAAGTGGGCTGCTTAGTCTGTTGGGCCATTTGCAGTACTGATGATGAAATGTTAGTGTGATGCACCTATTTCGACATGTTTATCAGTAAATGTAAGAAGTTGTTCAGTCCCTCCCACTTAAACATTACAGCCAAAGTCTACAAACTAGCTATCTTTTTGAGCCAAACAGCCTGAACTCTGAGTGTGACCCCATGTTAACTTTGTACTTTTTCACAGACATCTTTAAAAATAGGCCCCGATATTGCTCTACCTCCCTCTGCAGTTTGACTCAGTGCTTCAGCTTCATGTGTTGTGTTTGATTGTTTGGCAGTTTTCCTCCAGTGTGATGTCAGATTAAACCCCATGATCCCAACTACACCTCCCTCACACAGGCAAAAACAAAAGCAGGGTCTAGAAATGAGGTCAAAGAAACGGTGGTTGCTTTCTTCTCCTCCCGTCTTCTCCTGTCCTCCCTCCTTCATCTGCCTCTCCCTACCTTCTCTTCTTCCCTCTCCTGTTCCCCAGTCAGCTCCTCTGCTCGACACGGAAAGCTAATTAGCTTGCAAGTGGATTGGGTAATCCTCTGTCTTCTGTTTTGTCGGGGTATTGTTTTTGTTTATTTGTCAGGTAATGTTGAGCATAAACTGAGCAGACTGAGTTTGATTCCTCTCAGGTGATTATTAAGAACAGTTTCAAGACGTCTGTTGTTCTATTGATGTTTCCACTACAGCACAAAGACCTCAGCAGAGGATGTGTGTGTATGTTTGCGTGTGTTTATGTATGCAGACATGAGCCTGTGCCTGTTTGAGTCAGTGTGTTCCCGTGTTGTCTTTAAGTAGGTTAAAACGGATCAATAGAAACTATAGGAAACACTCTCAGAAGAGCAGTAGAGTGCAGTTTCCTCCTGTCTCTCCGTCTCTTAACCACAATTTCTTTTCTTTCCATCCTCCCCCAACTTTGGAGCAGACCACTCAGATCTTAATACGATTATTTATAGCAATTGCATTAAGAAATTCTACTATGTTTGTGGAATCTAATTGGCCTGATTTAGTTGTGTAGCAACAGTTCTGGAACATTCCAGATTAACAGCAGCATGGCTTTCTGGGTCAAATTTCCCTCGTCGAGATGTAAATATGTGAGATTAACTCAACCTAGTTCTTTCCATATCTTCACTAAATCACTTGGTTGCCTCTTGTGTCTTTTTTGATTATTTATTTTCTTCTTTCCAGAACCTTTTTTGTCCTGTACTGTTCTTGGGAGAAAAAAATGCATCACATCTTTCATTCACCTCCAAGGATGAAAAAACTATAGAACGAACCCAAACAGGCGCTCTGTCATTCCTCATTCACACCTTTTCCCGCCCAGTGTGTCGCGTTCACAACCTATCCATGCTCTTCAAAACGGCACTTAATCTTCTTGAATCATCGCGTGCTGACTTTTACGGATCACTGAAACTCCTAAAGCTCGTGATGAGCGAGAGAAAAATGAGAAAAGAGGCAGGATGAAGAAGTGTTGAGAGATTCCCTGAATTAAATCATTCATGGATTGTCAAGACTTTGCTGCTCAGGGAGATGAGTCTGTTTCGGTTGTTTTAGAGATTTATTGTTGATTTTTATTCATTAGAGTTCAATGTCAAGGAAAATTTGAAATTTGGTTCATCGTTGCAATCACTGATGACATTTTCTTACTATTTATCAGAGTCTAAGGAATATAGAAAGATGGTTTGAGATATCTGAGAGGGAGAGATGTCATCTCAGTTTGCAATTCAACTGGATTACTGTCCTTTCCTCAGTATACAAGCAACGAATAAGAATCAACTTATTGGTTATCATGGGATGACTGTGCCCGCTGGAGAAATGCTCACTTCCAGTGAACTACATTTGGGCCATTTTCTGATTTTCCTTTCATGTCACACTGAAACAATCAACAAACAGGTTAGTAAGAAGCTAACTGGCCGGACCTTTCATATGTACGATGTGGCACCTATTTCTTTTTTATACTGTGCTGCCCCTTTAAGGGAGCAGGGTTGGTTGTTTCTGTGTTGAAGTTACCAGTTAAAACTTCAAAAACAGTTCATAAATCATGTGGGAAAACTTTAAAAACGGAGCGATGCTAATGCGCTAGCCTGTCAATGGCATTTCCAATGTAACATTAGCATTAAGCTAATCAGCAATTTTTCGTTGGTGTTAAGTTAATTAAAAATTGAACTTCTTTATGTGGATTTGTACTATTTAAGATTATGGTTTGTCACATGTCGCATTTTCACAGTACATCAACAGTAAACGGTCTGAAAACTCATCTGCTTACTCACCTGTTTATTAAAGATCACCTGTTAGCTATCTGCCAAGTTCACAACAAATAACTAGAGCAAAATATATAACTCCCTCCTTCTTCTGATGAGATTTTGCTCGCAAGGCGGCGTCCTCCCTCTCATTTATGCTGCTTGACTTCCAGGTCAAAGCCAGAATGCAAACTGTAGAGCACGCACAGAACAGTTTAGATCGCACTGAAGTTAATACATGCGAGAGAAACTCGATCTTTGATATGTGGATCAATATAGTTATTGATTATTGGAGCCAGCCTCAAGTGGCCTCTTTAGGAACTGCAGCTTGGTGCACCTGTGCATTATTTCACACTGGAGGTTGCTGTTCAGACAAAACACACACTGACCGATCACAGTCTTAAACAAAACTATAAAACAAAATAAATATCTTAGCTGATAATCTTTGGGATTTATCTCCAAATCGAGTGGTTTGAATTAATCTCAGCCATCTCTCTCTACTTCAATCAATCAATCAATCAATCAAACTTTATTTATATAGCACCTTTCATGCTTTTAAGCTGCAACACAAAGTGCTTTACAAAGAGGTAAAAACAAACAACGTTAAAAAAAGAAAACAACAGTAAATATAGGGCACTTAAATAGGCATAAAACCCGTCCCTTCCCACCCACAGCAGCATATACAGGCATGCACAGCAGCCCACCCCACACACACATACACGCACACACGTATCCACACACCCACACAGTAACTGTCAGTAAAAACATGGCAAGGCACTGATGATTCTGGTAAGGAAAGACCATCTATGGGAGCCGTCCACATCGAGAGGAGCCACAGCCCACCCCCACAGGGAGCACCGCCCCCGAGACCCCCCGACCCAGACAGCCCGGGTGCACCCTGCACATAGTGCAGAGCCCCCTAACCGTCTGGGCCTGGACGATCCCAAGGACCGCGCCCCCCGGGGGCGGACCAGACATACCTCCCAGTGTGGAGGGCCCCCACGAGGAAACTCTGGAGCTAAAAAGACTAGGGCATAGAAGGAATTAAAATAATATTAAAATATCTAAATGACGTAAAAATGTGATAAAAGTAAAGGATAAAATAAACTAAAACCAAATTAGAATAATGTTAGAATATCTAAGTGACATAAAAATGTGATAAAAGTAAAGGATAAAATAAACTAAAACAGTTAAATCAGCTAAAAGCCAAACTAAAAAGGTGGGTCTTGAGCCTCCTTTTAAAAACATCAACAGTCTCTGCAGTCCTGATGTTCTCTACTTAAACATTATGTAAGCTCTGACATCAATTAAGTGTCAATTTAAACCTTTACAGCTTTGATTTAAAAGATAGCCCTCTTTTTCAGGAGAGATAGATTTAGAGTGTCTCTCCTAAGATGAACTGACAGTGTTTTATTTGGCTGTATGAATAAGAATATACTCATATGGTTTTAATGGCAATCAAAAAACGAATGCTTGGTAGTGTAGTTGGAAAGTCTAGGAGCTACAGTATTCCACCATTCGGTTATATAGTTGCAGCTAAACCCCGGTCAGAGTGTCCTTGAACATCACGTAGAAGCCCTTATATCCAGTCTCCTTTGTGCGACTCTAATGAAAAAAAGATACCACACACACCTTGTTTTCTAGGTTTCAATTAACCTTGTTGTTGTTGTTGCTCTGTCCTGAGCAGGTCAGGATGCAGTGATCATTATAACTCGGCCACATACAGCTTTTCAGACCCTCTGACTCTTGCTTGGTTGTTATCCTGCTTGTCCGCAGAGAAATAACCTGGTTACTCTCCAGCCCAGTTGTTTTTTTCACTGCCGGACTGAGTGCAAATGATGGCGGGTGTGTGAGAGACATCGCCAATCAGGACTGGAGTGGATTAGATCAATATGAAGTGAGAGAATCACTCTTTAATCAGGACCTGACCTGCTCTTTATTGGGAGAGCAGCGGTCTGTGAAATGACATAAGAGCCTCGAAGGCAGGCTCTCACACACACACACACACACACACACACACAAGCATATGCACACGCATACGCACACACGCAAAAGAGCACTGAGACCTTCTCTGTGTATCCCCTGTGCACTCTTTGCTATAATTACTTAACTCAGGAGGTCACACTTGCACACGTACAGACAGAGACAGCAGGTGATGTCGGTACATGTGGGAATTTCCAAGCGGAAGCATTTTTCTCTCACATATTATCACATAAAAGTTTCACTTAAACATTCCTGCTCCTTGTGGTTATATAAACAGCCTCTACATATTTGACACTCAGTTCTTATTTTATTTCATAATTTGCCGTCTCACTTAATACAATTTAGTGCAACTGTGCTGAAATAAAAGGTCTTGTCAAGCACTCAGCAGTAGTTCCACTGTGCAGTCAGGTCTACTTTCTGTTCAGGTTGACTATAGGTTGTGTCAAACTGCTGCAGAAGTGGAGACTTTGGTTTCAGTGAAGGGTTATGGAGCTGCATCGAGTGTCTCTCCTGCCAAGAATAACAAGTGAGCGCCACATAAAGCCTACAAAACTCACAGGAATCCTCAGAAATCCTGATCAGCTTCGCCACTTTGAAGCTAGGCTATAAACGAAGGGTCAACTCTTCTGCCATTTTGGTGATTCAAAAAAGTCTGTGCTTTATTTTACAGTCAAAAACTAGAGTAATTTCTGTACAATATGTGTTTACCATGCATGCATGTTTTTCTGCCAGCATCGGTCCCTGATTGAGTCAAGTTGACTCTTCTCTAATATATTTACATGTTGTAAATATCAGCAATTTTGTGTCTTACTTGCGTCTGACGTCATTTACCCATTGACACAGTGATGGCAAAACAATAAAAGGTATTGTGCAGATCATGGGTCATGTCATGAGCTAATGACAAATTTCCACGCAGATTTTCTGTTTTAGCTTCTGAAAATGAATGAAAGTCAGTAAAACAGCATCTTTCAGTAAGACGGGGAACCCAGGATGGTGAGTGATGAGTCGTGGTTTCCTTTGATTCAGAGAGGTTCCTGAAGCTCTGTTGTTATCAAGTCCCACTTACAACAGCAATGGCTCTCTGGGTTTGTTGGCCGTCTCACAGTTAACACACCTGCTCCACCTGTTAACTCAGAATCTCTCCTGCTCTCTGTTTTCTCCCGCTCTTCTTCAGTCTGAGGAGTTTCAGGTTCACAAAGATGTCCTCTTGTGTCTATGGTTGACAGCACTGTCAGAATCCCTCATTTTGTCCAGTTGTTTCGTCTAGTTTTATCTGTTTGAAACCTGTAGACCTAAATGCATTGTTCGTGTGTCATTACAAAAAAATAAAGCTAAATAATAATAATATCAGTGAAGCTACATTTACATTAGTTTTTGATTCAGACTTTCTTAAAACTGGTTAAAGTATGAGGTAAAACTGTTCCTGTCTGCAGCAGTTAATTGTAATACACTTAGGGGTGTCCCGATACAGAATAGATATCTAATATCTGTCCGATATCGGCAAAGATATGAATATCAGATTATATCAGCTTGCATCTAAATCTCTGATATCAGCACTTCAATATGAGAAGTCCATCCCAGACTCCGCTCCTGCACCTCTATCTAGCAGCGCTCTGATCCAGCATGCAGATCCCATAAAATCACAACAACAGTGTTTACTAAGGTACTAACAAAGTAGCAAGGAGTAAGAGTGACATTGGCCTTGTGGCAGTATTTTTTGTTTAAGTCCAAAAAAGCCATTGCAGCTGAATGAAAAACTTGCACAATTTTGTGCCAATAAAGGGATCAATATTGGTATCAGTCAATATTGAAGGCTACAATATCGGTATTGCATCAGAAGTCAAAAAGTTGTATCGGGACACCTCTAAATACACTATCTATCAACAAGTACCTCATACAACCCCACACCTTTTAAGTGCTACTCTGGGAGGGACCAGTTCAGTCCCCTGGATCTGTTACTGTACCCTGGATCTGTTCTTCATCCTTTTTAATAAAAAAGCAGCACATTGGGAGAGTTTACTTGATGTTGTGGTAAAAACAGCTGCATCAGGAATTGTCATCGAAATCCCCATTACTGTCCAAGTTCGCTATGCAGGGACTGAGACGAATGGCTTTCAGTTGGGTGTTTTACAAGCTCAGCAAACCATTAAGTGACCTGTTATGCCCTGCAGACAGAGGTTATAGCCCGTTCACACAGAGGCAGAAATACTTCACTCAAGGTTTATGATGACGAGTCCAACAGTTTCTGCACTTCAACATGTTTGATTTCCTCAAAAGCGACTCAAAAATATTCCATGTTGCTTTTAGTGCACTTTTTTTTACAGTCATGTGATCCTGCATGTCCTTCTCTTTGACAGGGGCGGTTGGATTGCCACTTCCCAGCGTTGAAGTTCGAATTGTGATGAATAACACAATCAACACCACAATTGTGGAGGGCAATCACAGAGAAAATCAGGTAATTAATTCACAAAGCGTAAAACACTAAAGAAGCTGTTATACTCATTTTATCCTTTTTGTCAACAGCCTTGCATGATTTTCAACTTAAAGGGCTATTCCGTCATAAATTAATTTAGGGTCAAACGCACTGCAACACCGAGTTAGACACCCCGTCGAGAGGTGAATGTTGCTGACCGCTTACTTCTCTAGTTATACCAACTTTAGTAACAACCGCACAATAGCAATACACAGCGAGGAGTCATTAACAAACCTCAACTAAAATGCCACTCTATAGCCTCAAATAATGCTCAGAACAGCACCTAACTTCATCAACAGGACATATAGGGTCCCAGCCATAGTACTAGCCACCAAACATCTTTTTAATTTGCCTAATTTCTTTAGCAAAGAGACTAAACACAACTCACCCACTCTCCTCCAGCAGCCAACTGTTTGTGGAGGGAGCCCTGATGAGTCAATCACTGAGTGTAGCGGAGTTTCGCAGCTCAAGGAAGAAAATGTATGATTATCACTTCATGGAAATGCAATCAGACCGAGATCCCACGGCAGAAGAACTACTGCGCCTTTAGTGCAAAATGATTATTATGATGATTATTACTTCATGAAAATGATCCGCTGCAATCGATGATTGACTCGTCAGGGCTCGTCACCTCGTAACCAGAGAAGCAAACGGTCGGCAACGTTCATCTCTCAAGGGGGGCGTCCAACTCGGTGTTACGGTATGTTTGACCCTAACTTAATTTTACGCCGGAATATCCCTTTAACTTTTGTTGTATAAGCTGCTATTTTAATATTACTGATAAGCCCTCAAACCCTAGGATATTCGTGATACTTTAGATTGATTGATTGATTGATTGATTAATTGATTGATTGATGTTCCAGGTATGTCCAGGTCTGGAGGGTAAAGAAGGCGAGCTCCTGGTTAGAGGTCCATCTGTCTTTAAGGAGTACTGGAACAAACCCGAAGCCACCAGAGAGACTTTTACTAATGACGGCTGGTTCAAAACAGGTACCAAACTCCTTCGCTCTTCCTCCCCCTCTTGTTTCTCTTCGCCCAAACACCAGCTCCGTACATGCACTCACTCGTTGACACGCATCCCCCTTGAGGGAGTGAAGTCTGCCACTAATTGCATCTACATGGGTCGAACTGTCAGAAGGATTCACGGCAGCAGGAAACATGTCAAAAGATTTTTTCATCTCTGCTGCAAACTGCACTTTTAAGGCTTGATTTTAAACACTTAACAACCAGGACTTCAGTCAGAGCACACACACACACACGAGTTAAGTATGTGTGTATGATACAGTGTGTGTGTGTGTCTGGTGTGCACATTTTGGGGGACTATGAGGGAGTGATAAATGGACTATGTGTGTTTTCGGTGCTGCAGGGCATTTTTCCTCCTAAGTGGTTGTGACTGCTCTGGGTCTTGAAAAACCAAGTACAGCTCCCTTGCTCATCTTCCCTTCTCTCTCTTTCTTTCTTTCGTTCTTTCTTTCTCTCCCTCATCCCTTCTTTAGTCTGTATATGTGTGTGTGTGTGGCGGCACACATGGAGGCTGTCATCAGATTCTCCCTCTCCCTGCAGCCCAGCTCTTCTCTTTCTGCCACCTTCCCAAAGGAGCTCTGCTTTACTGCAGTGCCGCTGGGAAACAGGTTGACTTGGCGGGGAATGAGGGGAGGTTAGAGGGTGCGACGGGTGGGGGGGTAAAGGGATTTGGAGCTTTTAATTGTCATGTAGACAACAGGAGAAAAGAGTTTGAAGCAAAAGAGTGAGAGGAGAGCTTGGGAATGTGTTGATGGAGGGGTTGGATGAGTCTGCTGCAAAAGACAACATGTAAGGATCCGCCTCTGTGAGAGTTGGGACAAACAAGGTGGGGATACAAACTGATGATGGCGAGGGAAAAAGGGGTTAAAGAAGGAAGGAAGCAAGGAGTGAGTGATGGAGAGCATACAGGGCGAGGCAGTGGGAGAGCAGGGCAGAGTGTGTTTAATTGGCTTTGCAGGCTGGAAGGACAGAGATCCAGAGCACAGCACGCTGCTGTCACACTCCATTACAGCCACCGGCCACATAATGAGAGCCCGTGCAATCAGCTCCCCACAGACTGCTCCCTCAAGCCACACACACACACACACACACACACACAAACACGCACACACAGTGGACTACTCTATAGGAAGCTTTCTAACACTTTCCAAGCTCCCCCACCTGCCTGATCCCCGATGCTAACTTTAACACACACACAAACATTTCCTACATGTATCCAGACTTGTTAAATATTTTGGACATCCTTGGTTTCGAAAAGGGAAAGTTCTCTTTCTTCGATGGCAGTTAACCTCTAAGAAAATCAAAATCTAATGGTTCAGCCATTATTTCAAATAATGAGCAAATTAGTTAGAAAATATGAGTCGGCATATTTAGTTTAAAAGAAAACTCTGTTCAAACTGTCAATCCAGCCGTATCAAAAATAATAAAAGAGGGACAAAAAAGTCTCATTTATGCACACAAATAAAACAACCAAAACAACTGCTGCTCTAATCTCAGTGTAACAATGACAGTGTAACAAAAAAGTCAATTCCAACATTCAATGACTTAAATTGACATCATTTGAGTTAAAAACACACAATCTCTCAGCTCAAAACTCTTCCTGTCGATATTTTGTTTTGTAAAAGGATTTTAAACCTCCTGTGAGGAGTTTTTGGCTAGTCTTGAAACAAACTGAAATGAATATCGACGCTTCTCTGTGACCTACAAAAGCAGACGAGACTAATAGCACTTATATTGATTATTTCCTATCTTGTAGTTTTTTTATGTTTGAAACTGCTGCTGCAGGGTGTCAGACAGGGATTAACATCCATGCAGAAAGAACTTTACCAAAGTTTTCCTTTGCAAAAAAAAAATCTGTATTTAAAATCAGGAAAAAGAAGAATAACATTTACCGTTGAAATCACTATGTATGCATGTGTAGATAAGAGACAAGAGTTATTGCTAAAGTTGACTAAAAAAACTAAAGATTCCCTCTGGAGCTTCAACATGATGGTTTGACATATCTTACCGAGAGAGTAAATGAAACGTTCTACTGAGATGATCTTTTATATCAGCTTTCTTCAATAATCTGAGCAAATGTTTAAATATTTGACTGTGGGGTTCTCCTAGTTTATTTACCTACATGATTATTTAACTGTGTCTGTAAATAATCCCAGCTGTATGTACAGAATGAGACACATAAAGCTGATTTAAAGGAAAGTGCAGACTCACGTGTTCAGTAAACCCCCACACAAGTTTGTGTTATCTCTACACACACTCCTGCATGTCCACACAAACCCTCTCAGTGTGGACTAGAGGGGGCTAAGTGTTAAAAGGAGACTTCTTGCACTTAACCCACTCTTAGCTTCCTACCTCCCGTGTCTCATTGTTACCCTTTTTACCCTCACACCTGCTGCCTGTTTCACACTCCACCTTCCTCTCCAACACTCTGTGTCATCCTCACTCCATCTCAGACTTGCTAACTGTTGGCTGATCTTTCGTCACCTTCCAGCAGAGCTTTCTGCGGCTCATGTTTTCTCGCAGCCTCTAGGATTTAACCTGCAGGTCAGGGTGGAAAGAAAAATGTAACAGTTTCAGCACAGCACTGCTTTTTCACATGTGCTCAGGTTCTTACTTTTATAACAAATTTCTGCACAATGATGATAAAGCAAGATTCATGCAGCGTTTCATACCTGATAAATTAATCTTTTTGAAGTGTGGAATGGACTCTTTTACCCTCAGAAGGAAGAAATTTCCATTTACTGCACTTTGCAGCTGTTCGGAAAGTTGAATAAAGTTGTTTCATCTCCTGAAATGTGGAGTTACTATATCAACAATCAGTACCCTCCTTTATCTGAGACCTGTCAATATAACTCAAAATGATATTAGAGTAAAATATGTCTGCCTTTGTCTCCTTTGTCTACAAGAAATATGCATTTTGGAGCTAAATACACAACCTTTTTTCATCAGTATTGATACAAACAATGAACTGCTTTGTAAAGCAGTGAGGAATTGATATGTATGCGATGAAGTGTTAACATCCAGGAATATCAATCACAAGGTCTTTCCCATAGACTGTATATACTATGGACAACTTGGTTCCGCCTTCCGTTGTTATACGAATTTGAAGCGGATTTTCTCCACTTCCTGAAACCACCACTTGTGCAGTATTGAACGCATTTGGCTGGAGAGTCGCCAAAAGTCGCTTTGATGATGCTTGGCTCAAACAGCGTATCCCCTGGGTGAGCTACACAATCTTCGTACGCCCATAGGCTGTATCAAGTGTCAATCATAGAAAACATGGACCCCCTAATAACTTTTAAAAATGGAGCTGTACGGAAAAAAGAGGACTTGAGCACAAACCTGTCTGACAATAACTACATGTCAACATCACAAGCAGGGGGGAGAAACATTTATATTCCGTGTAATAACTTTTTGAAGTTTGTCCACAACTCCATAGGGATTGCTGCAGGAGGCGGGATTTATGACCTATACTGCAGCCCGTCACCAGAGGGTGCTGTTCTAGCAGTGGCTTTACTCAGCGAGGAGGCAGACAGCATCCATTCTATACACTAGGGTGACCATATTCTGACTTCCCAAAAAGAAGACAAGACTACGCAGGGGCAGAGTCACAGAGTCGCAAGAAGTTAATTTTTTAGAGTTTTTCAGGTCGGATCGAGTGTCTTTTACACGCAGAAAGTTCAGAAAGTACACGTGACACAAAATCGAAACTTACGTACAAAACCGCAAACATTTAAAGGATTTTATCAACTTTCCCAGACAAAGCCGGACAAGCCCGGACAGCCCCCAAAAAAGAGGACAAGTCCGGGTAAAAGAGGACCTTACAATATAGTCTATGGTTTTTCCACTTTTGAATTAAATCATTAAAATAAAAACAAATAGACAAGAATGGATAGAAACACTTTTGTTATCGGAGGAAGACATACTCCTATCCTTTTCTCCAGGCAGCCTAGGAACAGGTTTTTAAGTCACCCTGCAGAGTTTTATTGAAGTGAAGACCCATTGCAGCTGAAAAATGATTTTGAACCTTTAGTTTGCACTGTGTGGAAGATGAAGTCTGAGAGTAAGATAAAGCCGATCTTGGAGACTGACAGGCTGATAGGAAAGGGAGGCCAGAGAAAAGTGGAGCGTTAGAAGTGAAGAAGGAGTGTGAGAGTGTAGATCAATAAGTTCTCAGCTGGTGAGAGGTGTCTTCTCTTGTGCGAGAGGGTGCTGTGTAGCATGACTGGCAGCACTATAGAGAGGCTGTCACCCTCTCTCTTGTTCTCGTCCTCCTCCTCACTCTTTCTCTTTTTCCACTCATCTTCACAACATCTCTGAGACCGTTGATCCCTTTGTGGCTTTTTAAACCCTCTTTTTTTTGTACTGGTTGTTCTGTTCAGCTGTCCAGAGTTACGGAAGATGTTCAGTTCACATTGACAACAATGGCGAGGGCTTTTGTTGTTGCTTTTCGTGTACCCATGTAAACACAAAAAGTCAGGGGAGACCGAGATGAGGGGAAAACGAGAGAAATTCAAAGTGGTGTGTCAACAAAGAGCCCAGCGCTCCTCCCAGAATGGATTAAGATGTTCTGAACTAAACCATAAATAAATGTATGAACACATAAATTAATAAGGACTTGAGGGACGAGGGGGAAGCTTGGGCATTAGCCATTTCTCAAATTTTGCATTTGAGTGATAAATAATGAAGGCTTGGTTTTTAGTAGGCAGTGTAGAGGAAATTGTGTTTGGGGTCCGACTATTAACCCTGTCTTATCTGGAGTTGAATTATTTATTTATTTCACTTGAGCGAAGAAAACACTGGAGGAAAAGTTAACAAGGGAGTTAATCTCGATGTACCGCCTCAGTTTTTCATCCGAAAGTACAGTACTGTTGCTTTTTCCCAAAATACTGTATTTTGCGTGTTTCTTCTGCAGACCTTTAAGTCTCAAACAGCCTGAACTATAATGCATACGTGTTACACCACATCCAACTGAGAATACGTGTGCGCCTTTTGTTAAAACATGCATGCCTCTCTCTGTGTCTGCATGCGTGTGACTGCTGGAGATGTAACCCCAGCTGTAAAGGTGAGCTTCAGGTCTCCGGGGGTAAATCCTCCACAGACAGACAGAAGTGTGGCTCATATCCTGCAGAGCCATCACTAGTCATTTGCGCATCCCTCTCGTAGCTCCCAGCTGTGCTCTCGTCTTCTCTGCCTCCATCCCCTTCCCACTCAGCGGACCCAATGTCATATTTCACCCTGAGACACATTGTGTCCTCCTGACTCCAATGTCAGAGCTCCCTGTGGGATTCACCAACAACCCAGCACCCTGCCAGCACTTTGTTAAGACCAGACATCCCTGTTACATTTACATTTTTCACAGTGTCAACACATGCTGGACATGCTTTTAACACCAGTTGCAGGTAAATATGATTTTAGAAACACTTAATCGGCTTAATCGGTCTAAGCTCATAATTCTTTTTTTTATCGCCGAATCGGACTTCTCTCCTTGTCTTCGTATACATGCAGCTGAGGAAAACGAATTATTGATGTGAACGAGTCCTCCTCCCCAAAACTAGGGGGCAATGTGGGTCTTTGTTGTGGCGTTGTTTCCGGACCTTTTTTAAAGATGTCTCTGTTCCTCGTTTTGAGACCGTCCATATATTCTAAAATGTTCATTTCTGTCAGGACAGAAAGCATAACGGCACTCTCCTCATCGTTCCAAAAGTGGACATTCTTTCGTGCTTCAGCCATGTTGCAGTTGCTTTTGAGTCAAAAGTTCTTAAAATGACAGTGCCACTTCTTCTCTGGTGTTTTTGTTCTGGGGTTACAGAGGCGTGGCGCATGCGCACATGCATTGTCCGATCATACTTTGACCACGCTGGTTACACGGTAGAGAAAATCGAATTCCAAACGCATTATCTGGGTGTCTTAATCGGAGTTCTCAAACTCTGATTATAGTCGGACTAAGGTGTTCACATGCACTTCAGTTGTCTGGTCTTAATCGGAGTAAGGCAATAATTCGGTTTTCTCGAGTGTCAACCAGTGAACAACCGTCTGTTTTTATACGTCACCCGGCAACCTTCGTGCTGATTAGTTATCGCAAATATCCGCTCAAGCTGAGACATATTCAGCTTCCGCGAGAGTAGCAGGAGCGTCTAATAGCGTCTTTGCATTGACTTAACATGTAATTCATTTGCACGAATGATTTTACTCGCGCTTGGTGTGAAGAGACAGTAAGAAATTTGTGTTGATTGTCAAAGGAGCTGCATCTTTATCTTGCTTTTAAAACAGACACTCTTTGTTTTTCATTCATCTTTTCTGGTCAAAAGCAGGAAAATAATGTGTTTTCAAAAAAGTGTTTAATCTGAGTTTTCAAATCTCTAATGCTCAGTAAGCAGGGTTTTCATTCACTATTGTTTTTTCAATGTCTATCAGACAATCAGATTTGTGTGATTCAGAGCAGAGAGTGAGCATGTAAACTGCAGTTAAGTAGCTTGCTTGATGAACATGCCAGATCTGAGACAGACATCAATCCTCAAGTTCAGCTTGTTATCTGCTGCTGGAGAGGCAACCCTGCAAGGAATATAATCAGTAACATTAACATAAAGCAATTCAAGCTCCTTTAATTGCATTATATTAAACAAATTAGATCAGTCACCCAAGTGCAAAGTGCTTTCTTGTACGATATTAATTGCCAAAAAAGGAGCTGTGACAAAAGTTAAGGATGATAAATAATGTCAGAGCTGAGATTTCACTGCTTGGCTGTCTGTTATTTATCCTCATTAACTCTTCCATCTAGTCAACGGGGCTTTAATGTGGAGCATTAATATTCATATATGCTAAGTGTTTACAGTCACAGTGAGAAGAGGCATGACTCACACTCAGACCTCTCTGAGCCCGGTGCAGATAAGACTCTCCTCTCCTCAGTGATTGAGGGCACTCAGCTCTAACCTGCGCTGCGAGGGTTTAGGTGGTGTTGAATGTGGTGAAAGACTGTGACTCCACTTGTGCATCCTTGCAGAAGAGGAGAGGCATCACCTCGTCAGGTTCACTTAAAGCTCTTCAGTGGTGCTAGTTTGGAGACGTGTACACACACACACACACAGCGTGCATGTCAAATAGTGTCTCTGGATGTCAACTTTCCTGCAGGGAAATGACTGCTGAGTTTTTGCGGATGCTAATTTTTGAAACTGTTCAAAAGTTTGTTGCTCCCGCAGAGATAGTTCACAGGGAATTAGAGCGGGGCTCGAAGGCTCTTATCTTTTTTAACCTTTAGTTAAACTCATTGAAGTTTAGAAAAATAACTTTTTCGAGAGTGTCCTTGCCGAGGCAGAATCTGATCTGTTCTGAAGTTGGTGGTGATTTCTGGTTGCATAAACAGAATTAGTAGGAATAGGACAAAGAGAAGCTATATACAGATTTGAACATATCAGAATTACATCCTGATGATTTCTCAAAGTACAGATACAAACGGCTGAATTATGAAATTTGGATGGGCTTTCTTTGAAATGCGTTTTTTTCTTTCAGAAATAGACTGATTAATGAGTTGGATGATTGTTCTGCATCGGCCCAAATTATCATCAATCTTTTCTTGATGAAAAGTTCGTTTTTCTTATCCCCAGTGATGACATCTTCAGTTTAAAACAGTCCAGGCTAGTGTTTCTTATCAATTCTGTTATCATATAAAATATAATACATTTAAGTATTGCTCCTGACCTGAATGTGTTTGTCTTTTTCATCGATTCATTGAAATTACATTCAAAACATGTTGTCACCTTGAGATAAGATTGTAATATGCATGATGTAATGGATTTACACATAGTTTTCCTTTATTAATTTATCCTCAAAAATTAACTTTGTTTTTTTTTTTTTTTATTTCAAGTGGAAAAGGCTAACCTCCTCTCTCATTATCAGTATCAGCATCGGCCACAGAAAAACTGATATTGATCAACCACTAGTTTGTTCTGTGTAGTGCTTCTTATTAAAGACTCACCGTTACATCGTCATCTTTACCGGTAATTACTGTTCATTGGGCAAGTACCACTTTGTTCACTGGAAGCACCAAAGTTGACACCAGGTGGAAGATCCTTGCAGGAGCTTTAATGTAAAAACACAGAGTTAAACAGTTTTGAGTCAGAATCTCTGTTTGCATGAAGCTCTTTGGCAGAGCTCTGAGTTGAGATTCCTCTAACTTAAGCTCACTTGATGAAAACGTCTTGGTCTAGTTCAGGGGTCGGCAACCCGCGGCTCTGGAGCCGCATGCGGCTCTCTCTTCCCTAAACTCCGGCTCCCAGTGGATTTGGAAAATAAATAATAAATACTTAATTGCATTTTATTTTATTTTATTATTATTATTATTATTTTGTAATTCTAAATTCAAAGATTATAATGCTCTTGTAACATTAAATAAACTATTAAGGCTGCAACAACGAATCGATTAAGTAGATTCGTCGTGACTCAACTCAACTCAACTCAACTCAACTTTATTTGTAATCGATTCGTCGGGTCTTTATATATGTCCATGGACACCAAGGCAATCAAGTAAACATTAAAACAATGGATAAAATAAAAGGACAATGTTTTTAAAAACTAATTTAAAAACATAGAAACAAATAACTAAAAACAAACCATAAAACACTAAAAAACAGTCCATGGCCAATGAATAAAAATGGGTTTTAAGCGGTTTTAAAAATGGACATGGCTTCTCTAACACAAAAACCCAACCGGGTCATAATGGACACCGACCTAAAAAACACCAGTGGCCGAGGCAGCGGTGAAAAAACATGGACACAAAACCCAAATCCCGACCTAACAAGACTAACAAGAAAAGGAAGGCGTTCAGTGCAACATTTGCAAAGACCGTTTTGCATGGCTCGGGATTACATCGATGATGCGTGAGCACAGGGCTCTCAAGTCTCACGCATTCAGCGTATGACACACGTATTCCCACTCGTTCACACGCTCACACACCACACATTGTATTTCTCACGCATTTAAATGAACACGGTGATGTCCACCAAGTTGCACTTCTTCAACTATGGAACAGGGGGAAATCAACTGAGTTCCTCCGAGAGTTCAGAAGCTGCGTGCCACGCACAAGCCAATCAAATAAAGTATATCTACTGAACAGCCAATCAAAAAGCAGCATTGCTGTATCCGGGTAGATTTTGATATCTTGCGGTTTAACTACAGAAGAAGACAGACACTCGCCGAAATAGTTCATTTATTTAATAAATGCAACTCGCTACAGTTTTTTATATACTTTGTATAAAGGTAAAAAAAAAAAAAGATATATGCAATGTTATCTTCATTTTAGATGTCAAAGAGGTTTTGTGGCTCCCTGTGTTTTCTTTTCTGTGGGAAACTGGTCCAAGTGGCTCTTTGAGTGTTTAAGGTTGCCGACCCCTGGTCTAGTTAAATGGTTAGTCCTACAACCCTGTTTAGATGATGTGAAACACTGTGAATGCAAACTGGAGCCTAACAATCCTCACAAATGTTTTTTTTTTTCCTTCAGTGTTTTTTTTTTGTGTGTGTGTGTGTGTTTTGGCACTCAAATAAAAAACGAATAACTTTATTTTATCCCCGAAGGGAAATTCAATATTTAAAAAAGAAAAATGTTGAATTTTGATTTTTGATCAATTCCTTCTGCTGGACAAAAAGTCTAATTGTGTAACTGTTTCAAAACACTGGACTTGCTTTAAAAATATGACTTAGCTTGACCTGCAAAAAAACACATTTTAATGCTGTGTAAAGAAAACAGGAATTAGCCAGGACTTACAAATGAAGGACAAAAAATGGGCTGAAGATCTTTTGAAGAAAGAAACGCATCCATAACTACAAAGACAAAATGATAATGAGATTATCAAAGTGAGACATGAGGGTGGCTGTCCATTGTCTCTCAATCAAAAGGTCAGGGGTTCAATTTCAGGTCCGCTTGTCCATGTGCTGTCGAGTCTTTGGGCAAGACACTTAACCCTAATGGATGAATGGAGTCAGTCAATGCTGATGGTTATGTTTTCTACCATCATGTAGTATGAATGATACATACACGCAATATACAATATACATGTATTTCTATATAGTAGAGACTTCTTATGACAATAGATTTGATGACTTTGGCTCCAGGCTTGAGTACCCAGATGTATTTTTTAGCCCTACTCCTCCCATGGATAAAATGTGTTTTTCAAACTGTTTGTCAGTCTGAGCTTGAGTGTGCAGAGAGTCAGATAGAGAATGAGAAAATAAAGTGACTGTGGACATGTTTTCATTTTATCTCCCAAAGTGCACTTTACAGGAGGATACATGCCAGCCACATCTCCAGGGTTGAGTGGGTTGTTCACACAAAAACAAGTACATGGTACTTAGATCAAGGTCACGCTCAGATCCCATTCAATTCCAGACACTCATATAACAGCTATTTCTGTCTATTTCTGCAGCCGCAGAAATCTGTTATATGGCTGGATTGTCCTGACAAGCTAATGGACAGCTTCTGTCACCTCCACAAAAACTGTTTCTGTGCATTTTTAGCTTCCTCTCTCCTCTCTGACACCTCCAGCAGCTAGGCTGGTGGCAGACAGGATGAAGTGTTTTTGTGATGTTGGCCTTTGTCATATGTCACACTCTGACCTTTTCTTCACTCTTTGTCCAAACAACAAAAAAGCTTGTCTAGACATCATGTGTGTGTGTCTGTCTACATTTGAATAGTTGTGTCAACCAGTGTTACGGTCATAAAACCTCAAGTGCAAGGCAGGCCTCAAGTCCACAGTGTTCAAGTTTGAGTCGAGTCTGGGTCACAGAAAAAGAATCCAAGTTGTGTCTAGGTTGAGTCCCAATGACTTGACTACAAGTTGATCTCAACTCTCTGTTACCTGCACATTTATTAGATGGACCATTGTTTTCACTTTAAACTGTTTCCTGTATGAACCGGGGCTGACCACTGCAGATTAGGGGTGTAACCATTCATCTACATCATCAATGTATTAATTTTAGGGGTGCACTGATCACGATTTTCTTTCCGATCACCGATCTTTAAAAAGCTTGACCTGCCAATACCGATTTTGGACAATAACTTTTTTTTTAAACTGACCACATACACCATTGATGCTCCAATCTTATTTAATGAAAAACATTGAACAATACTTGTGAAACAATACAAACTTTTTGTGTTTGTTTTTAACTGCACATGAGGTAGTTCTCTCAAATATAAATGAAAGGTTAGAATATTGCTGTCCAAACTTCTAAATTATATCAGTTCCTTTAGTCTTTTATTTTCCACATTTTAAAAATTAACAATATTTGCGCAACAGGCCACAACAGCCTCTTACCAAAATAAAGTGCACAGCAGTATTTTGCTTTTACAAATAAAGGAAATCACAAGGTTTGAGGAAGTTAGTAAAATAATATTCTACAGGACAAACAAACAACACAACTTAAACCACCAATTCACTGAGGTAGATAAGATCGATGGATAATATCGGTTTGATATGTAAAGAATCAGCCGATCACCCAAACTTGAGGAAATCGGCGCCGATCGATCGGCATGTTTAATTAATTTATATTCCTATGATCCAACTACATCAATCTGTCCTCAGCAAGTTGGCCTTTCGGAAGACATATATCGATCTAAAATCATTTAAAAATGTAAGAAATCGATTGCATTGATACTAGGAAATAACCAAACAGATTTAAGCACTGTAAGCAGACTGTATATGGATGTGAGTTTTTTTCACTCTTAATCATAAAGACCTTAAGCGTTACTCGATTCAGTCTACATGTCTGTGACGTCATCGCCACACGCCAGCAGACAACAAAACATAGCATGGCGGATGGCGGAGGAGAAGTCGCAGAGCGAGTAATGATCAGGATACCATTGCGGTCCAGTGTTTGTTGTATTTGTATTATTTCTATGCTGAAAAACAACAGCAGAAGTAGCAGGATAACCACCTGGTATTTCAACTGGAAGAGATGTTGGCTGCATTTTTTTGCTGTCAATACTGTTTTATTTTTTGCATTAAAAAAGAGAAGCAAAAGTAGCAGAAATGTTCGATGCACTTACTATACTTTTATTGAAAATTTATGGAATAATTAAATTGAGAACAGAAAAGTTTAATCTCCTTTAAATTCAACCTGGAGTGGAGGTTGCACTTTATTCTAACAAAATGTGAATGCATTTGCTATTAATTGTTGTTTACTTCTTTGTTTATAACCATAATTAATTTATACCTGATTCCCTCACAAGGAACAACAGGAATCTAGGAAATTTCACATGCACTGTCCAGTACCCAGGTATTTATTTCATTGTCACACAGGTTGAAATTTGGCTGAATCATTTCGGATTGTGTTGTTCTCAATGAACCAATGTCGTCTTTGAATCAAATCGACAACCACAAATCATGATACGAATTGAATCGTTGATAAAATAAATTGTTATACCCTATTGCACATGTGTCCTTTAGCCTTTCTGGAAGTTTGTGAATTCCTAGATCCTCTTTTCCAGTGTAACATAGACAGCATGCACCATTAGTGTGATGCTCCTCCTGCAGTCCTGAGAGTTGGTGGAGTGGGTACTCAGAGAGAAAGGCAGGAACAGAGACAGCAGGCTGGTGCAGACGGAGGATCTTACCTGCTGTGTCAGAGCCAAATCATAAAACTAAATATTGCCTTCTACTTTCTAGTTAAAATAAAATATCTGGTTTCAGATTCTTGCTGAATAGATGCATCCAATTTTTTTTAATTCATTTACTTCAGCGGGCTTGTCTCCTTTCTTTTCAAGTATTTATATTATTCCAATCTGTTTCCTTCATTTATTTGATTTTCTCTTTTTTTTCTTTATTATAAAAACAGTCAAAAATGAGAGCAATGTTGACATCTTTGAAAATGCCAAAATGACAAGAGGAGTGAAGGCCAATAACCAAAGTTCTGTTAAAATGTCACACTCCAGTGGAAATTCTTCTGAAGTCAATTTAGTCTCACAGCACTGTGAAAAATTGCTGTGACTGGAGTAGACAAAAAAAAAACACTGTTGATAGCTCACTTCCCTGCACAATGTTATTTATTTATTTTTTCTCGACCAGAATATGATAATTAATAGCTTAAAATAATTTAGTGTTCATTTTCAGGGAATTTCAATTACGCTTCAACATAATGAACTTTGCCGCAGAGCAAACTAATGTGGTTTTCTTGTTTTCTGAAAGACGTTATGGAAGTTTTCTCTGCCCTCCATCCTCCAGTTGAAGTCTTGATCTGTTTTTATTTCTTTATTTTTCCACACTGTGTGCCTTCACTTTCTTTAATGCCTCCGAATGAGATGAAAGCCCAGTGCAATTAGGCTTCTTATCGTTTTAATTAAGAAAGCCATTCGGCCATATCTGCCTCAGACGCCATAACACATAATGGCAGAGTCTCTGATGCCTGAAGTAGTGTTTGTGTGCCAATGTGTGTGTATGTATGTGCTGCGTGTGTACATACAGTATGTATTTGTATGTGTATGTGTACAAGCTTGTGGGTGTGTGTCCTAGTAACACAGTTCCTTTCAATCTCCCTTCCGCCCTTCTTTCCTCTTTTTATCAGTCTGTGCTCTCCAATCGCTATTCCCTCTTGTGCCTCTCTCCAAACATGCTGTTCTATCCTTCGTTATTTCCTTCTCCTCAAAGAGACAAGGTCAAAGAGTCTTGTACTACTTCTAACTCACTCCAAGTATGTTGTCTCAGTGTTTCTTTTCAGTCCCCTCTGTCACATTAATGATTCCTCTTTGCTCTTAAAAATCTTCGCTCAAATTGACGTATTTTACGGTGTATTTATGTCTGTTTTGGCTCACACTAGCAGCTTATTGTGTACAATAACCTGCTCTTAGCCCCATCTCTATATGCTTGTTTGCAACACAGCTGTGACCAAATTGTTTTTATTCTCACTTTTTTTTTCTTGACCCCCTCGTTCAAAAAAAAAGGAGGGAATAGGAGAATCTGTAACTACCCTGTTAACACCCAACTCGGCTCCTCTCCTCTCCTCTCCTCCCTCCTCCTTTCCCTCCATCCTTCCTCTCCCTCTCCCCTCTCACCCTGGCCTATCAGTGCGGAGCAGTGGTCTGTGAAGAAATTCCCAATATCTAAATTTACACACTGTATCAATCTTGTTTAATAGACTGGAAAGCTTATAGCCGCCGTGGCAAGACGGCAGAGAGGGCAGCGGTGATAAATTGTCGGTGTGCAGGCGACAGCCGCCCGTGATGTATAATGAAATATTTATGATTTATCCCAGCTAATAAACTGAAATGAAGTGCGTGATGTATGGGAACAGATGGGCCCTCCATTGATGCTGAAGCGGAGAGGCAAGAGGGGGATGAAGAAAACGGGAAGATAGGCGGAGAGACGGGAACGGGAGAAAACATAGTGTTGTGTGTTTGGCTGACACTGGAGCAGAGGGATCTGAAAAAGTGGGAACAAAATGTAAGATGGATTGGGGGATACAAGGTTAGAGTGGAGAACAAATGAGATTAAATGATGAAGTGGAGAGCAGATGGAGGATGGCAGTGACACCAGAAAATAAAAATCTTCTCCTGGAATGTAGATTCAGGATAAGACACAAACAACTCTTGACTATTTTGGTTTCAGATTTGTTGTGTAAACCTTTACTTCTGGTGATGTCTGGAAAAATGTGCATCGGTATTAATGTTTTCATCTACATCTAAGCAAGAATAAAAACAAGCCTTAAACATCAAAATACTGCCGTCTTACATGAAGAGGGTCTGTGTCTCATTTTTGGTTTTACTGCAGTAAAAGTGATCAGATCAGAGGACACCGCCCATAAAAGCTCAAACTCCCGTTATTATTCTTGTAGTTATGAAGTAAAAATTCCCCTCCAAATAAAAACACCTTCAAATTTGAGACCTGACTATCCTTTTTGTCCTCACTGTGCTACTGTAGCTACAGCTGCAGCCCCTAACCCTGACCTCTGCTGACCTCTCAGTCCACCTTTAACTACAGCACCTGCTTAACCTCATCACAAGGTCACACACACACACACACACACACAGATACACATCCATCTCAGCCCCAGCTGCAGACGCGCCACCTGTAATAATCCAAAAGGACACCGTCCTGTTCCGTTTTTTCTCCTCTACGCTCCTTCCCTCCTCTGTCCATTTTTCTCCCCCTCTGTCTCTCTCCACTCATCCATACTGACCCATTTCCTCTGCTTGTCATCCCCCCGGCCCAGCTGAGCCCCTCGTCCCACATACTGTACTCCTCCTCCCCCACACCTGTCCTCCAGACACCTATGTGTGTGTGTGTGTGTGTGCGTGTGTGTGTGTCTGGGGAATGATTGGAGGAGATCTTTAACGGTCATCCATCCACTGAACTATGCTACACACACACACACACACACACACAGTAAACCACTTTGTTGTCTACTAAGCTTACAAGCCCTTAATTATTGCAAGATTCACAAATAAAACTACAATTTTAAATATAATTTACCTCCAGTTTCATAGAAATCTGAGCAAATTTTACTGCATTTTGGCAAATAAAATAATGAGGGAGATTCTGCATAAGAATTGTCTAAAGTCTGCTCATAAATACAGAATAACTGCCCAGAGATTATCAGAAAACATTTTTTCTCATTAGTTTTTTAATAAAACTCCCTCTCTCCCTTTTTACGTCTTTTCAGGAGACACGGCGGTCTACAAAGACGGCGTGTATTGGATCATGGGACGCACCAGTGTTGACATCATCAAGAGCGGCGGCTACAAGATCAGTGCCCTCGAAGTGGAGCGTCACCTGCTGGCTCATCCAGACGTCATAGGTGAGAGGAGTGCGAGTTCAGATGACTACAGTTTAGGATGATGCGGTTAAACTAATCTTTGAATGACTTTGAATGACTTTGACCAAAGAGAAATGTTCATGATTGTTCCCAGGTGTAAAATTCCAATACTGGTCATATTATTACAGACAATCGCACACATGTACTCATACATGTCTTCTTGCAGATGTGGCTGTGATCGGGGCCCCAGATTCCATTTGGGGTCAGAAAGTCACTGCAGTAGTGCAGCTGAAGAAGGGGAAGAGCATGACTCTACCAGAGCTGAAGATCTGGGCAAGGTGCTGAAATTTTGTTTTTCTTTTCAAATGATTTCGAGGAGTCTTTTTGGACTCTTTGTTAGATCGGGCGACCAAAGAGACAGAAAATCTGAGTATGAAGACATGCAGCCAAGCGTTGAGTCAAACCTGAGACTGCTGTGATGAGGACTACAGCCTTTGTACGAGTTTTTGCACTTTGGCAATCAAGCCAAATTTTTATCCAGGGAGGATTTTCCTGTTTGTAGAAAGGAATTGCCCTGGATAGATGCTAAATTAACCCCAACATTTGATTGTCAAGTACTAATTGGTCTTTATAAACATGGAGTCTTTCCTTCGCTTGAATGGTTGGCTTTAGAGTTATCTCTTCTTTTTGAGAATGAAGGACAACATGATTTTTATAGTGACATGTTTTCAGGCTGTTAAGACTCCTCCTCTGGTTTTACATACTTTGATGTAGCAGCAGGCGGCGACCTTGAGTCTTGAGAAATGAAGCCGATACAGAATTGCTATAAACGGCAATTCCCTGTGTGTCTGCTTGAAGCTAGCTGCTGAAGCACCATAAACCGTGTACGCACTAATTCAAAATAACAAACCTGTTTAAAAGATGGTTTGAAAAGTGGTTTTGGTCTGAATAGCTCAGGACTTTCATGACAACCACTGTACCAAGAACACTTTGAAGGCACATGTAGTGTTTTGCAAGGAGGCTGAAGACTTGCCTCTGGTAGATCGATTGAGCGTTTCGAATATGGCAACCACCATAAATTCTGATGTTACTGACACTACAGCCATATATTGTACAGTCTTTGTGTGGTAAATGATCATCAGCAGGGACTTTTGAGTGACTTCACCAATCTCAGTTTAAAAAAAAAATCAAAACAGGAATCACATCCTAATTTTGCAAAGTAGCGCCGCTGATCCCGTCTTTGTGAAAGTTTCTACGTCCTTTTGTCAGACCTGGTAAACAAAAAAAGGTCCTCCTAAAGTCTCTTAATGCAAACTCTGCAACTTCTTGAAGCAGGTCAGCTCACATTTCCTCAGAGACCAGACCTCAGGTCCTCAGATCAATGGAAAAGGATGCTAGAAAAGAGAGGCTAGAGATAGACTAATAAGGGAAACTGAATGAAGGACGAGAGAGGATCTGAGAGGAATATGAGAAGGAAACAGACGAGTTATTGTTTCAATACCATAAGTTTTTCCCTTTTCAAAACATCAGAAGTGTCCGTTCATACAGATGTTTGTGACATACATCCTTTTGTTTTAGATCAACAAAAAAGCACAAACACCCCACGCCTGTTTCTCTTTTCTTCATCTTCTGCTCACCTTCAAAACTGATATTTAACACGTCTACTTTTCCTACCATCTAAATTCATCTCTCACACTATTTCTCCACCCACCACCATTTATTCACATCCCTCACTCCTGTGAGTGCATGTGTGTATGCATTTTTATGTGTGTGTGTGTGTGGGTCAGGGCTGTGGGCTCCATATGGTGTGGGGGCGTTAGATCCGACTGCTGTGGCCTGCTGGTCCAACATGGTGGATTACTACTGCTGCCCGTGACCTGGGTTAACACACACTTGCACACACACACACACACACACACACTCACACACAGTGTTTTGTGCCAGGGGTGCTGCCAGCAGACAGGCAGTGCCAGCACACAGCCCACTGCTGAGGCTGGGTTGCAGGCGGAGAGAGAGAGAGATAAAATGAGACATAAACAAGTAGATGGATGCTCACTCTTCAGTGCCCTGGCTTCAGCTGTCAGTCTGAATCTCTATCACACCCTCTGCACCCCGCACTGCCTTCAACACACACGCTCACGCACACACAAACACACACTCGCATACACTGCCCCAGAGAAATTGGTGACACGAGCAAATCCCCATTACAGAGACGTGTATGTACGCACATATACTCACTCACACTTTACTCAGTGACTCAGAGAGACGGAGAGACGGAGACATCTGCTGAAAGGAGAGTTTGATGGCAGCAGTATGAGTCATTATGCTCACTCGCAACCACACTGGGACACACACACTGGGACACACACACACATTCAGTCAGACACAAACAAACAAACTAGGTTAGAAGATAATAGAAAAGCTTCAGGCTTCAAGACTTGACGTAACAACCATGCATTCAAAACAGAAAAAATAAAACACTTTTAATTATCGCAGCCTTCTGTTTTTCTCTTTTATTATTTGTTTTTTTTATTTCATCTCACAGTGATTATATTGTTTTGTACGGGGGGAATTGTCTGTGTCTGGAAGGCGAATTGTGGGTATTAGAGAGAGGAGCTGCAGTGTGCATGAAGGACGTTTCTTTCCTTATCTCCACCACTCTGCCACAGGGCTAGCCTTTGTTTAGCAATTGTTTTCCCTTTTTGTTTACCCGTTTTGTGTCTGCGCATATGTGTGCGTATTCCCATCCATGTGTGCACATAGATCAGTCTTGTGTGTGTCCTTGTGCATGCCTGTGTTTATCTTCCACTCTGCAGTAAACAGTCTTTAGTGTATTAACATCAGTGTTTATTGCAGGGAGCACATGGCGCCCTACACCATCCCCACAGGCCTGCTTCTGGTGGAGGAGATGCCGAGGAACCAGATGGGCAAGGTCAACAAGAAGGACCTCCTGCGACACTTCTTTCCATGACTGGATGAACTTAGATACCCACAGAAAAGTCCCGGTTCCTGGTAAGAGGGCTGGAGTTGTGTGGTCACTTCTTCACTTCTTGGCTGGCCAAACTTGGTCCTTGATTTCAGGAGGAAATTGGTCAAGATTTCAGAGGAAATTTGAGGCTACGGGTGGGAATCTAGAGGAAAATAATGAGGGGAAGTTGATCAGACACTGCTGCAAGGCCAGCTCTGACAACACGGGTTCAAGCATTGATTACTAGTCATTGGGGAAGTTTGCAACTGAATCTAAGAGGTGTCAAATTTTTATTTTTTTCAACACTCTAAATTTAAACTACACTACGTGGATTTGACAAATTCAAGGATATAATTTTCTATGTAGAAACATATTTGTCTAATTTCTAATAAGTATGCAACTTAATTTGACACATTTTTGTGGATTTGCAGTTTTAACAGTTTCCAATTTGCCAACTTTTTGAACTCCAAACAGGCTGACAGTTGATAGTATTTTCACATTGTAAACATGACTGAAGCAAATAGACAAAAAATTCAAAAAAATTCAGGCAAACCCAGAAAATGGAGGTACTTTCCTGATGATTACACCCCGCCAGGTTGAACTTTAAAATGTGATCAATGTGTGAGCGCTGTTTACACCAGTATTTCTGTCATTTCAGACTGATACACTTGAAATAACAGATAATATTTATCTGAATATTAAAAAGTTTTATTGAATATAAATGAAAAAGTGTTTTGAGTCGTTTCTGCCTCCTATTTTCTCATAAACAGTGTTGCTGTTGCTGCTGCAGTCGAACAGGTGTGATAAGAGCCTGAAGGTGGATTCTTTAGCGTTGCACAGCAGCACAGCTGGATGCCCCACACTCCATCTGACTAACCCTCTCGCTCTCCACACCTCTCAGCCCGTCTCGCCTCCTTTTTTCTCCAATACTTCGCCTCCTCTGTCCTCATCACAAGTCAAAACAGATCTCACCAACACCGGGACCTACTTAGCTGTGAGCCTCCTCCTGAATGAGCTTTGGCATGCTGCCAGAACAGGCAGAGAGTGTGTGAAGAGATGAAAGAAAAGGCACAGAGGCACAAAAATAATAAAAAAGGCAGGACTGTCAGGGTGATTGGAGCATTAACAAGATCTGGCTGGAGAGAAAGAGATGATAAAAGAGAGGTTTGTGACAGAAATGAAGACGTAGAAAAAGTCAGCGTGAAGAGTTTGCAACAAGTGACATGCGAAGGATTTGGAAAATAAGTCAAAGCAAAAGGAGAAAGGAAGAAGTGAGGGATAAACAATTCTGATGAAGAGCCCTAGAACGGAGCATGGAAAGACACACAAGAGCAATACCCAGCTGATACAGACTCCTGTCCAAACACACACACACACACACTCTTACACATACTCGTCCGCCCACAGTCACCAGAGACCTGATTAAGAGAGCAGAGCTATCGATCTGTGGGCTGGCAGGCCAGGATGGATGAGCAGGCAGGGCTGCAGGAGCACCAGAGGACAGCTTTAGTGCCCCCAACACCTCCTCGCCTTCCCCCCACTGCTCCACCCAACCACCCACGCCAGAGTTGGGATTCAGCCAGGGCCACAGGCAGAAAGGCCAGGGCTGCCACGCTGAGGCTGCAGCAGGCACTGGAGGGTCAAAATCAGGACTGAAGAGCACAGGACTGCTGTGCCGTAATGGATACACTCCACTGCTGGAGAGTTTGTTCTTTTTTTAAGAGGTACAATCAGGACAGGTTCCAGTGCCCCCTCGGTGAACATGAGGTGGGGGAAGGGTAGGCTGGTGGGTATTCCCCGGACTCTGGCTTGATGGAGTACTTGTGCCCTTGAACTACATCCACTCTCTGTCTCTCAAACACACTCACACGGTCAAACACTCCCTGCCTGTGTTTGCTGGAGCGTGCTGGAAGAGGTTGTCTGCAGATGGCTGCTTATTGGGCCCCAGGGTCCCGGAGGGTGGGTTATGGGGGACACCGGTGTGGTTGTTTGCATGTTGGGAGATTCATGAAGAGTTTGGGTTAAGAAGCATAGATTTCCAAAACGCAGATGATGACACAGTTTATACTGTAATGTTTTCCTGTTGAATATTTTCTTTGTTACAGCATCCCTGTAGTGAAAGCCTGACACGAGAGTAGATGTGTCATTTAGCTTCCTCTTCAGACGGTGCGGCACTCATTAGGTGATAACAAGAACCAGCTGGCATCACAAGCTAACGAAGAAACAGTCATGCTTTTTAAACAATTTCTCCAAGGGATCAAATCCCAGCATGCACCTGGTTAGAAATAATACCACAGGGCTGACGGAGACTTATGGCCAATCAAAAAAAGTCTGATTGAACAAAAGTAAGAACATTTTATTTGTATAGCTCTTTTCACAGGCAAAAGTACAAAAGAGGATTAGGGCCACATGGAGAGAAAAAAAAATAGTTACAGGAACGAGAAAGTCAAAATTTCGGGATTAAAGTTGAAATTTTGAGATTAAAGTCGATATGAATTAAGTCAAAATCTCGTGAATTGCATAGAAACTTTAAGATTTAAGTCGAAATTACAAGATTAAAGTCGACATGAATGAAGTCGAAATTTCGTGAATTAAATTGAAATTTTGAGATTAAAGTCAAAATTGCAAGATTAAAGCCTACGCAAATAAAGACGAAATTTTATGAATAAAGTCGTAATGTTGAGATTAATGATAATAAATCAACAGCATTGTCGCTCGTCACTCGACAACTTGTCCTCTGTAGAAAAGTTTGTAAAGCTGTACTTGAGAATTAGATTTAGTAAAAAGGATATCTTTGCTCTTTTAGCGCACAAACACAGTGTGGTCATAAGTATTCGGACACTGAAAAGAAGTTTATGATGCAGATGCAGGGTTATCGATGGTTACACCTGCGTGCTACACAGCAAGGAATATGTTGTATTACAATAAGACAACTGATCAAGTTGATCAATCCTGAAGGCGTGGAGCACAGACGAGCCCGGCGTCTGAGGCGCAGGCATTACCGAAGCCGAGGACCCAAGGCGCTCTGGCACATGGACGGCTATGAAAAATTTAAGCCATACAGCATTTCATTTGAACTTTTTTAAAATTTCAACTTCAATATCGAAATTGAAATTCAAACAATCTCCCTCCTGTAGTTATTTTTTTCTCTTCTAGCCCTAATCCTCCTTTGTACAAAAGTCTCAAAGCGCTTGACATCGGCATATGGACAAATAACATAAACCAAAACAACAGCATAAAAAAAGTGTTGAGGCATGTAAATATGCATGATTAAAAGCCGTCCTGTACTGAGGTGTCAACACGAGTTTTGCTGAATGAGGTCTGTAATACTTATTCCAAGACTAGTATGACTGAATCTTTGGCCTCTAACCATGTCAGAATAAAAAATAAGAAAAGAGCCACATAAAAAGAAAGTCACAACAAAGTAACAGAACTCATTTTGGGATAGAGGCTCATTTTCTTTTCTTTTTTAAGAGTAAGATGTGAAGGTTGGCACTTCTCTTACGGTTGTGCTTTTAATGTGAAGAGAGAGCTGGCAGCCAGTTTAGCGAACTTACAGCCACCTCGATCTCTTGACATCAAGGTGAGGATCCTCAGCAATAAGTGCGACAGACACTTCAGGAATATTTGCACAGGAGTAACCTTGCATAATTTCCTGTAGCGTATAATTATATATATTTCTTTCATTATTTATTTTGCCAACGGACTAGCTGTTTCTCCAATGTCATTGCTAAGCAACAGTAACAGCCTTTTAGTTTAGGGTTCAAACCCCCAGCCACAGGTGTAGGTTCATCATGACAAATTTTGTATACAGGGCAAATTAAGAGGGCTTATCGTAGAGTATGTGTTAAACTGAAGTAGTTGTAAAAAGTAAATTGTGCTGTGACATAGACACAAAAGAACTGGTTGGAGGGCAATTTTTCTTATTTGGGGATTATTAGGGTTAAAACCTTGGAAGGTGGTATCCCCAAACTCACCCTTCCTTGTTACTGTTGTGTGTGTGTGTGTGTGTGTGTGTGTGTGTGTGTGTGTGTGTGTGTGTGTGTGTGTGATTGGGGTGTGGTCAGTCTGATCAGGTGACCTGCTGCAGCCAGGTGAGCAGAGGTGTGAAGAGGGGGGGATGGGGTCAGAAGGAGAACAATGGAGGAGCAGGAGGAAATGTTTGTAGGGGCGATTTGGCTGGTTCCAGGAGGGAATGGGGCTGGAAAGCTGGGGTGAGGAAACCCAGGTCCCGTCTAAAGCTGCAGGTAATCCTCAACCATCCCTAATATCAGACAGGGAGTGGCGGAAATGGGAGAGTTGGGCTCAGAGGGAGAATTCTAAGGACTGGTGAGTCTCCTACTTTTTGATTCCTTTTTTTTTTTAACCCTTTTTTGTCCTGAAATTTTCTTTTTAATGGATTACTCCGTTTTTGAGACGGTGGAGGACTATATTTTGTCGGACTAGGGTGGCTGGATCAGGACCATACTTTGTGGATTTTTTGGTCGCCTTTTTTTCCAAAGGAATAAGAGACACTGAGCGAGGGAACTGTAAAAGTTGTGACCTATTCCTTAGGGTTTTGATTACTTTAGAGGGTTAAACTGATGATTTTGTATTGGGGTAGTTTGTGGGGAACAAGCAGATTTGTATGTAGTATTTTTTTTTAAACAATGCAGTTTAGTAGCTTCAAATCAGAGAATAGCTCAGTTTTAGAGAAATTAAAGTTGATTATTGTAGCGTTCTGGGGCATTTTTTCCAATAACTGGCTGTAACCCTTGGTCACCATAAGCACACAATTCAAAAGAAGATGGTATCCACATTTTATTTCCTTGAATCGTATATTTTTACTGTCAATTTAAACCCAAATAATTAAGTCAAAATGCAGAGGTCAACACTGGTAATCTGTTAATGTGAGTTTCCATTTTTACTTCTGCATACTGTTACAACTCATTGTCTGTCTCCAAGAACACAAACACTGCATGCTTTGGATAAATGACACTCAACCTACAGCTCAAGAGTCACATGCAGCTGTTTCACACCCCCAAAAAAATCAATAATAATAATAAAGGGAATCATTCTGTCAGTCATGATTTTGTGAAGAGATAACTGAACTACAAGTCAAGGTTCTGCAAAATACAGTTTAATTTTCTGATTGTGCAAAACTCATTTATGCATGCAGTTGATAAAAATACACAAAATAAGTGATGGTCTTGGGATTGTGTTGCCTAAATCAGAGTTCTTGGAGTTAAAGGGCAGAGATGAACTTCAGCATCAGTTTGGTATTTAAGATGGGGCACTTTGGGGCACAGACGAGGTTTCTCCGGAACGTCTTTGTATTTGAGGTTCGCCTAAAGTGTCTGTACATACTATCAAAAAACAGCATTCTCTGCAATCTCAAAAATGAATAAACAGATATACTGTATTTATTCTCAGTATGAATAAGAATAATGCTGCATTCGAGTTAGCTTTGGAAGTCAGATGTCCGAGCTGGGAATGACGTCACACCCGAACTACCAGAACCAAGTCGGAAAAAAGCAAAATTGGAGGCGGAAGCAAGATGGCTACATCTACGAAAGTTACTTTAGCGCCTGCCTTGTCTTTGCTTATATTTGGGCACATAATTGTAAAATAACTTTCATAATGTAGCCTTCATGTTTCCGCCTCCGATTTTGCTTTCTTCTGACTTAGTAACTGAAACGCTGGTAACTCAGGTGTGACGTCATTCCCAGCTCAGACCTCTGACTTCCAGGGTAACTCGAACGCAGCATAAGAATAAATCGTACTACAGTAATGCTTTACATTCCTTAATCATCTACGACTTTTATCTATTTTTGCAAAAGAAAATTGAAAGAGTTGGTTTTGGATCGTCACCCTTACATAACTACTTTTGGTCTCAACCCGCCTCCTTGACACTGCATGCCTGGTGAATGTTACAGACACAAACAGAAAGGCAGGCTACAATTATACAGTCAAATATTCACATTTGCACACTTTCAACAATCACAAAAGGCTTCGGGCCTGTAGCTCCTTGATCAACATGACAGTCCTTATGTCGAAAAGTTGGTCAGGAGAAGAGTGATGAGAGGATGACAGGCAAGGCTCTTCAGCCCCAGGGACACCCTGAGTATGAAGAACATACACATACAAACACACATCAGTGAATCCAGAACCCCAGCAGGTCTGTGTGGGTGCGTAACCGATGCTTGTAGTGGCAGGTTGTTGTTTACATGGAGCTCATGTTTATTCTGAAGCTGCTTACACCTCACTGGCTCAGCCTCGGGCTTCTTTCCTGTGAAACTCCAGCTGACTCCCTCTCTGCTTTCTCTTTGCCTTTTTCTCCGCTGACCTTTTTCCCTTTCTCTCTTTCTCGCTCTGTCTATCACTGTCTTTTTTCTTCGCTTTTTTCCCCTTTTTGCTTTCATGAATTATGTTCATCCCCTTGTCTGTTGATTTTCGGCAGCATGTTTTTCAAATAAGGATGATGACATGACATTTTTTTACATACGGCTGAAACAGTGCTGCAGTATTTTAAGATAATTTCACAGAGTCACCTCAAGAACTGTTGTAAAGGGCATCTTTAAGGTATTGAATGGGCTGGTGGAAAATCTGCAGTCAGACCCATAGGGTACTTTTGCTGAGGCATCCTGGGGCACTTAAAAGTATCCTTGGGCAAGATGCTGAACCCCTGTCTGCACCAAAGGCTTAGCCTGTAGTGAGCAAGTGTGTGTGTGAATGTGTTAAATGGAGATGGGGCTTGCATGACTCCAACATAGGTGTATTAATGTATCTGTGAAAGCTTGAATGAGACATGTAGTGGAAACGCATGAGAGGAAATGACATGAGTGGTCATAGAGCAGCAAAGCACGATAACATTTTAGTTCATTTATGAGTTATGGACTGAACTCGCTGCTTATATTGAGAGTTTCTATGAAAAGGAACCACTTCAGATACGAATTTAAGATCTTGCAAGGAACTTTTGGTCTGTGGTAATTAAGACATCCTTCCAAAAGTTCCTCACAGGAGCTTTAACTAAAGAAAAAAATCTTTCTTTAAACAGTCAAATGCATCAATCATCCATTGAAGATCATTACCATGGAAAATTTACATCTAATGGGGCGCTCACACCAAGCACGAGTAAAATCATCTACTCGCTTAATTCGCGCAAATCTAGATGCGTAAATGAATTGTATTTACTCACTTTATTCGCGCGTCAACGGTAATCCCTGCCAATTCAACCAGCAGGATCGAGTGATAGACAAAGTTTTTTTACAGTTCACTAGGTAAAGACCTCCTCACTCACCTGCCTCTAGGTGATCTCCTTTTATTCCGGTTTCGGTAATTGAAAGAAACGGTATCGTATAATTCAGGTACACTCTGACACGATCAGGTCCATTTAAGATACCAACCGTCCGTTTTCATACATCACCCAGCAACCTTCAACCCAAATATCCGCTCAAGTTCAGACATATTGAGCTTCTAATCGCGAGGAGTGTCTAATCGCGTCTTTACATTGACTTATCATGTAAATCAGTTGCGCGAATGATTTTACTCGTGCTTGGTGTGTGGAGACAGTAAGGCTGTTTTGGCACAAGCAGACCAGTCTTTAGAGATAACTTCATCAGAGTAACCATTTTTTTCCTGACGGTTTTGTTGGCTTATGTAGGTCATAAAAATGGATCAGTATTAATTGTAAGTTAACCTCACAGGACTAAAAAGTCCCCAAAGTTAAAAAATAAGCTTTGAAAATAAAAGGAAATTAGTACATGAATAGAGTAATATTACCGAAGATTAAAAAGTATCAAATGGTGTATCAATGAAATACTTAATAGAGCATTTCTTTATTAATGGGTACATTGTGAATATCTTTAACCAACAACTGAGTGTTTTTGTTTCGTTGCTACATTGACTTAAATACTGCTTCTGTTACCTCTACCACATCTTTGTCTCTGCAGTCGAGCACAGGTAAAAAAGTTTTTGTAGAAAAAAAAAAATCAGAATCAATAGTGAATTATCATGTTCTAGCTCTCATAACTCGGCCCACTCAACAATGGAGAGAGACAAGGTCATGAGAGAATAAATAGCAGGCAGACTAGCTAATGATCTATCATTCTGGACAAGCGGCTGCACCCGAGAGCGGGCTGCCTGACAAGATCATTAATAAAAGCTGCTGGGAGAGTGATCGATCGGCTTGATGGATGATCAGAGCCACAAATACTATAAAACACCTGGATGTCAAGTCTCGTCTCTCTCTAAAGAGTTGGGAGGGGAATCTTAAAAAAAAGTCCAAACCCCAACAGGGAGTCTTCAGAGGGGATCGAACCCTGATGTTCGACCTCTGTACAGTGTTCAAAATGACTCCACTGCTGCAGCTCTACGTGTCATTTCATAGTTTTTTCTGCTGTTTATCTCCGCATTTGATGCAGTTGGCGCGTGTTGTTGTCTACCGAAGCTCAGTGTGAGAGCATCAGGGTAATTTGGGATAGATCAGGGAGTCAGCGGGTGTCGTGTTGTACAGGCTGCTGCAGCAGTCCACCGTGCTGTAATAGGAGGTATTTATTATTGACATGCTCCCCTCACACCATTACTGATCTCTGTGGTGGTAATCTGTGCCTCCACTGCATATCTCCACTCCCTCTTTCTCTTCTCTTGCTCTATCTGTACTATCTGCCTCACTGTTACAGTGTCTCTTTTGTCATCTACACACACACACACACACCCACACACACCTTACTCAGCAGTTCATCTGGATTCCTAATCTTTTCAGTGAGCGAGAGAATGAGTTCAGAAGGAGTGTAGTCTCCTTGCATGGCTGCGTGTATCAATATCTGTACATTGATCTGGCCTCGCCTCTCCTCCTCCATTCGTCCAGTTATAGATTGGTTTTCCCAGCAGGTATCTGAGCCCAGAATCTGACTGATGGGCGGTGTGCACAAGGGAGGGGGTATTGAACTAGGGTGTCCCACATGCCACTAGACACTGTGTTAGACCACTGAGCAAAAATACTGGCAAGAGGAATAAACGGGGGCTGGGCTGAACTTTATGTGAGTCTCACAGATACTTGAAAAAGGACTGACAATGTTGACAGCCATAAATCAAAGCAGAGCCAAAAATGGATTGCGGTAATTATTTTCTCTCCAATTAGTGAGGGAACAGAATCCCCATCGGAGTCAACTTGGGGCAAAGTCACTTGTTGTACCTCTGAAAATATCTAGTAAATATCTAGACATCCTTGAAATTTTCCAAAGCTGCATATCCATCTATCTATCCTACAGAGTATGCAGTTTTCCTGGTATAAGCGGGGGCACCACCAGAGATTTAGGGCCCCCTGACGACAAAAATTGTACTGGGACCCCACTTTCTCTCCATTTACATTCCATGTAATAAACTTCAGTCAGTCATGGACCCTAACCGTCTGTACACACCAAGCACGAGAAATCATTTGCGCGAATGAATTACATGTTAAGTCAATGCAAAGACGCGATAAGACGCTCCTACTAGTCTGGCGGCACGAATGACGCGAATTGAGCGGGAGCTAAACATGTCTCAACTTGAACGGATATTCGCATCGTGATAACTAATGAGCATGAAGGTTGCTGAGTGATGTATGAAAACAGAGGGTTGTTCACTGGTATCTAAAATGGAGGACAAACTGATCGTGTTGGTGTGTGGGTGGGTGCCCTGAATTGTATGATACCTTTTCTTTCAGTTACCGAATCCGGAATAAAAAGGAACTCACCTGGAGGCAAGTGAGTGAGGAGGTCGGATTACCTGGTAAATTGTAAAAAACTTTTGTCTATCGCTTGATCTATTGCTGGTTGAATTGGCAGGGATTACCGTTGAAAATACCGTTGACGCACAAATGAAGCGAGTAAATATTATTCATTCACGTGTCTAAATTCGTGTGAATTAATCAAGTAGATGATTTTGGTGTGAGCGCCCCATTAGACTCCTCCCACCTTTTCAATGTTGGTCAAGGGGTTGTCTCAGGTGGTGAGACATGATGCAAAAAAAAATTGTCATCCCTCCAAGATAGTGAATTTTCCAGGTTTGGTGCATCTGTAAAAACATCTTAAAGGTGACAAAACTTCTTCCGTCGTAATATTCAATTTACAATTATGGAAAACAAAGATTTTGGTATTGTTAGTGAAGTTTTCTTGTTATCAGCTGACTTATTTCAAGGGTAGAACTGTACAGCTTAAAGTTTTAATCCTTTAATGTAGGCGTGCTTGTTGAAGTAACTTTGTTTTATTATCTAGACTAGATGATCATTATAAACAGTCTCAAATCTTTAAGTCTTCACAACTTTTTGTGACCCACAGATTTTATTTTCAATAGATATCATTATCTTTCAGCACTACCTGTTTACATGCATAGTGCATTTGTGAGGCATAATGTGTGTAAGCGCTACCAAACAAGAAAAGATTCAACATTCAAGAGATTCAAGATTGGTTTATTTGTCATATGCAGGTTAAACAAAATCAACAATGCAGTGAAATGCCCTGGATGAGAAGGACCGTTCGATCTAAAGAAGTAAAAATAACACGCAATAAATACCAAGAAGAACACGATAAAATAAGGAGACAAATCTGCACACAAGTCACAGATTACAATCACAGAAAGAGATTTGTAGAGATTTAGATGTTGGCAAATTGATGAAACGGTCAGTTTCTAGAATGTCGAGTGCTTGGGAGTTTCTAAAACCAAAGAGGTATACATACATATATCTAAAAATAATCATAATGAGTTTTTGTCCTCAAATTCCTACGGATATAAACTCTACAGTGACATAAGGTGTAATCAGAGTTTGGGTTGTGCGTGCGTGTGAGGGAAAGTAATGTTCTGTGCATACGTATGTTTGTCTGTACGTGTCTGTGCAGTCACCATCAGCGCCTGACCATAAATCAGAGGCCCTCAGGCCGAGGGATTGCCCAGCTCGTGGCTCCATGTGTAATTACAAAGCTGACATTTAAACAGCAGCAGCCATATTTCACTCTCTCCAGCGCTGGACGCAGAGTGGTCTACGGATGGAGTAAAAGTTTTCAATGCAAAAAAAAAAAAAGACAGGAAAAAATCAATAAGAGATAGAATGCATTCTAATGCCTTGTTAATGGACCCGCATATTAATTATTCAATGGTGGCCATTTTGTCTGCTCATTAAAGTGGCAGCTGAGAGGAGAAATGTGCAGCATTACTCTGCCCGGCTCTGTTCAGGCAGCGTTATAACCACAGTCTCTGTCTGAGCTGCTTATCCCCTCATCATCATCTGTTGGGTCGGAGTTTGATACACATCTCTACTGTAACTCTATCACTCTGCATGCTGCTTCAATGAGAGATGTTATCTCTGTCACCTGTGATTGGTTTTTTTTGAGAGGTCAAAACCATCATGTCTGCAGCAAATGTGATAGATCATAGTTTTTAAACATCAGTCGTGTCATGTCTTTAATTCATTTTAGGATTGTACTTTACCCTTTTTGTAAATGATTTTGTTAAACATCTGCACTCCCTGAAACTTTGGCTTTACCTGAAACGTAAAAACTTTGTCCCTTTAGTGTAGCTCTCTCCAACACATCGGCACACGAGTACAGATGAGGCTGGCTGTGTCCCAAAGATTGGCAAATAATTAGTGAATTAATAAACTAATTTTTGAAACATGTTTGTGATTTGACTGAAGTAGCCTTATCTGTCTGTGTTTTTAATTGTGTTTCTGGAGGTAATTTCTTCTCCTGCACTTTATTACTTTATTGGAAATTTCCTATGCACTTTCAGAAGTACTGTTTGTTTGAACTTATTTTGGCCTTGAATTTTATTATTATTATTGTTGTGACATGTGCTGAACACTCTCGTAAAAGAGATCTCGATCTCAATGGGTTTTCTTACCTGGTTAAATAAAAGTTGAATAAATAAATAAAATCAAACATCTTGCAGTGGTGCAAAGAATATACTATTGTTAATGAATCAAACTAAAAGTTTATCTTGAATCTCTGATGAATGATGTAAAATATTCCAGGTTGAACTTGAACGTTTCAGATTCGGATGCAAACAAGCTTGATATGAATGTCTCGATTGGTGTCTTTGAGTGAAACTTTTAGTAGGATTAAAGGACAGCAGTGGTTAGAAAATGATTAAACCCTTAATTTTGAGGAATCATGTATTAAAATGATATGAAATTGAAATTCCAGAAGTTCCTTCAATCCAGGATTGGTCAGTAGTGTGTGTGTGGGGGTGGGCAGTTTTGTTTCTGCAGGCCTGTACTCAGTGAATGTATCGGAGTAGCGAGCAGTGAGACAGGAAGAAAAATTAAAATTCCTCTTTGGCCTGCTGTCAACCTGCATCTTCTGACTGCTCAGAGAAGCTGCTGCGTGACGGGATTCCTAATGACACTGCAGCAGCCATTGCCACAAATTGCTTTGAGTTGATTTATTTCTCCTTTTACACCCCTCACCCCCCTACCCCCACCACCACCACACACACACACACACACCACCCCCATGCGCTGACACCCACCTACTCACTGCTGCTCCCTCTTTCTTCCTCTCTACATTGTCATTTAAGCTTTCAGTTTGTCTCTCTGTCTGTCTCTTCCTCTGTCTTCCTCACAGACATACATATACTCTGTGAGCACATGGGGTACCATCTCCTCGCCTGCACTGTGCCAGTGGCAGGGAACATCTGTCTCTAGGTCCCCCTGCCACACAGTGTTAGAGTCAGGGGAGGTCGCTCACTCGACTGGCCAGTTTGGAGGGCCTGTGGGCAGAGCAGGGCAGGCCTGGCTCGAATTTGAGGGCGCCCAGGCGGAAACTTGTCCCCAGGTCCATCCTGCTCTGCCTGCCGCATGCCACTTGTATCTGTTGGTGTGTGTTGTGTGCAAGCATGGATTTTATAGGTCAGAGGGCACCAAGGCATCAAAAACACCTAAAGGGCAGCTTCTATGTGTCCTCTTGTTCTGTGTGTCTTTTACTGATGCTTGTGTCTTTCTGTCTGACTTTGTAAAAACGTGTGTGTGTGTGTGTGTGTCATACGAAAGCCGGCGTGTGTGTTCCTCCTTCTTACAGCGGTGCATAACTAGCAGTGATGCATTCCCGTGCTCAGCCTCTGTTTGGCCAGTTTTAATCTCCTTACATTTAGACTGTTTAAATAGTCTCAGTTCAGTTCAGTTCCTATTTACTTAAGCAAAGTGGAATGCTATCAGAGGCAGCAGGCAGTAGTGTGCCAGTCACACAGCAGATAGCTCCTTCATGCAGCGACAGCCCTGATAAGAGGGAAGAGGGGGAAAGTAGTGTTTAATCAAACAGTGGAGGGAGAAGGGATAAGTGCATGAAGCCTGGGCTGGGATGCAACAGCTATTCATAAATCTAAGTTTGTGTGAAAAAAGTCCTTCTCGTGTCGTTTCCTGGCTTCAGGATAGTGATTGACTGAATTTGGTTGAACTTTTAAAACTAAGTCTTGTGCTGGAAAAATCTTAAGAACTACATTACTGCTAAATATGACCTCAGTGACTTATAAAATAATGATTCGGGTCTCTGTAAATAGATATAGAATGGGCAGATACTTTACAGGAGGGTTTAAGAATTGAGAGGTTTTGTGCATTGATTTAATATAAATCTGGATGTTGCATCTTTATCCCATCTCATTGTAAAGAAGTCAAAATATAGCCAGGACAACACTGACATGTTGAACTGGTGATATATTTTAAAACCAAGGCTTACTCAGATGTGATCTGGCTGCTGAGGCTGCAAGATTCATTGTCTGCCCACTCAGCCAATCAAAGCGCACATTTATTCTACCAATAAAACAGCAAAGATCTCTTGGGTCGGCACAGTCGATAGCAAAGCAGATCTTTACTTTGATCTGAAGTGGACTCTCGTGGTTATGAAAAGTTGAACAAGTCCTTCAAGTTTGCTCTCACTTTTCTTGGATGAAAAAAAAAACACTGCAGGACTCCTCATTTGGCGACAGAGCTGTCAATCAATCATATTAACAGCCCATTTTTTTAGAAGCAAGCTAACTGCTATGACAGACAGAAATAGGCAATTAGACAAATAAGAAACAGATATCGACATATATTTTTATTTCATAATTTGCTTTAATTGAGGAGGTGGGCCATGTGACTTATTCTGCAACCAATCATCAGGAAGAGCTCTAAATGCTTTGTTTTCACTTTTAAGGAGTGATTGTGCCATCCGTGTATTTTATCCATCAATGTGTTTTGTAAAATGAAGTTTTATATTTTAATTCTGTGTGGGGCTTTAGAAAATTCTTTTAAGTTTATAGGCTTTTAAAATGTATTTTTTTGTTTTAAGGTTAGGGTTTGATGCCTCACTGAGAAATTGGCCGGCGGACAAAGTAGGAAACTGTGAAGAAGTAATGGGTAATGGCATGTTTAACAGGGTGGCAGGGTTGAACTGAATCTGGCAAACGATAGCATCTGTAAATGGGCAATTGATGTAATGGCCAAGTCGTCATGGCAGCCAAGTCTATAAGGTTTTCAACCAGTAATTAGATGAGATGCCAACCCTAGTTTTATTACCTACTCCAGTCTTTGCTTTTAAATTGCCAAAAATAAAAGCTGAGACCTAAACTTCCTTCTTTTGTCAGCTTGTTACAAATACAACAGTAAAACTTGTTGGTGTGATCAAAAACTCATTTCTATAAAGTATTGTATTGGCAGATTTTTGGTCATTCACTGACCACAAACTTCCCAACATGGCCACTTCAAGTACTGAAGACTGCCTAGAACGAGAAATTATTGTCTGAATTTGAGGACGGGTTTTTTTGTGAGGCATATAATAAACTTATTGAACACAAAGACACATTTACAGCTATTTCATTGGACTGTAAACATGTAATTCATGATAAAATTAACGTTAAAAAAAAGCTTTTTATTGTCAGTCATTATGCTTGATTCTTTATTAAGCTAGTTTAAACATCTTGGATTAGTCCACTTCTTCACCCATTAAGTCTCCTGATCACTCCATTTTGATATCTTCGACTGTCTTTCTCTTTCCATATCCATCCATCTCTTTCCATGCCCTTTTCAGAAGGCGGGGTATTTATCATCTTTATACCTGGAGGTTTGAGGGCCATGCAGTGGCCTGATAGATGGGCCAGCCACTGATGTGCAACCACCTCAGGAGACACAAACCAGACAGCTATTTAGTAGCTGAGCAAGACACATTGCTTTTCTTTTATTGTTTCCAAACTGCAGGGATGTGCGTGTTTGTGTGTGTGTGTGTGTGTGTGTGTGTGTGTGTGTGTGTGTGTGTGTGTGTGTGAATGTGGGTGGGGTGGGGAGAGGGAGGTTTGAGAGGAGGAGGAGGAAGAAGGAGGAAAGAAAGAAAGAAAACAATAACAACAGATGCTTCTTGGCTGTCCAGAAAAAATGCAGCAACTGTGCACAAGATGGGCCATTATCCATCTACAGTGTATCACTATGTTGTTGACAAATCAATGGCTCTGACAGTGATGACTCTGTGTTACAGCAAACATAAAGCACTCAGACTGTCTCCAGGACTGCTGTGGAGACTGCAGCAAGGGAGCACTCCGGGCAAGGGTACTCATAGCCGGGAGGAGTGTGTATGTGTGTTTGTGTTGTGTGTGACAGAGGGTTTTTGTTGTGCACATTTGTGGTTTCTTTGCAGGTGTGGATGTAAAAGGAAAGCTCATGAAAACTGAACCGTTCATGGATCAAATTTGATTTATCAAGCATGTTACTGCCAGGCTTAACATTTGCATGAATCAGAAATACATTCACCTTGCTCTTCATCTTTAAATTCTTCCTATGTAGTCTTTGTCGACGTGTTCTGCAGAGGCTTTGTTGTGCAACTTGACCTGCTTGTGGTTAAAACTCCTCTGTACTAATATCTTACAGACTGGAAATCTTCTGACAGGGTTGTAGAAACCACATCAGGAGTCTAGCATCCTATAGAAAAGTAATCCATTCACACAGACAAACTGGACAGTACATGGAGTTAATGGTTGACTTGTAACATGCAGGGACGCAGTGTGCTTCAATGGTAATGTAGGGAAATCTTTGTGTGGAGTCTGTGATAGGGCATAGGGTGTAATGAGTTAGCATTGTGAATGGAAACAAGAAAGGGTAAGGGGGGTTATTTGAGTTTGATTGACAGGTAGTCTTAAACCCCCCTGTGGCAGGTGCCAGGGGCATGTCACAGGGGCAAGAGCAATGTAAACCATATAGACACACTGATGAAGCATGACTGCTGTCTCCAGAAAATGTGCTTTTCATTGCTCAGGCCTTTAGAACAGCAGTTTTTATTTATTTATTTATTAAACAAATTATTAAAAATTAAAAATATCTTTTCCACGATCTAACAAAGCTTGTTTATAAATGTATTCTCTTATTTCTAAGGAACAGTCCACAAATATGAACTGAAACGTGCAAATCTGCTATCCTTGCACCCTTTTATCTGCTGTCCTTGCACTGATGTTAAAATAAATAATTCTTGTCACATGCGCAAAACAAAAAACAGATTTTGTGTTTAGAGTTTCAAGAATTTTGCCTCATTTAAAACAAAGAAAAAGCTCAGGTAAGAAAAGTTACCTTGACAAAAACTCAAAGAATAGTAAACAAGACTTTCCACTGACTGCATTAGTCTAAAGTAGTCTGACACTCCTACACATCTCGATTGAATCAAACCAGTTTTATCCTGTTTTTCAAGCTGCAACCATCTTACCTAACTATTTTAAAGAAGATTTATTAAACAAAATTCATTTGATACATCAGACTAGAATGTTTCACAGGGTCAGCCCAACAACGTTCTCCAGTGTTGGGAAATCATCTAAAGTAAAAGAACCAAAAACAGGAGCACCTAAGGGGTCCACTTGAGGCTGGCTTCAGGAAAGCCCATGAACACCCATGTGAAAAACCGATTTATACAGTAGATATAAACATGTTTATAGCCTGGTACAAAAACTGTGTAGATCTGAACTGCTGTCTTTTTACTCATAGACGCTGTATCTTTCACACATTTTGGAAAAAAAGGCTATGAGTTAAAGAAAGATTTGAAGATTTGCATAATAAGGAGCACAGCTGAGTTGTAACTGTAGATGTTTGTCAGTCAGGGAGGGTCATTTCAAAATGATTTCCAAAGTGTCATCATTTAATTTCAAAACCCCTCTTAGACACCAATGGATGACATTAATGAAACTACATCCATGTTTTTTTTTACCCTTGTTTGCAATTTAGCTTTAAGATGTTTTATTATAGAAAGATTGTGAAACTAAAAGTCATAAATTCTATTTCACTGATGGTGGCGTAAATAAATAGCTGTGAGTCCCTGGAGGCCGGATGAATACAGGATATGAATTCATACAAATGTGAGTGTAATAAGGTGTAAATGTGGTAAAGGTAAATAGTGATTATTTGTGATTATTTACCATGATTATTTATAATTAAAAAAATTTTACACTTAGCTTTGTTTCTGTAATATAACTGTAATAATCATAAGAAGTACTGTCTTTAAATTAACTTGATCTGTTGTGTATAGATAATTTACTCATGTATTTCTCATGTAGTGAACACCAGGAAACAGAACATTATTTCACTGTAAATGAAATAAAGTTCCTCCTTACCACAGTAACACCCCCCACTCTCGTCACAGCTCAGGGTGTGCCGTGGAGCACTATCACTGCTGATGAGAGCAAAAGTCTTTGCATTCAATACTCTCAATCTGCGGTCCAAATTAGAGAGGTTAAAAATCTATGGTGATGCTAAGTGAACAGATAGAGGCAGGGAGACAAAATCAGGCCAGAAATCAAAGCCTTGGAAGGAAATATGCTCCCGATTGTATGCCTGCAGAGAAAGAGAGAGAGAGAGAGAGAGAAAGAGGGTGAGTGGGAGAGAGATAGAGAGGAGGACAGGGGGAGCTCGAGGGGTTAAAAGGCAACATTGTCAGCGGCACACAGGCAACAAGACAAGTGTCGACAGCGACAGGAAAAAGACGGAGGCTGCCCATGTGCCTATGTCTCCTCCACCCGACCCCTTGCGACACCCGCTTCCCCCACCCTCCCCCTCCACTGCAGACGAGCATATGTGGGCTGACAACATGACATTGCTAGTGAAGAGAGGGAGGAGAGAGAGGGAGAGGGAGAGGGAGAGAGGAAGAGGGAGGACCAGGAGCCTTGGTAGCTCTGACGTCCCTGACTCTGACAGCTGATGGAGGCAGATTAGACTCACACATGCACACGACTGTCAGCCCACCCCACATCCCCATCCTCCCCTCCGCTTAATTCTACCCCCATCCAAAAACCACACAGAGACCTTCCTTTATTCTCCATCCTTAGACTGCTGCTCGTCTCACAGAAGTGGATTGGAGGCAGGGATAAGAACATTTAATTTGAGGAGATGGATGTCTTTCATTACCACTGTTGACAAAAATGTTCACAATTAAGTTAAAATAACAGGAAAACAATTTCCAAATCAATACCTACTTATTAAGAAAGTAGTCTAAATCAAATCTCAAAGATAAAGCGGAGGGTTCCAGGATTTGCTCTTTGCATCAGTTTAAAAGTTAGTACATCATCAAAACACACAATAAGCATGTAGAAAAGCAACACCCAGAATAAGGTGCTGACTACCAACCATTCACAGACACGTTAAACAAAAGTTGACATTCTCAAGTCTTCCTAATTTGGCTTTGAGTTCCACTAATTTTATGATTTCACTCATTTTGGTAAACTGAGCAGGTGGCTATTATGCAGCAGCCGCCCTACTCGTACAATTATGGTACCTGCATGCAGTGTTATAAGACCTGAGCAAAACTTGTTTAATACACATTTATCAAGACCAAGTAGAACATACATATACATTTTTTTGTTTTATTTTTTGTCCTTTTTTGTTATCTGTGTTGTTTTTGCACAGCAGCCTGTCAGTCTCGACCATTTAAAAGGCCCAAAACAACAGCAGAGTCTATCTTTTTAGTGGTCTCAATCATGGTAAACTCAGTGCCTGGTCTGATATCTGATATTTTAATGTTTACTAGTTGTATTTATATATTTGGGTTTGCGTGTGTTTTGAAATAATAAAGGTGCAGCCATTTACTGCAAGTGTCTATATTTTAGCTTCTCCAGCTCATACATGATTTCTTCACATTTGTCCTTGAGTTTTTTTGGACTTGTGTGTCTGCTTTTGAACTTTTATTGTTTCTGAAAATTTTCTGATTTTTAGCATTAAAGCTCTGGCACAGGATGGGGCTGTTGTATTGGTGGGTTTGCATCAGACACACTGTGTGGATTCGCACTGATGCAATGTTAGGGCTGTTCTTTTATTTTTTATTATTTGGCCAGGAATGACCCAGCTGTATCTCTACATGGTCGAACAACCGAATCAAGATTCAAGTCAGAAACACCTGACCGCTGAGAGCAAGCTCGTGCAAGCTGTCTGCGTATTACTGAACTACAGCAGATATCCAGAACCATAATGTCTGTAATCCCCATGACTCAGGTGCCCTCACACAGCCCAGACTCTACTCTGGGGTTAACCACAATTATGAACGCACTTACAGCTGATGGATAAGCCACACTGTATAAGAATGCACATCAGTTCTGTGTATCACAGTTTCTTCTTGAGTATCAGGTCCACATGTAATGCTTGTTTCACAGTTTAAGACAGAGGGAGGAAGGAGGAGAACAGAGAGTTGTTTTCTGAGCGTGTTTGCTTTGTCTGTTTCTGTATTGGAAACAGAATGCTGACATTTTACTCTGTGACAGATAAGAGGTAGAAAGAGAGAAAGATAGCGTCTAATGTTTGTGTGGGTGTGTGCACGCACGCATGCATGTCTGCGTAGTGAGGCAGACATCCACCCTGGGACAGTATGTCATCGATTGAGCTTCAGGAAGAGGCCTATTATCTCCAGCCATGGTTCAAGCGGGGGAGTCAAGTGTGTCATATGTGTTGGCTCTAATTGGCAACCCAGCCTGGTGGAGGCTGAGTGGGGTGAAGGCAGAGCTGCAGTAACCCCACCACCTCTAACACACACACATACACTCACCCATCCTTGTGGTTGCCTTTGTAAGTGTTGCATTGTGCTACTTGAGGCATCCTCTTGTTTTTCTCCAGTACAAAAAAAGCAGAGATAAAAACGCTTTAATGCATCTTCTCAAGCAGAAATTGTTTCTACGAATTGTGATGCATTACTCTCTGTAAACGTTGGTCACTGCTGCAGGGCGTCTGTGTCTATGGTTGTGTTATTCTGTCGAGCCGACTGCATTTCACCGCCTCAGTGTTGTATTGTGAGTCAGATTCTGCTGGTTTTCGCTCTCCATCTTCAGGGTCATTATTTGTTCTGTTCCTCAGACATATCTCCTACTAGACAAACCCTCATGTCTCACAAGTTTCCTCTTTCTCTCTCTCTCTCTCTCCCCTCGCCTGGTCCGCCTGCTGCTTTCATGGTCTAACACTGCCCTCTGCAGGTCAACACATTGGCTATCTCTGTTGCGAAAAAAAATAGAAGTGGAAGATCAACTTTAAAGGTCTTTCTTTGAACGTCAGATGAAGATCAATAAGGATGTCAACATAAAAAATCCATCTCTGAAAAAAGAGAGTAATTTGTTGCTTTTCCTTGCATGTCCTCCCTGTGGTATAGTGACAAAAGACATTGGTTTCATTCGATAATTAGTTTTTTTAATATCACTAGCTCTAAAATTACAATTTTAGAAAGTAATTTAATTCTGACAGAATGAGGTAAAAGGTGTAAAAATAATTATTGAATTATGAAAGCTTCTGTAAGAGGCATTTTGTCTTTTGCAGGATATTTTTCCACCTAAGGCTACATGGATTTAATTTTCAGAAAGGTAAAGATATTATTCGTTTATTTATTGAAGGGGTTCACTTATTTCTCAAGGTTGATGCTGTGTCTTAAAATAACTCAGAAATCCTCATCAGCAGATTTCCAGATGGTTCACCGTTGTTTCCATCAGGGGTGTTAGTGATATAGTCTGAACAGCCGAGCCTTCCTCCAGTATTCATCATTAGTAGTGTTACAGTCTGCCTGTTGAGCCGGACAGCTACCTGGTCTGTTCCTTATTTCCTGATCAGTGGGGTTTCCGAGCCACATGTGTGTTCTTCTGAGGAATATTACACAGTCACATGGCTGCACCTTGAGGAGCACATAGTCTTTGCTATTATCGCCTCAGTGGGACTCTGCATGAACAGACCTTTGAAAGTCATGATCTCATTTCACTGTGATCCCTTCAGTCTGATCCTCAATCTGAGCTTCACAATATGGTGCAATACATCAACGCTGCTTTTGCATGTTATCACCTTATACTTTATCATTCGTTTGGCACTTTCTGGATTTCTTAAATGATACCAAGAACAAAACCGACTTGAAAATGGCGCTTCTACGAAAATGCAAAGGATACAAAAATGATCACAAACTAATTGAATTTTCCTTCGGGGATTAATAAAGTTCTTATTCTTATTCGTGTTCTTAATACCATTGTGTACTGACTTTTTTGCATTTTCTGCCCTTCGAGAGACATAAAAATGTGGTAAGTTTGTCATGTGCTGTACCTTGAAAAGTTCAATACAAACTTGAATAAAAAAGAAAAAAATGAACAAAAACAGTGAGACAACCAAGTGTCTGATTAAGTTGCTCTCCTTTAATCCTCCTTAAAAACTTTCTGTCTGTGTGTCTTTGGCGCCCCCTGTGGAATAGTGGTAACCTTACATCCCAAAAAACATCTCTAGTCTTTTTATGATCAAATTTGTCTCTCACTGTGAAAATTTGCAATGGGAAAAGAAAATGAGGCTGCTTCTATATCATACCTACCCTCTCAGAAGTTTAAGGCATTAAAATTACAATACAATTACTGTCAGTCTTATCATTACGGGTCTCATTTACTTCGGTATATCACAAGGACAAATCAAAAACTCCTTACAGGACCTTTAAATACAGTATACTATTCTTTAACAGTTTATGACAAATACCTTAAATTCTAGTAAAGCTCAGGACTTGGGTAAATGAACTTGGTCATTGACAACATTTTTGATAACAACGTGTTTACAGGCAATAATCACAATGAGAGTTATCAAATATGGTTTTCGTGCAAACCACAGATGTGTTTGAGAGTATATTCTGCTTTCAAATAATCAGAGGGTCTGAGAATCCACTCACTTTTCCCACTGACTTCCCAGCTGGTTTGACTGAGGTAAAATGAGCTCTTATTTCCACCAACAGAGAGCAGCAGAGTCCTGCCCCTGAACCTATTGAGGGGGTTTTAGAGGGGGTTTCATTTACTGGTTCAACTTTTAGCATAAGCATCACCCCAAAACCTGGTTGTATTTTTAGCGACAAAGCTTGATTCTTTTTGCTGTAAACATTGGTCTTGACCTCCAAATCAGTGAAAATGGATTCCTCTCGACCCCTCATGAAATGTCTGTGTTGTTCCTCTCAATATAAAGGCCTGTTGTTGGGGAAGTGTGTGAGGGGTTGAAGGAAGGGAAACATCAGGACGGCTCCTGCCAACTGACTCTGCCTGAAATGACAGAGACAGGTGCGGTAAAATCGCTCCTTTATACCAGAACCCTCCCTCACACACACACGCCAAACACATGCCGACACCCACTCAGCAAGCAGTCAGCCTGCCAACACACTCAATTATTTCACTGCTCCTCTTTCTAGTAGGGAAGTTTGTTGGCTGGCATATCAACATTAAATATGTCTCCTGTGGATGTCAGACTTTCACTTTTGTTTATACTTGTGACAACAAGTGCTCATGTTAGTCTCCTTTAGTTTTCCACATGTACAGTTATATGTCCCAGAAGTGCAAATATGTGTCTTTGGTGGGAGAATTTCTAGTGTGATCCAAAGCTGTATACTTTACAAAGATCCATTTCGACCTTTGAGATAATGTAAGGCAGGGTGTTACTAAAGAAGTAAACACAAGAAAATAAATCATTTGGATTTTTATCAGTCCCACAATGCAAAATATTTATTATTCACTGGCCGAATCTCTTTTCCAAACACATAACCATCAAATTAAACAAACTCCTCACTCCGTCTGTACAAGTAAAGCTTGTCACTGACATTACTTAGGGATATATGGCCAAATAGACCACATACGTATCCATGAGGAGCAAGAAGTTAGCAAACATCCTTAAGTAGGATGCGTCCATTATTTATAATAACTATAATATTGATTAGAATGCTGAGGAAAAACAAGCAAGCATTTAAAAAAAAAACTGCATAGACTTTCATTAAGTACAACCAAGTTTTTTGCTGTTTACTTATTCCAGTTCTTTGTGACTGTCAATCACAAGATAGTCACGCCCGAAAACATAGCAGACCTCACCAATGAAAGAGAATATAAATACATGAGAGAAAGGTGTGATTGAGGAATTAATCAAATGTAAAGTAGGATCCTTTTGACTGATGGGTTAAACTCCTGTGGCTTGGTACAGTACATGTAAAAAAAGGTGGTTGGTTGGTTAGTTGATCAATTGGTTGGTTGGTTGGTTGGTCAGTTAGTTTGTTGGCTGGCTAAGTGGTTGGCTAAGTGGTTGGCTGTCTTGTTTGTTGGTTGGTTGGTTGGTAACTTTGTTGGTTGGTTGGTTGATTGGTTAGTTGGCTGAATGGTTGGTGGCTTTGTTAATTGGTTAGTTGGCTGCATGGTTGGGTGGTTGGTTGGTTGGCTGCATAGATGGTTGGTTGTTTGGTTAGCTACTTTTTAAGCAGCTTTGTTAATTGGTTGGTTAATTGACTGCTCACTTGGTTGGACGAGAAGCTGCTGGTCTAAGCCATTTAGGCCTTTACTTCACTGTTTAAACCTTGAGGCAAATACTCCTTTTTGCATAAAATCGACAGTCTTAAGAAGGAAAACAGCAATCTGTCCTCAAAAGGTGGTGAGTGTCCTGAATCAGTTCTACTTCATCAGTCTTTGCAGTGTTTAAGTCAACTTTGAAGCCTCACAGAGCGGACAACCTACAGCTTTGACATCTCCCATAGAGCTCCATACATCTTCATCTTCTGCTCTGACGGAGTGTCTAAAATAGAAAAAAGATCAAAGAGCTGTGTCTGAATGTTCTGAATGTGTGAGGGCACGACACAGACTGCAGTGGACAGGGAGGTTACGTATGCCACCTATGACTCAAAGGGTGATGTAGACAAGAGCAATTGGAAGAGATAACAACCAGTAAGCTACTTAAGATTGTTTCCACAGGAGTATATTGCACTGTCAAGTGAAGCCTGTTGATTCACCAATTGTGTTTCTGTTCTCCTCTCAGTGTGAGCGCGGTAGAAATCAGAAGACAAAACTAGATGTTGCAGCAAGGACTGACAACATTCAGCTTTATCATCCATTTTTTCTCCCAACACAAACAGCAAAAAATCATCCTTTAGCTGTAATTTACTATTACAATAATGAAGGCAGGTGTTTGCTTACAAATCTCTTTTGTAAAATTTAATCGTTCAACAGCAATTAACCTCAATAATAAGCAATTGTAGTTGTAAAAACGTTGAGTTAAGACCAGAAAGGAGAAGCCAAATGGTGAATTGAATAAAGGCACTATGAGGAGTTTTTATGTATTGATGATTCTGATTATCCTCTTATGGAAGAAATCTGTGCTGTTTTTTATCAAAATAAAGATTGCATTTCCCATGAGCCCCATCCTCCACTGTCATGAAGATATGGCTCTTGAAAGTGCATGTTTTATTAGTGGAAGCTTATAAAGGCGTAAAGATATTCTTTTTGATACAGATTTTCTATATTCAAGACAACTGTTTAAAGAGTTCATGTAATGTGTTGATTTTTTTATGATATAAAGTTATAAACTAAAGTGTAACAACGACAAAACTTTGTGCACCTTTGCTGTAAAGATTACCAACAAACTATTACGATATATGCCCCAGTGTCCCAGTCAATGTCTCAGAAATGTAATTATGCACAGAATTTTGCTCTTTTGTCCTGTTCATAGCCACTTTCCTCTTTTATCGAGCAAGGCTCCATCTGAGGGGTTTCTTAGTTCAAAATCCAGAACCCCATTAAACCCATTAAAACTCCTCAAAGTGCTGGTAATTATCAGTGAATAGGAAAAGCTCAAGAATATTAATAGTCAGTTCATTTTTTGAAACCTTTTTTTTTTTAATTTTCTGATGTGTCTGTACTTTGTCAAATATCTTTGAGTTTTTGTTCTGTTGGATTGCTGTGTGTTTTTAATTAGTTGTCTTGGCGCCACTTGAACCTTTTAACTAGTTTCCCTAATTTCCCCCGCATGCTCCTACACTTTATGTCAAGCTTTTAAGCAACATTCCCTGGACAATTGTTAAATAAAGTGTACATACTTACTGATCGACTACAAACTTGCGAAGACACTTTTTCTGTCTACACCACAAACAGCTGCTCTGTTTCTCTCTTCATCCTCTCTCTCTCTCTCTACCTCTCTCTCTCTCTCTCTCTCTCTCTCTCTCTCTCTCTCTCTGTCCCTCTCTCTGTCTCATCGGTCTCTGAGTGACAGCACATGTGCTGGGGTACATGGGAGGGCTGCTGCTGAAATTCTAACCCCCTTACCCCACCACTGTGAGACATATCCCAGCTATGGACAGGGAGGAGCTGTGAGGGACAGACGCTGGGAGAGGAAAGAATTGGGAGACAGACAGACAGGCAGACTGCAAGAGCAAGTGGACTGAGAGCAAGAAGCAAAGAGAGGGGGGACAGGTCATAGGGTTGGAGAGTTTGGCTTTTTTTGCCCAGTAGACCTGCACAGGAGCCCGGTTCTCAGCGGAGAAGCCTCTGATCTTTCCGTCATCAGAGGTCTGAGTTTCTGTGTGCAGGTAGAGAGGATGGCGGCGCAGATGTGGATGGTGTGTTTGCTGGGAAGTCTGCTCTGCCAGGTAAGAAAAATCATCTGATCTTTATAAGTTTTGACTAAACTTTACAAAATAGGTGGAGTTTCATTAGTCTTATTGTACATTTGTGTCTCTATGCTGTTTTTTTTTATATGAGAAGACTCAATCTATGACTGTCTGCCATAGTCTAATGGCTTTTTTAAAGTTTATTCATTTATTTTAGCGTTCGACTAAATGAAAGATCACATAGCTACGCCAAAGTGATAAGCCATCAGGGTTGGAGGGTCATCTTACTCTTTTCCCTTTGCTGGAATTTTAATTAAAATTCCAATAACAATGGTAACACTCTCATACTTTTGTCTTTGATAAGCTGCAGTAAAAGTTCTCGACTTTCATATGAGTTTAACCCAGTGATACTACCCCGACATCCTCCTTTCTGTATGGGTCTAGATTCAACTTTCCCCCAATTATCTGCCCAAGACACCTCCACCCCAGCCCCCTTCAGAGCATCTCTGATTGAAGACCCACCTTTAGCTGCCTCATCCCTCATAAATACACAGTTTATGTTATTACCTGTCTCCAACCAAACATCAACTGATTTCTATCAGTTGAATCCAGAGTCAGGTTGAGGCTGAACTAAACACTTTATCCTGGTAAGATAGAGGATGATGAAGTGTTTTTGAGAAGGACATGTCTCCAGATGTGTACAGAAGGCTCGGGGCATCATTAGTGGCCCCTGTCTGCAGACGCCATTGTGAGATTTAAAATGGATGACAATGTAAACGGAAACATCATCAACAGCACTTCCAAACACCATCAGTCTCTCTCTTTGTTTAGAGTAGAAATGTAGCCCAGGTTGGGATGGTGAGTGAGCTGGCCTCCTGTGATTCTGGAGGGCAGTGTTGCTTGGATTTTCACCATAAGTCATAGTACATGTTACAAGATGCAGCAAAGATGTGGCAGACATCATTGTGGTAAATTATATCTATTCTTCAAAGCATTTTTAAAAGACCTACATTTTCTGTTCGGATGCGTACATCAGAGAACTGCTTAATCTCCATGAAGGTGATACCAGGTTAGCCCATGTCTCTAAAAGCCAGAGGTGTTAAAAGCCCAAGAGGGACCATAACCTAAATAACAAGAAGTGGCTCCCACCATGTGTTTACTGACCTATAATTGGAAAAATCTGCCCAGAAATAATCAGTCTTTTGAGTATGGCACACTCCCGAAGGAGGACTGAAAGGTGGCTCTGAAAAGTTGAAACCAGGCTCCTTCACAGGGAAGAGGAGTCCAAGCAGACCCTGATTCAACCCAACGTGGCACAAAAAGAGAAAAAAACTGCGGTCATTTCAACACACAAAGTCCAGTCAAACCCTTGGAAACCACTGTGAGTCTAATCTGACTTCATCCCTCAGCAGAGTGACAAGCTATGTTTTCTAAAACCAACATTTAATACCAACGTGTCTGAAAAAAAAAAAACACATTTGTGGTAGACCATTCACCAGAAATCTTTACCTTTTATTGTATAATGTCAAATGTTTAATTTCCTTTATGATCAAATGAAAAAAGTGCTTAACAACTAATTGACTGAGATAAACTGGTGCTATATTTTTTGAAAAAAGAGACAACAAAAACATTTTCTTGTTGGAGGTGGTGGTGAAGGGTTTGTAAACTTTGTAGAGGTGGATTCATCTCTCTCCTGCCTCACAAGTAAAATGACATAAATTCTGCAGAAGGACAAATAACCAGGATTAAAACTAACGACCCAACCATTAGTCCAATCCAAAAGCTTTACTCACTGTCACCTGATATAGCCTCCAGTTGTACTCTGTTAATTTTCAGTATGCTGGGGTTGTTTTGAACGGTTGTTTTCAGGCCTGCTGGTCGATGTTGTGGGGAGGGGTGGCCACCAGCCACAGCTGTTCCCAGATGCATACGTGATGCCATTTGTCTCGCTCTGTAATTCCCATTGCGGAAAGATGAGCGGGCCGCTGCTGGACCATGAAATCGAGCACAAATCAAGAGTCTGTAGCAGTGGCCAGCTGGCGCTGAGGTCTCACTCATCGGAAACAATCAGTCAGAGGATTTAAAGTCTGAATCGCAGGTCCTGCTGGGTGTAGATACCTGTGGGATGTTTTACACGGACTCAGGTTTCAAAAGGAGAAAGTACCTAGCAGAGCATGAAAACTGGTTTAAAAAACAGTGAAGTTGATTGTCAAACTACAACAAAAAGCAGCAGATGGAGGCGGATGTTTTGGAAATGGATAAATTAATTAACTCATTAAGATGGCGATCATTTAATACAACCCAAAAATCCTTTTATTACATGTAGAGAGAGAATTTTTCATGATATGTTAAAACTAAAAAATAGTCAAACTTCCTCAGCCTGTTTTATACAGTATCTATGTTTTAAAGAGCATGTGTCGATTTAGATGCGTCCACCATTAATTCAGGGAAACTCAAATCTAGAGCAGAAGGAAAGCTGATGCAAACACTATTTAGGTAATGTGAAATTTGGTTATATGAAAGATATTTTTACAATTGGGCAGGTATCTGAAATTGAAAAGTATTGGGATCAAATTCACTATGACCCTTCTGAGAGTGCAGAAATACCTGGAATTTGAGGAAAAGCAGCAATTCAATTCAACTCAAACTCATATCGATGTTGATACTGAAATATTTTGAGGCATCTAACAGATCAGCAAATTGGTAGGACAACAGAATGGCAGATGAAGAGATCCATTTCTATCCTCATTAAACTCTTTGACTTATCTTTAAGTCAATCCACCATCATAGATCACATTGTTACACATCTTCACATCTTTAGTTACTCCACGTTTATTCCCTTGTTGGGACCCACTTTTAGTCTTAACCTTGCTCAGCATTCCTAGAGCATAGACATCTGCTCGAAGAGAGACTCACACTTGTAGTGGCACCATAAATAGGTTGTCCATGCCCATGCCAAGCACTCATGACTTAGCAGAAGAGTAAGGGTGTGGGAGCAGGACTGTTGGTGGGTGACTGACTTGCAGTGTGTCCATGACTAAGGCCGGTGACAGAAGTGACCTTAGAGACACCTGTGCGACCTCAGGCCCTTTTTGGCCGAAGAGACGGTCAGACAAGCTTTCTGTGTGCACCAGTCTTTTTTTGTTTTGTTTTTTTGAGTAATTTAGGGACTGTTCCACTCACACATACCTGGAGAGGGTTAACTTGGGCCTACAGACAGTGGATGCAGAAATAAACAGAGAGAAGCAACTGTGGTAACTCGGACAGAGGGATTTCAATTAAAAGTCAATAAAAAAGTCACTTGATGCAGACATGAAATATATCTGTTTAACCAGATTCGTAGCATTGAAGAAACATTTTAAAAAACGCATATCTTTAAATTTGTTACAAAACGTGAAGAAAACGTGTTTGTGATGGCATATAAAGGTGCTCTCAAACTGAGATCGTTTTAAAGAATGACTTTGAGGACGACAGAAATGTCTCATTAATAAGTGTCTAAAGAGTTAGCATTTATTTCATTTTCATACTGAACAGCTGCAGTGGTTTTATGAACAAATTACATTTGAAGAAGCAAAACTTTGGAAGTAATTCTGCTTTCCTTCTCATTTTACACTTTTCTAGTAAAGACATCTTAGCCCCATATCCCTCCTTTTATAAGTTTATTCATGTTTTTAGAAAGTTGTTCTCAAATTATATATGCTACATTTATCAGAATACCAGGAGTTTCTGTGGCAAAGATTCTCAATAATATAGTGGTGTATATACATCCCAAGCAATTTATCCTGATCAATAGATTATCACAAATCAGCAAAAAGATGTGAAATACCACCAAATTAAAAACTACCCAAACATACTCAAAAGATATTTGTCACTGGCTTCTTCTAAAGAATTGGTCATTTTTGCATTCGTATCAAGGCTTCGAAACAAGTTTTTTAAATCGTAACTAATAGTTGAACTTCAGTAATTAGATGCGATGAATTCTATTTCAATGACATGTTTATAATCTCATTGTTTTCCATTTTAAAGTCCAAATTAATAAAGCAATTCTTTCCGGTGCTGATAGTCATGACTTATTGTTGTCCAGTGATTCTCCAGGCATTTGAATTCTTACAATGTGCCAACCTCAGGACACTTCCACAGTGCTGACTGGCCTGCAATGAGACGCCACCCATTTAACAAGCACTGTAGTAAACTTCTTTGCATTTGTTGCAGCCGAAGGTCTGTGGGAATTTACACACTCCAAAATCGTCTTTCCCTGCTTCTGTGATGTGGTTGCCCTCTGACATCAGTTTAAAGTGAAATGTGCCACTTAAAAACTCAGTGATGTTGTCATTCTCCCTAATGGCTGCAGGAAGACACTGCTCCAGCTTAACTAGGCTGAGCTAAAAGGGAGGAAGTAGCGCAGGATTAAAACAAAGAGTATATGAATTTGATCATGATTGATGTGTTAATACTGACAGCTCTCATTACTTAAGGGTTTGTTTTTTTGTAAGATTTTCTTTTACAGTAAAACAGTTTTCAGGCTCATGAACAGTAATTTCTGATAAAGTGGGGATGAGACGAAAAGATATTGTATACTTTGAAATATTGTAATGCAAGATAAGAAGCAAGATAATCTTTAATTGTCCGATTCAGAAATTTGTCTTCTATCACTAACTCATCCATCAACACAGTACAATCACAATACACTTAAGATAATACTATCAAAAATATCATTAAAATATTAAAAAGTCCAACTTTCCAATAACAGTCTGAATACAAACTGAACCTAGATACATGAGAATATCCTACGCCAGTGTTAGGGATGTGTGTGTGTCGCTGTCCTACCTCCACTCCACTGTTTGTTCAATTAAATAATTTGAGTGAGGAATAAAAGAGATCTTGTACTTGTTTTTCTTACAGTTTGGCGTCCTAAAATGTATGATATAGCTGATCAGTTAGTGCACAATTGTTGATATAAAGTATTTCAAATAAACCGGGGTATCACATACTTTAAGATAATACCCTCAAAGACCAACATCAAGAGACGGAGAGTCTTGAACCCAGTGAACACTCCACATTAGAAGTGCTTGACGGTTCTTGCTGTGAGGGCATATCCTCCCCAAACAAGCTGTCCAGACTTCTGTGAGGGCCCGAGGTGAAAGGTCGGACCGTAAAGGTTTCTGGGAAAGGCCTTTAAAACAGTTAATCTGTATGTGGTGCCGTCGCTCAGCCTGTCAGAAAAGGAACTCTTTGGTCTAATTGGAAACATGATACTTTGGTGTTACTGCATTGGTCTGGTAAAAACATTAAGAGTCAGGCAGATACTTGGTGGAGCCATTATCCGAAACACATTTCCCTCTTAAGCTCTGATTCCTGAAACAGGACAATGTTCAGTACAATCCAATCCACTTTCTTCACAGAGCTCATTTCAACAAACAATCATTTTTACTTTAGTGCTGTGCAGTGAGACAAGAAACACAGAGATAGAAAACACTGAGGAAAACTAATCTTAGTAGAGGCCAGTAAGAAACACAAAAACAGTGACGGAAAAAAACAAAATCAATGTGAAGCCAAAAGTTAGAAAAGAAGTATCTTTGCGCCTTTTAGATTATAGAAGTATTGCTGTTGTGACGAGCTTCAGCACAGCTATTGTGTGTGAAGACAACCAATGACGATAGTGCCACAATTTTTCTTTAGCATTGTCTGTTGCATCTTTATTCAACTCAACTTCAACTCAACTTTATTTGTTAAGCACTTTAAAACAACCACAACTGAACAAAGTGCTGTACATAACTAGACAAAACAAGATAAAAAACAATCAAAAAATAATTAAAACAATTAAAACAATGGATAAAATAAAAGCAGAATTAAAAGTAAAATATAGTTTCAATGTTTTTAAAAACTAATTTAAAAACATAGAAACAAATAACTAAAAACAAACCATAAAACACTAAAACAGGAGCCGAGTCTCATGCAGGGTTAAAAGCCAATGAATAAAAATGGGTTTTAAGACGACTTTTAAAAATGGACAGTGTGGGGGCTTGTCTAATTTGGAGGGGTAGCTCGTTCCATAAATTTGGGGCTGCAACAGAAAAAGATCTATCCCCTCTGAGCTTTATTAATACAAAGTAAATAGTTGTTAATACCAAACATCCTATGCTATACTCAATTTATGTCAAATTATGCTATAAGAAGTGTAATACCGTCATCAATGTGTAAAAATGGCTGAATCTTCATTGGTAGCCAAGATAGTTGCGTGTTTTTATGAGTTGCAGCATCGAACTGTCACTTAGCTGGAGAGACCCTGGGGGTTCTGGAGAGAGCTGTTCTGGGAGTTTTTAAGTTTAAAGAAGTGTTGAAGCTCCTGCTGGTCTGTATCTCCCTGTCTGTGCATTCTCAGAGTTAAAAAAGGTGCTCTTGTTTGCCCAAGTGTCTACAAACCAGGAAAACTTAGAATGTGCTATTTTTGGAGACACAACTGTGATGCAGGTGTTATTAAAGTGACAGGGCAGAACGTGTGCTATGCCTGTGGAAGTACAGGATCATATTTATATGTAAGTATTTGTAAGCCTGAAGTATGGAAGTGGATAGCCATCAGGATTAATTTGTGTGGGTAACATGCACTGCTGGAATGCGAGTGTAAACATCTCCATGCATGTGTAGCCGAGGATGGCTTCAAAGAGTTAAATAGGTAGGGATCATGAATATAGAACAGGCTAAGATTAGCCTGCCCTCTGACTGGGCCTGGAGATGCCAGTCATGGTTACCATTTTTCCCCGCACTGTTGGACAGCGAGCCAAAGGATCAAAATATCAGATCACCCAACCCGCAGACGGACCAGAGATCACCGGCTATTCACAAAATATTCTCACATATTCCCACAAATCTGCTATCATTCCCTTCTGTATTGTTCAGAAATTTACTGAAAGCTCTTGTCATCAATGTTTAGAGTGAAGTATAGAGTATTCTCACTCTCAATCATGCTGATACGTTCCCATTAATTTCCGGTCCTATGGATTTTGTATCTGAGCTGTAAAACACATGTGAAGTAATGATAAATCAAGCCAATTCCCACAGAAAAGAAGGAAGCAACTTACGGAAATGTGTACATACAGAGTGTGTGGGAGGGTGTTTGTTGATGCACAGTCATGTATGCAAGTGTGTGTGTGACAGAGAGAGAGAGAAAGAGAGAGAGAGCATGTATATCAATGTGCCCATGGAATTCCTGTGGCAGAGCAGATCCGTAAGGTGACCCCGAAGTCCCAGTCAGGTGCAGAGCTGAGCATAAAGGGGAATTTGTGAGTGTGAGTGGGAATGCGGGTGGGAAAGCTCAGGATCTAAATCCATACTCGACAGCTGCTGTGCGAGTGTGTGTCTCATATGCCGGTTGTGTGTGTGTCTGTGCGTGGGTGCATTTGTGTGAACATAGCTAAGACAGCAAGCAATGTGGTGAATGAGGGCCTGTGAAATGAGCATGAGTGTTTGTGTTTCCTGGTCCTGGGATGAATTTGCACCCAGATCAAAGAAAGCTGACAAAGACTCGTATTAGTGAGTGAAACCTGAAGCTGTGGCCCGGCTTCCCTTCTGCCCTCCCCACAATCCAATGGATTCGACATTACAGACAACCGAAGAGCTGCAGCTATCACGCAGCAATTCCCACAAAGCCATTGGGAATGTAAAAGCACTGAGGGAGACTGTTAGCATGGTCTTAAACAGCTGCAAATATCAATGATGACATAATCTGTGTCATCCAGGAAGGGAGTAGTACTGGAATCAAAAACTACACTTCATGTCCAACTTCACTGACATACATTAAACGTCTCTGGCTGATAGGTGTAATGTAACACTTCTCATAAGTTTCTTACGAGAGTTTCATGCCATGGTTGTTTTCAGGTGTGGATTTCTGCAGAGCTTCATCCCACAGAGGAAGAACTGCATCCCCAAATCCTTTACCCATGGAGAAATCAAGGTGGAGGAATAGTCAGGGTGAAAAGAGACTGGATCATCCCTCCAATCAGAGTCCTGGAGAATAGCAAGCAAGTTCCTGAAGATCTTGTCCAGGTAAAAATGCCAAATAACAACTTTTCAATTTCAAATTTCTACAGGAGATTGTCACTGTCACACCTGGAACACAAAAAACTTAAATATATAGTTTCACACTCTTTTAAGTCCATCCAAAATCAGTAATATAATCACGTCTGAGCAAATTTGCTTGCTGCAGTCATTCGTCGTGTTTATACTGATTAAGTTTAAGATCCCCTCTGAGTTTGCTTTAATGTAAGTGATGAGACACACAATCCACAGCATGAGCATTACACAGATCTGGATATCCGGAGTCTCCAGCCAAGTGTATGATTATTAGCAACACAGCTGTTATAAAGCCTCAGCAGTGTGAGTATTATAATTCATGTGCATTTCATGCCAAGTCACAGTTTTGTGCGTACTAAATGCTCTATTTCAGTCTATGTCCCTCACTTCTGCTCTAGGTGCACTCATAAAACCCCTCTCTGTTGCAATGTATATCAATATAGCTCACATTCATAAATAAAAAAACATACCACTCAAATTATATCTCTACTCTTGAAATAATAGAGCTTAATACAACATTTTTAACTAAGAAACATGTGGTGGCAGTTTTTGTTTGTTAGCTTGTATGCTAATTAGGCTAATTTTGCTTCACAAAAACAATTGGAGAAAGACAGAAGCTAAAACTACTCGCCAACGGAAAGTTTATGTTATCAGGAATTAATCCATGTAAGCCTTACACTGACACTGAAACCATGAAAATGAAGGTCAGTCTCTACTTAGTGTAGCATTATCCCATTCAGCTTATTTACTAATGTATTTGGAAATGCACTTTGTTGGTGTTCGTTCATGAACACTTTTAAGTGGTTTGTCAGACCAAACTCTGTGGCCTTGTATATAACACAGCTACCAATGTGACAAGACTTCTCAACTACAAACACTAACTACGAGCTTACATCAAAACAACTGTCAAAGCTTTTAATGGATTGCATGGCTAACTCTAAGTAACTTTCACTAATCACTCTCCAAGCCATGCCTTAGTCCGTTTTAAAACAGAAAACCCACCTGGGGTTTAAGCCTTGTTTTTACTAACTCATGTGACTGGTTTCCATAAATCTGTAAGTAAACAAATGATCCCTCGAGTTCACAAGGCAATGAGGTGCACTTATTAATCAATTAGAAGCATAGATATTGATTGATTGTAACATAGATAGCTACTATACACATATATTAATACACTTTTATATGGACTTTTATTTGTTTTTATTCCACTACCACTCTGCCTCCAGAAAGTGCAACATTACCACCATGCTGCTGTTTTACTCTTAGTTTTTTGTCGTATTTATTTCTTTATATTAAATTAAACACCATCATGCTGTGATATGGAAGTCAAGCAATGACATTTTGTTGCAGGGAGGAATCACTGCTGTGTTTTATTCTGTGCAATGACAATTATAGAAAGTCTAAGTCTAAGTCTAAAGTCTACTACCTTGAGCCATGCATGTGGGAGAGGCAAGTGCTTTCTAATAACAGATCTGACCCGTGTCAAACTGGAAAAGATGGTCTGACTGAATAGAATATACAGCTATATTTTAGCAGAATAACACAAATCAGAGTAAACAAGTCCTGTTTAGTCTTTAAAAACTCACTTGACATCAACATAGGCAGCTGGATAAGAGGAGTAAGCTAGTTAGCAGCCTGTTAGCTAAACTAGTACACTGTCAAACAGCTCTCTTCGATATGGAGGAGAGGAGTTTTGTAGGTATGTTGGATATTATAAAGATTTTCATAGAAATGGACAAGAGGTAATGGACAAGGTGCTAATATTAACCATGTAGTAATAATATAACACACTCTGTTGCCGTGGAAACTACACTGCTGTAAAAGAAAGGTCTTATATACTGTAGGTCAAATGCTTTAACTAATTGATGGTTTTGTTATATTCCTCTCAAGACTACATTATACAATAACAAATGACTTTCATATAAGATACAGTCCAGCGATTACACAGAACATGGGTCAGAGTTTAGAAGACACATGAAATGTAAATGTTGTGTTAAAACTGTCACATAAGTGCAGTTAGCGTATAAATCTTACAGTACAAGCAGAAATATTGAGCAAATTTTACAAGGTGATGAAAATAAAGCCCAGAACATATGTCAGAGACAGTGAATGCAAAATACATAAAATATAGACTCCTTGCTACTATTAGGTCAGAATCTCATTTCCTGCTGTAAGTCAAAGGCCTCTCTGAGCTTAAACACTCTTGTGTCAAGGTCCCTGACTGTCAACATACTCACATCTGGTGTTACAACATAATGTTTTCACTCCAACCCCCAACTTCCCATGAGGATGCAAAGATCATAAGTTTTGTCTCCTTTCTTTTTTTTCAGATAAAATCAGACAAAATCTTTACAGACGTGGTGATCTACAAGCTAGAAGGACCAGGAGTGGACCAGGAGCCCAAGAATCTGTTTGAGATTGATGATAAAACAGGAGTAATCAGGAGCAAACGGCCGCTGGACAGAGAGAAATACAACAGCTTCACGGTGAGAGAGCATTAACTGGAGTAGCATTATAAATGGTAAATGAGCTTTTTCAGTCCAATCAAGCTGAAGTATTTTACACAAATCACAAAAAAAGCCAATGAGACCCGACACGTGTTCACAGAGTAGGACCATGTGTTTGTCTCAAAGCATATATCAGTGTCTCAGACACCGGCACAAATAGCCAGAGGTCACTTTCCAAGGGCCTTTATGGGCAACTTGGGAGAAACTTCAGAGCTTTTCTACCAGATGACTGGTGATGTAACCCATGAATGTGAACCAAACATCCTGCACATTTCTTTCTGCCATTACCGGCATGTGTTCTGTATATACCACAAAAACCCAAAGGGATATGTTAGATCTGTGGTAATTTATAGAGCAATATCATGACTGCAGTTTTTACAAAGCAACATTTAACCGTATGTTGTGTGTGTCTGTGTAGCTGAAAGCCTTTGCGCTGTCCCCCAGTGGAGAGAGACTGGAGAACCCAACCACGATTGAGATAGTGGTGCTGGATCAAAACGACAACAGGCCGGCCTTCACCCAGAGCCAGTTTGTTGGCGCCATCGCTGAGTTCTCAGTCCCAGGTACAGCTCACCCTTTTCAACCAAAATGTTTAATCTGAGGTCCTCATCATTTGTTGTAGCTTTAATAGACTGAATGTTGCTTAAACGTTGAGTTTAAGTATTTTGGTGCACACCTTGTTTAGGCTGCCTCCATATGACAAAAGAAAACAGCAATAAACAAGTTTCTGAGATTCTTGATATGTTTGGAAGTGGCTGAAACATTCTATTTTTAACTCTGCATGCAGTGATAATATTCTTAAATAAGGCAAAGGGAAGAAGGTATAGAAAAAATGAACTAGTATGTATATGAGCAGGAATTATTGTTCATCTCAACCTTGACCACATTGTTAAAATTTGACTTTTTAGTGGAACTTTTGCAGCCTTATCTCTGGAGTAGCATAACTGTGATTCAGAGATTAGATTAAATTAGATTTTCCTTTATTCATCCCTCAGCTGGGAAATTAAAACTGTTAACAGCAGCAGTACACAAATCATACACATTCACACCAGGTACAAAGAACAAATAAAGAAGATAAAAGATGAAAGAACTAGTGTAAAAAAGAAGAGAGGAGTGCAAGGGAAGAACAGAATTAAAGACAGATAAGAAAGAAAAATATTAGAGATCAGTGCCAACAAAATACAGGTATGGATGAGATAATTAATTAATTAGGGGTGTATGAAGAAATATTGCACTTTTATTGTTGTTGGTGGTGTTGGTCTGCTAGGAACAGGCCTGGTTGTAGAGTGGAGGAAGGACCTGTGATGCCTTTCTGTGATGCACCATAGCTGACAAAGCCGGTTGCTGAAGGAGCTTTCTAGGCCTCTAACGTCCTGGCAGATTTTTCCTGCTGACCAAATTTTTTTAATCTCTTGACAGGTACGTCAGTAATGAGAGTGTCAGCCACCGATGCAGATGACCCAATGACAGAAAACGCTTATTTGAGCTACTCTATCATTGGCCAGGAGAGCTTTCCTGCCAACGCTGTCACTAAGACGATGTTTGGCATTAACAACCAGACAGGAGCCATCTACACAAGAGACGTCGGCCTGGACCGAGAGGTACCATGCAGGTTAAGTCGATGCTTGCAGATTTTTTATACTGATGTTCATTTCCCTAAAATGTGATATTTTCTGTTCTAGGTGGTGAAAAGTTTCCAGTTGAAGCTTCAGATTGCTGATATGGGGGGCATGGGGCTAACAAGTGAAGGAGTGGCAATCATACATGTAACTGATATCAACAACCATTTACCGCAGTTTAACCCTGCTTTGGTGAGTCTCACACACAAAGGTGTAAAAGGTTTTTTGTTAAACACATAATTTGATCAAGTTTAACAGGATGGCTTCAATGGTTAACAAAGATCATAATGTGCTCTGAGCATAATTTTGTACTACTGACTGGAATCTTTCAATCTGTGTTTTGTGCGGTGAGTGTAGTACAAGTTGACAGCTGAGGAGAACAGGCAGGACTATGAGATCGGCCGTGTGAATGTGACAGACAGAGATGACCCTGGAACTGGAAACTGGGAGGCCAAATACTCCATTAAAAACGACCCTGAAGGAAACTTTGCCATCAGAACTGATCCTTCAACCAACCAGGGCGTTCTGAGAGTGGTGAAGGTAACGTGTGAGCGTGTGCTGCTGAAAGAGTGTGTATGAGGGGTTATGTTTGTAGGGTAACCATCAAACCAGACATCTTGGTTGGATGATGGAAAGACTTTGGTTTATCTGATGTAAAATAATTCAGAGTAGGACAATATCAGATTTTCCAGTCAAATCTTTGTTTTAAAGGTAGGCTTAGAAATACTATAGTCTGACTTGGTTGAATCATACTCTTTATATAAGCACTTAAATATCCATGAAAGAAGCAGTATTATCTATGTGTATTTGGTCAATATTCATATCATAATAAATTCATGCTGTTATTCTATCATGCATGAGTGTCTGAATGTTTCAAATGGATGGTGTTTCTCATTTTAGTGCAACCATGCAGTGGGGCCTTCAGACACAAGACAGCAGCACCCTCTAGTGGTTTAGTTTTGAACTGCAAATTTTTCCCACAATTATTCTTGTGACTTTTCACACGGTTGTTAGTTTAAAAATGAGTCTGATTTGACTGAATATTTGCACGTTCATAACAGACAGGTATTCAGTAACAGGGAGTTCCTCTGAAATCTGACTAAAAATAAAGAAAAGCTGCCATAAAATAATTGTTAGAGCAAACCTTTGATGATTCATATCTTTTTACCAACTTCTAAATAACTAAATATGATTAAAAAAAAAAAACTAAATATGAAACCAATATTGAAAGTTTAACCCCGAAGATGCCAATTTATGTCAAATGCATCAGACTTTTCATTGAAAATTTTTTTTAAAACTTTATTATTCTCTTTCAAGTCACCTACGTGATGAGTTTCATTTAAGATTATACAAAGTACTTCAGGTATACTATAACAAATGAGACCAAACATCAAACTTTAAAAGATGACACACCATAGTGGTTTAAAACAGAAAAATTGCCTGAAATTGAAAATTGAAATCAACAAACAGTTGCCAGTGAGGCATAAGTATTAATCAGCAATCTTAAAAATTTGATGATTAAAAGTTTGTCTTATCGAAGCCGATCACTTTGCGACATGATTTCTGCCTCACTGAAACAGCCTTTCTTCTCTGTATTATCTCACAGTCGCTGGATTTTGAAGCCCAACATGAGTACGTCCTGATTCTTGCTGTGGAAAACCTCAGTCCTCTGAGCAGCAAGGCTGCCAACCGCCCATTGAGCACCGCCACAGTGTTGGTGACTGTTATGAACGAGAACGAAGCTCCGCTTCTCAGGGAGGACCCCATTCAGATTGTAGTCCCTGAGTCTGTGAGTCCTGGGACTTTACTGAAGAGCAACATTGCCTTTGACCCTGACTTTTCTGACCTGAGGTATGACATGGGTTCATTTTTCTAGGAAAGTGAAAACATTGTCGAATGGTGTATTTGTAACTTACCCAGTGCTCTGTGTGGCAGGTTTGAGATTAGCAGGGATCCTGAGAGGTGGCTGGATATTGACCAGGATACAGGAGACATCAGAGCAAGGAGAACCTTTAACATGCGCTCCCCACATGTAAAAAACAGTATTTACACCGCCACAGTCAAAGTTACGGGTAAGTTTATTTATTCATGTGTTTTATGTCCTTTAATAAATACAACAAAATGACTCTAATTTGATAGAAATAAACGATGAATGAACTGTTGTAACTTAATGTTACATTTCCAATTAGATGCTGATGGATTGTCCACCATGGCCACAGTGCTCATTACACTAAAAGAGACGAATGACTACCCCCCTCAGCTCTTCCCTCTAAGTGGCTCTGTGTGTCAGGATGTGAGCCGGAGTGGCTCTGGTCTGGTTTTGTCAGCAGTGGATGAAGACCTCTCTCCACATGCTGCACCCTTCACATTTGAAATGCCTGATGATCTGTCAATAAACTGGACTATAGTCCAAGTCAACGGTAAGGATGGAGAATCAGCTTTAGAGAGCCAGAGTCTAAGATGTTGTTCTTTTGAAATAACAACTTTTCTTCTTCTCAGACACTCACGCTGTGCTTCGCCCTCTGGTGGAGCTGGAGGCTGGAGAGTATGCAGTCACAGTGCTGGTGTCAGACTCTGGCAGCCCAGTTCTAGGTGCTTATGCTCAAGTTAATGTCACTGTGTGTTCCTGTGACTCTTTCGGCGAGTGCAAGTCTGAGGCTGGGGCCATCATGGGCTCCAGTGTGGGAATCAGCTTCATCGCTCTCATGGTCATCATGGCCTGTATCGCTCTTTTACTGTGTAAGTCCCCCCTGTGAACACATCATCCAGTCTCAGAGAGCTTGAATAAAGTTAGTCTGAGTTTTTTTATTCCCAGTTTAAACTGTGATCTCTCTCCATTCTGACTGCAGTGCTGCTCCTCCTGGCTGTGGCAGTGACTGCATGTGGGAGACGGCACAACATTAAGAAAGGAACTGGTCTGCTTGTTGGGGAATCAGAGGACGATATCCGTGACAATGTCTTCAATTATGATGAGCAAGGAGGTGGCGAGGAGGATGAGGTGAGACTACAGATCACAGGTCAAGAGAGGTCATGCCTAAATGCTAATGGCTACTTATAAACAGCTGCTGTTGGTATATGAATATGGCAAGATGATCCTGACGGCTGGTTTTAACGAACTCATTGGTATTAAACCATTATTATCAGTGTGTGTGTCACCAGAGATTTTTGACGTTTCCTCTCTTTCTCATCACGCAGAATGCCTTTAACATCGATCTGCTGTGGAATCCCCATGATATGCCTTCAACCCCAGGGTCCTACTACCCAGGGCCTGGTGTTCCTCGATGCAAACAGCCCCTCAGAAAGGATGCCCCACATGACCTGCCTTCACCCATCTACCCACGGAGGCCTCCTGCAGATCCTACTGACATCGAGGACTTCATCAATGATGTAAGAAGCTGCTAAAGCAATCATTTCTCACCTGAAACAACCCTAAATTTTTAGAGATATGAATGCAGTTTGTATATATAAAGCCGAGCTTCAACAGATGGCCTTCCCTGCAAAACAAAATGGATCTTTTAAATGCTTTCTAATACTACTTCACGTATTTTAGTTTGTTATTTTCTGTGTTGATTTATTTCCAAAGACATCAGATGTTTACTTTTTCACTCATATGTTAAACTCTGTGTTTCCTATAGGATTTTAGTTTCTGTGCGAGATGATTGTAGAACTTTCAAAAACAGACTCTCTATTGAGGAGTAGAGGCCACAACAACGCTTATTGTTAATATATTTGTTATTTAAAGCTCCTGTGAGGAGTTTTTTTGGCATTTATGAAATTCATTCATGATGTCTTCTTATGATGAACAAAATCACAGGACCATAAATGTACTGTTTTTGTACTGTCATTCTGAATACCTAGAGATGGAGTAAGGGGGTAGGTTTCGGTGGAGCAGCTGAAGAAAAGCCACAACTTTAAATTTTACATATAAAAATAGTCACAGTAGATGTTAACTTAGACAGTTGAAAGTCAGCAGGAGGAGATTTTTGTGAGAAGACAGTGGTCATGCATGTAGAGGACGACATATGCAAAGGCTGCTTTTTCCACAGAAGGCCCCAAAATTGACACAAACTGAAAGTTTATCACAGGAGCTTTAAAGTGAGAGCAAGATGATTTCAGAAATGAGTGTTTGAAAATATTTTCTTTGAATTTGTCATTTATTTTGTGAGTAGTTTCAGATTTTTTAAAATTAGATGTCACTGTCTCTAAAGTGATGATGACTCAATAGACAAAGTTTTTCATTCATACTGGATGTAATGCACAGAGTTGTTTTTGTACAGTGTAATTTATTATCATTAAACTAGTTTAACAGAACATCTCCTGATCTCTTATCAATGTTAAACTGTCATTCTCATCCTCTCAGGGCCTGGAGGCTGCAGACAACGACCCCAATGTTCCTCCATATGACACAGCACTGATCTATGACTACGAGGGAGAGGGCTCACTGGCAGGCAGCCTCAGCTCCATCGCTTCAGGCAGCTCTGATGGAGACCAAGACTACGACTACCTCAACAGCTGGGGACCACGCTTCCAGAAACTGGCCAACATGTATGACCCTCGTTAAGGTGGACATAAAAGACCTGTGTAATCCAGCAGCAGTCAGGGACTCAGGACATGCCTCAGGTGCTTTCCTGGACGTTCAACATTTAGTCCAGGATGAGATTTGACAAGGGCAAAAAAACAAACCCATGGGCCTCAAATCCAGTCTGCCTCAGATGTTACTGAGGGACAATTGGACCCTGGTGACAAAATGGCTTTTTGAAAAGTGTTCAGGAAAAGTAAACAAGACGGTGATTTTGTGTGTGGCAAGATCAGCTGTGAAGGGAAGGAGCTGTGCATGCTGTGAGGCGGATGGCTTTCCTTGTCTGATGTTGTTTACCCTCAGACTTGGATGGTTCTGTAATGATGCACACAACAACCCTGAGATTTGAAGCATTAAATGTATTTCCTTTTTTTATATATGTAATTATTTTATAAGATGACTTTGCTTTGATATTGATTTTGATTGTTTTTCTTTTTATCACAAATCCTCCATTCCAAAACCTGTCAACAGTTTTGGAAGCTCTCTGCGACAAACACAAAAACAACACAACACAATGTACTAAAAATACTCAGTGATCAAATTATCTGGAGGTTAAGAGTATGAATTGTGTTTTTAAACATCTTCATTGGTTTTCTGAATTTACTGGTGTCTATTGAATAAATGTAAATCTTTTATTGAGTGTGTACTGCTTTATGTATTATTCACCTACACATATACAGTACTTGATTGCACAATTTAAATCACGACACAAAAAACAGTTAAATATATTTAAATTAAAACTTTATTTTCAGATTGAGCAACACAGACCTTTGGGAATTCACATTCAGTTGTGGCAATAAATCCAAACGCAGCTCCGGATACAAAGATAACACTGCATCACCTGTTCTTTCAACTCTCTGCAGTGGCAAAAACAGGGCGTTTAGAGTAAAATCAGCCTGTCATCAACATGACAGGCATTCAAAATGCAAACCTGTTGCTCTGCATTCACTAAGCAATCCCATTTTTTTTTTTGCTGCAGCTCAAACTCAACTGTCAACTCTTGGCTTCAAACATCCACAGCAACCTTGCACAATTTCTGCGCGTTCTTAAATCCAAGTTCATTCGAATACCAAAAACAATACTGCAGACTTTGTGTGGAAGCGAGTCCCCTGCATGAACGCAAATAAACTGTAAATAGTGCATATCATCACTGAGAACGTACTAGAAACACCCCTACAGTCTACCTTTGTGGGTATAGATTGACAAATGTTGCACACGGATAACACTTCCTCTCATTTACAGTAGTGAATATCATCAATTCTTAACAGTCCAAACATCTAAAGTGTATGCCTAGTTGGTTTCCTAATAAGGTATTTCACACCAGTTTCTGCCATCAGCCCACAGTGTGAAAAATTCTATCATGTAGCACATTATTGCTCACAGCACTTAAAGTGAATGCTGATTAGTGACCTTTTTCAAGTTATGTACACCACAGGCTAGCTGGAGATAACCTGTTTAAATAGACTTTTCCAGTTCTTTTATGGTATATCAGAACTGTCTGTGTCTGTTTCACGTTATCTCAATGGGTCAGCAAACTGAAATCAAGTATAAATGTTTATTTGCAGAAAAAAATCTGCACAGGCTTCAAAGTTTTAAGAAGCTTTTATGGCTTTCCTTTGAGGTAAATATCAATATAAGCTTCAAAGGAAGAATTAAAGCAGATTTCCTCCAGCCTCTGATAATCGCCACAAAAGCAGCAGTTTGGGAATATTCCCCAGAGCTACATTTTAAGTTCAGACCAGCTGTGGGTCCATGTCTTCCTCTCGACGTTTGCGGGGAGGTGGTGGAGGTTCTTCTCCTGTGTCTTGTTTGTCTTTCTCAGCCTCCACCCAGCTCTGTGGGGCAATCATCTTCTTTGGCCCGTATGGTGATGGACCCAGCAAGGCTTCAATGTCATCGTAGTTCACCACCTCACGCTCTAACAGTGCATTGGCCAACTGGAAAAGATCAAGCACAGTGAGTTTTGACTTATAATTTATTGAAACCAAATAAAATTAAAAAGAGTGCTAAATTCTGTGACTGAAAAAAGGAAACTGTTTTGATAAAGAACTGACCAGAGTAAGCTTGTCTCTGTTGTCAAGAAGAAGCTTCTCGGTATGTCTGTAAGCACGGGCAATCAACAGCTTGGCCTCCTGGAAAGAAATCAAAAAGCAGTCAGGTTTATACTTAAGAACATGCAGCATATTAACAGTGCTTTAATGAACTGACATAAGTTCAACACTAAATTCCCCAACTTTCAGTGTACCCACGTGATCCATCTGCTGCTGCAGGCCCTGACTAAAAGGACGGCGTCCAATGGCACCTTGCTCCTCTGTTTCCGGAAACGACACCTGACCGACACTCTCACTCATGCCGTACTGCTTCACCATGGAGTAGGCCACACGTGTCACCTTACGCAGGTCATCTTGAGCTCCTGGGTTAGCAGAGAGAGAATAAGTAATTTGTGCAAACTCAAACAATCCCTGAGACAAAATATAAAAAAAGGAACATAACATACAATTACCAAAACAAGCTCTTAGATTACAATGTGTCTTCCTTTTTTTTGGCCGAAACTCTTATTGAGAGTTAGGTGTAAATCAAACTTTGATTTGTAGCAAAACAAACAAAAAGAAAAATTCTCAACTTCATGAAGAACAGAGTTTGACGTTTCAAGCTCAGAGTAACGCATGCAAACAAAACTGTCCACCATATGCTGTGGATACACAGTAAGTTGGGTGTACCTGTTGTTACTTTGTTAAAGGTGATTGCTTCAGCAGTTCTCCCTCCCAGTGCCATACACATCCGCTCAAACAGCTGCTCCTTGGTGAAGAGATGCTGGTCCCGGGGTAGGATCTGGGCAAATCCCAGGGCAGCATTTGTCCGTGGGGCGATGGACACCTGAAGAAAAAAACAAAACAAAGCAATATCTTTTTCATTTTTAGTTGTCAAAAACTGAATTTGAAGTCTTTGTATTGTTTTAATTAATTTTTCCACTGGCCCCAATCAATGAAGCATAATTGGTGCATGGTCAATCTTGCTGATTAATTTATTAAATTTTCAAAAGCCTAATTTTTTGAGGGGAAAAGGATTCTTCCAAATTTGAATGACACTTGACAAATAATCATGAAGGAACCAAAAACTTTTTCCCAAGGCTTCCCCAGTAAAACATGATAGAAAAGAAAAATACGACTTAAGCCACAAAATCAGTGGTGATGAACGTTGTTTTTCCTGAGATATAGACTGTAGTCCCATACAAAAAAAATGTTCGAAAATGACAATTGGCGTGAAAAACAGGAAAAGAGGCTAAGAGAAGAGGACTCACATAAAGTACAAAGATCACATGCTTAGTTAGTCCAAGACAAGAGACGTACATTTGTACAACATTAGATGAATTAAAAAGTGAGATGTGTCTCAAAAAGGGAAGACTGTTCATCCATCTTTGTAAAAGCGTGAGTAGAGTAGTGAAAGTTGAAAAGCTAACGTGTTGGCAAATAGAAAATTGAAAAAGCCAGGCCTCCATTATTTGTGTTTCTGTAGCTCTGGGTTAGTTTGTATGTACAACTCAGGAATAAGCATGTTTAGTCAACAAAATGATAAAACATCATCGCTCTTGCTAGTTAGCATCAGACAACACTGTTGAATTCATTCACAATATTTTATAATGCAGGTGAAAAATGCCTTTCGTATGTCTTGTCCAAGCTGTAGCACAGCCATCCCGTCTCGCAGTATTTTGATATGAAATATAAAGATTGATTTGGATATGGGCTGTGTCTGGTTTAACTGACTCTATCATATTTTTCTTCTCTTGTCTGAGGATTTCAACCTGCAGGGAGACTCATAAGCTGGCGGTGCTAGCCGTGCTTTTGTTAGCCACACTCAGCAAAGCAGTTTGACTTTGTTAACTGTGTCAAATAAGTTGAGCTGCATTTTGATTGTTAAAGGAATGTTTTTTTTGTCTGTTGGTTAAATGTTTTCTGTAGGAAATCAGTTGCCCCAGCATGAACACACTGTTTGTGAATTATGGTCCTCCTTGTTTTTTTAAACAACAAGTGCTGGTCCCATTATGTAATATGTAATTTATCATAGTAAGCAGACACCATCACCTCAGTGGTACTTTTTCATTCTTGCTTTATAATTTTAACTCAACTACTATAACTGCACTGTTGCTCAGCTCAGCCAGTATCCGAAAACAACCTACATGTTAATTGGGCACCACATGTTTAACACCTAGCTGGATGCTTCTGTCTCATTTGACACATAGTCAGATGTGTGAATGTCCAACGGAAGAAAAAAAATCACAGTTCAGTGGATAAATGGAAAAGACACCCGGGGTGGTTTGATGACTAACAGGATGTTTGGACAAATTGTTTGAATAAACTTGGAAAAAACCTGAGAACCAGAGAACTTCTTTTTAGGATTCTGAAGATGAGAAGTCGAACTCTCTGATTACATTTTAAAATACAAGCATAGCATGTAGTGAAGGGTTCCAGATTCAAACCAAATAAGGCAGGTGTTCAATCATGTGTTACCTCTTAAATCTAGAAAAAGGCAGCACATATGCTGCTCCTAGATTCAGACATGCAGGAGTGTGTTACCTTCATAACTGCCTCTGTGTGCTCAAGAAGCCATCCTACTAAAGCATGTCCAGATTCATGGAAAGCAACCACCCTCTGCTCTTCTTTAGACAGGATTTTACTCTTCTTCACACTTCCTAAACAGACACAAACACATTGTACGCAGATTTATCACATTTAGCCAGAGTAGCCACCAAGAGAGAGGTATGCTGTTGACATATTTCTGACAGTGAAAAGTACCTGCGATGACTCTTTCTACGGCGTACTCAAAATTAAAGGTGTCGATGGACTTGTATCCTTCCCTGGCAGCATGTAAGGCAGCTTCATTACAAATGTTAGCGATGTCTGCACCTGTAGAGACAAAAAAATAATCATCAGGGGGTTTGTGTTATCGTGTCCAAGGATTTTCCTTTTTTTAAATTATGATTGTTACCAGATGTGGGCCATTTTTTTATATATATATTTACCACTGAAGCCTGGAGTGAGCTCAGCCAGACGTAACGAGTAGAAGTTAGCTGGTTGGGTTAGCTTCAGAATCTTCAGATGCTGCTCGAAGATTTCCTTCCTTTCCTGATAAATAACAAAATGAATCAAAGTACTATTCAGAGTCTTCTTAGTTGTGAGCATATAAAAATACAGCTTGGCAGGATCAACAAGAATTGAAGTGATTTACTATGACTGAAATTGTAATAATGAATCTAATAGGATGTGGCTAAGTTTTGTACAGAAACTACATTTCTAGTCAACGAGGTGTGCTGTGAGTTTGAAGCATACCTGCAGTGTGGGCAGATCTATAAAGATGTGTCTGTCCAGTCTCCCTGGTCTCATCAGAGCATTGTCCAAGATATCTGCCCTATTCGTGGAAGCAAGAACAATGACATGGTCCGTTGTTCCCATTCCTGTAAACGATAAAAAGGTTTAAAGTTTCATTATTTATCAAAAAAGGATCCCTCTCAGGACAAAAATGCAACTGCTCTGAAATGCTAAACATGCTCACCATCCATCTCTACCAGCAGCTGGTTGAGGGTCTGCTCTTCCTCTGTGTTAGAGAAACCTGACATATTGGTGGAGCGCTTCTTTCCTACAGCATCGATCTCATCGATGTAGACGATGCAGGGGGCTCGGCTTCGAGCCTCCTTGAACAGACTTCTGACTCTAGCTGCACCCAGACCTTGAGACAAACAAGATAGGTAACATCAAAGCTGGCGTACAGAGAGACATGCTGAGCCTCATCTGATTTCAGAAATCCAACAAGATATACTGTAGGCCTGACATATAAAGGAAGGCATACACATTTTTCAATGTTATAAACAAATATCTATGACCAAAGTGAACGTCTATAAACAACAAACTCCCATACCTCCGATAACCTCCACAAACTCAGAGCCTGCCATGGCCAGGAAGGGCACCTGGGCCTCGGTGGCTACAGCCTTGGCCAGCAGGGTCTTGCCGCAGCCTGGAGGCCCAAGAAGTAATGAACCTTTGGGGACTTTGGCTCCCAGTTGGAGGTATCGCTCCGGGTTCTAAGACCAGATATAAATATGGAAATTGATCTTTACTCATGCAAGATTTGGATGATAGGTGGTTAGATGCAACATGATTTCAGCTGATTGGGTAGATTTGCAGCATTTGCTTCCCATAGAAAGACATGCATGTGTTATTTTCTGACACCTGGGTCTGATTACTTACCTTGAGGTAGTCCACAAATTCCTTCACTTCCATCTTGGCCTCGTGCATACCTGCTACATCTTTGAAACTCACACCTTTACCCGACTTGCCATCCACAATGGTGAACTTGGCCATCTTCAGCTGATTCTGTTGAGTGTTTGGAAGCATGCGATCAAAGTGATATTTAAGTCATTGAAACAAAATAAGAATTCTGAATGGAGGCATAACTCTTTGCTCATGTGGTCTCACTCACAAAAGCACTGAAGCCACCTTCCCTGCCGCCCATGCCCGCCAGTCGAAAGATATACCAGAGAATGGCCACACCCACGGCGGCCATTCCTAGAGCATACACGGCGCTGCAAAGTGAACAGATTTAGAAACATTTCATTAATTATCCGATATTCTTTGCTACAAGATACGAGAAAATCAGAGTTCAAAACATCAAAAATCCTGTGGGCGCTGCTTCCCAAATTAACCAGTCTGTTCGCATGCTTACATAAGCTGAGAGCACATTTCGGAGAAAGCACTCCTTCATTATGATGACAGTGTATTAGAGTTATTTTGTTCTTTATAATGTGAATAATAAGACACATTTCATCATAGAGATCTATGCCTTTTCTTCTAAATGTTCATTAATCTTCGCAGCTCCTTCTGATTGCATTTATTTCAATTAAAACTCTTTTTAGAAAATTCATTTTCTTACTTTGCAAAGAATCCAGTGCGTTTGTAAGAAACTGGTATCCTGTCCTTGGCGTCAATATGCAGCTCCTCTTCAGCAGCTCTCAGCTTCTCTTCAAATTTGTCGATGTTTGCAACCTGCATCCTGTACATTAAGGCTAGCCTCTGTAAGACAAAGGTGAAGTTAACAAGTTTCTCTGTGCTAAAGTTGACATGCAGTTTATATGAAATAAGAAGCATTCAGCAGTTTAAACATACAGGCCTTCCAAAGATAACTGCTCCAGGATGAAGGTAAATTTCAACAATGTCACTCTCAGGGACGACTTGGACACGTGACACTTCTCCCTTGGCCAGCATCTCATTCACAAAGTCATTCCAGGAGATGTTACCACCACTGGTATTAATGGAGTTCATCAGGCTCATGATGAGTGCAATGATGAAGAGGGCTCTGAGGCGCTCCCGGTACATCTGGTCCTCCTGCTCACGACGTTTCTTCTCCTCTAAATGGTGAAGTTGATTGTCAAGGGAAAAAAAAGTATAATTTCAGAAGAAAAGTTGAAGTCTTTGCGAGAAGAGTTGAGATGAAGGAGCAGCTATGTTCAAAGCAGTTCATACAATGTGGCACTGACCTTCATCTTCCTCAGGAGTTTTTCCCTTCGGTCCACCGCCTGTATTTTTCTCCTGTCTGGACTGTGATGTGCTGAAGAAGTTTCTTGCTCCTGAAATTACAGGTTTATCACTATATGAACATCAAGAGTAACACTAAAAATATATTTGTAGGTGAGAAAGTAAACAGAATACTTACCTAACAGATTCATCAAACCAACGGGGTTTCTCATCAGGTTGCTTCTGATTAACTCTTTACTGAGTCCCACCAGGCCAGGACCCAAAGGTCTATGGAGAAGGCTCTAGATCGGAAACACAAGGACAACTGAACATTTTGGCTGCACTGAAAGAATTCTTTAACACTGATAACAAATAGGGGAGGGTGGGGTAAGATGAGCCACTTTTCAAGGAACAGGGGGTGGCTCATCTTACCCCACTCTCCCCTATAGTTTGTGATGTGAAAGATTTTTAAGAGGAATTATAAATGCCATCAACAACTTCTGCAGGTCGAGGCAATGAGGAAAAGGTGAATTCCTCCAGTATACTAACATTTGGGTTTATTATCCTGCGTTTACACTTCAAAGTACAGGGTTTCAGATCAGTTAAAGTAAACACTTAAACAAACCTGGTGCACAGGCCAAATCTGACAGAGCTTTACATTCATTCATCTGTCGTGTTTGATGTTTTACTGAGACTCACCTGAATGACTTCGTATTGCTGGTTTGTAAGAGTCCTCTCTGATTTTGTAAGAAGCATCTTTCTGACACAATACCATCTTGACAAAACATTTCGGACCCTGCCGCTGGATGTTAGCGTGTTTGCTAACAGGTGGGAATTCGGTTTTGTCAGAGCCCATAACAAACCTCTGCTGTATTTCCTACACAGAACGGCGCGGTGCTGAAACAATAAGGCTGACATGATGTCTGTTATCACTGAATGCAATATACTAACTATTACCTCGCAGTAACATAGCTGTAAGTGTTCTGTTCGTTCGGGTTTCTGTTTGTTTATATGCACTTCTGCTGACAGCTAGCTTGCTATGTTATTCAACCGCGTAAGCGAGCAAAGATGTCAGCTCGAAATCGACTCTACAACAACAACAACACTCACAGTTTCCTGCACGGGTGTAAGAAAGCAATTAAAACAAGTACTGACACTTAGTAAGGTGCAATATTCCTTTGCTTTGATTGCTTTGGAATCAGCATCGACAAGGATTTGATATACCTACGCTTTTCTTCTATACATTAACTCATCTCAGAGGCTTTAAAAAATCTTTGTTTTGAACTCTGAACTCCGACCTTTCTGTATTCACGCACTGACGCACTGCGCCGCGTTAGCGCAAGACTACCGCATGCGAACGCCGCGGTCTTATGCGTCACTTTTTATTTACCAGGCAATTATGCCGTTTGATTACATGAATTAAGATTTTTAATGCAGATAAATTCTATCCACCACTTTAGTTAACATAGCTGACGCGCATTCATGCGGCAAAGCGGAATCACTGCGCAGTCAGAATGGTAGAGTTATACAATTGTCCTCAATACGACTTGAGGCAAACAGGTTGTTTATAGTTACCTTATTGTGAGATTTGAACGATAAAAAAAACGCACCGTAAACAAAAAAATCTCACAAAATGTATGTTTTACACAGCCTGGTTTTCGACAAATACAAACATCGCCATTTTTTACATATTAGTATAAAAACAAACAAGAAATTATATAAACACAACAATATCAACTGATTGTACAGTCATAGTGGAAATTTGATATAAATTTTAATAGCTTTGAAATCTCTTGATTTTTTTATGCTTTATTCAGAGTTAACAAAATTATAATTCCAAACATAGCAGAATCATTTCAATACAGTAATTTTAATATTGAAAGTACATATCAATGAGAAATACTTAACAGCGTGGTAAAGCGACAATGCATGTATAGACAGGGAAAAAAACAGTAGGGTGATGAAATGAGGTAGATCGTGAAGAACAACAAGCAAACAGACACATAAAAGTAGATAGATAAACAAAATAATTTATGCTATGCAAAACTTAACAAGGGTTTTCTTTCTTTTTAAAAACATTTAAGCTGTTCATTTCAGTGGTAAAATGAAAATAATAAATCTGGGAGATTGAAACCTCTTGATACTAAATAGCCCACATTTGCCCTTCAGTAATATAGTAATAACGTCGCATTTATCCAGCAGAGAGCGCTATTGGCTGACTGGCTGTATTCGTTACGGACTAGTCCAAACGTTGATTATATAATTTTTTAAAGTAAAATTAATGAAAAACAACACACAGCATTCCGTCACACGTTTTTAATTTAGAAATATGTTTTTATATTTCTGTTGGAGCTTGGCCAAAATGTATACTTTATAAGTTTGAGTAAGAATGGCAATAACATAATTAATATGCAGCACATTCTGTCGTACGTGTAAAATTAAGAAATGTATCTAACATTTCAGCCAATCTGTTGGAATTTCTTACAAATAAACAAATTATGTCTAAACTTCAAACACCTGTCCTGAAAATTAGCTGGCGGAGATTTCTGCAACCAGGATAAAAACATGCAGATTTGCGCCCAACGTATTCCTGTTGTAAATAATCGAGGCAGTGATGTCATGAACGCGACGTGTTCACGTCAGTTTGATTGACACACGAAAAAACCAATGAGAATGCAGAACTTTACTCGGAGCCTATCAAAGCTTTTATTTCATCGTTTGGCCGTTTCCTCGAATCGTGGGTGCGTTTGTTTTGTAAAACTTTCACGCTCCGTACTCCTACATGGTCTGTTGTGGCCACTAATTATTACTCGTATTTGTGTTTTCTTGACTCATTCGACCAACTACAACTTTTTCCTCTTAACTATGTAAATTAAGCGATTAATACTTAAAAAATCGTTTTTGCAGTCAGGTGTCAGTCGCTTTGGATGCTGCATACACCATTAATCTAATTGTCTTAGTTCCTATCTAATATAAATACCAACAAATCTCATGTTTTACTTTCTAGTGACACACATACGTCACCTATGATCCATTAATAAAACAAAACAACACTTAAAATGCACACTTGAGCTCTGGAGATGTAGAAAACAAGTACACCCAATCAATGTACTCCATTTCCTTTCCGAAGTCTACAACTATATAATGGAGTGTGGACTCTAGCGTCTGAAACTGTGTAATATGGTCAGCCACGTTGGATCCGCGTTTGTGTTCGTGTTGAACCAACAGCAGCCTTTATGATAGATCCAAAATGGCGTCAGTTTCATTCCGTGAGGAAACGCCCACTACGCCAGAGCCAATCAGTGAGCTCGTCTCAGTCCCAAAGCGTTTCCGTCCCGAGCGTCCATACACCGGAGTCAAAGGCCGCTCGAAAACCGCTCGTAGTGGCTGGCGGAGAGGATTAACCGAAACAAAATATGATCTTTTGATGGTTTACGTCCAACCAAGCAAGCTCACTGTCGTGCAAATGGAGTGTCTAAGGTTCGTTGTACGTGGCGAAGACGAAATAACTACACTGTAAGCGAATTTTCGTGGATATTTTCTGTTTTTCGCTCTGGACGTCTGTTTGTTGGTCTACACGGTTTTAACAAGCTAGCGCTTAGCTTCAATTCCAGTGAGCTGCTCTGAGCTGCAATGGTCGACGCGAGTTTACGCATATGCCTCCGGACCAGTCGACACTGAACCGACGGCAACAAATGGGACCTTCCAGCATCGGCCGAAAACATCGTGGCGTAGACTAAATATTTGTGGTTGACTTATCTATTTGAACTTGTGGAAATTCACACTGAGGTAAGACGCATTTTTGTTAGTCCTGCATTGCTGTTGCGTTTACAATAACAAACTGACACGCTGCCCTGTTGGGATCTGTATTTTTTTTACTGTGCTGCGACAAGGGTCAACTCTCCTCATTCAGATTATTTTGTTAGAAGTATGAAGATGGTCTTAACGCAATATGTGGTCCCAAGTATAACCCCATTTATAAATGAAATCCGCAGATATGTAAGCACGCTGCTCAGCTTTTTGGACGTAGCCTTTCTTTGAATGTAGTTTGATATAAGATGCACGATTTTATTTTATTTATACCTGTAATAGATCTTTGACCATGTGCATCAAGGGGATAAATAACACTGTTTTAGGAATTTAATGTCTTGTCTAATGTGGGAGACATTATTATTGCTTTATAGATTGTAATGGTGTATGCACGTGTGCGCAGATCTTGTGTGTCCTCCTCAGTCTTATGAGCAACAGGGAATTAACTTAGGCTCTCTTTCTACTTTTTAGTTTACAAGTTATATTAAGATGTGGTGTGTTCATGCTCTTAAAATTCGCATTCAGTCCTTGCAACGTCTCTTACAACAGGTACCACAAATGAAACTGCAGTGTATACCTATTATTTATGTTGGGGTAAAGTTGCTTGTATCTAAGTGAAATGAATTCCAGTCATGAAGCACTGTCTTGTCTATATGTTAGACTGCTCCAGCACTAAAGCAAAACGGATGTGCTACATGCCCTCCAATTTGAAGAGCCATGAATCTATTTGTCAGAAGTGAAACACATGAAAGTGATATATATCTCTTCCCTTCCTGTCCACAAGCTATGCAGATTCATTAGAGACTCTATGTAAACAGTTTGCAGGCTGACAGTGGACTGCACAGAAACGATTACTGTCACAATTACCAAAGTCAGGTCAGTCTGGTGCTTGTGTTTCTGTCTTCAAAACACAGTAAAGGAGGGGCACGATGTGGTGGGGTTTGAAATGAGCTGGAGAGGAAATAGAGTATGGAGGAGAAGCTCTCCACTTTGGTGCAGTACCAATGCTGAGGAAAACACTGCAGTGCCGCTGGTGGTGTTTTCCACCAAGATACTGAGAGTGTTTTAGCTTGTTGGGCGTTCATGTTGACTACACTGCAGAGGCAGTGATGCATATCTGTTTCCTTAGAGGTTGCATGGTTCCTATTTCTCTATTATAGTTAAAGCCTCAGCACAAATGTTATCACGTGCGTTGGTCTGTTTACAAGAGGATGGTGATGTGTGTAAATTTAAATAGGTGCTCTTCTGGTAAATGTTATCCACATTATTTCATCAATGATGTTTTCTCATTGATTCTGTGAAGACTTCAAATCTAGTCTTTTACATTTTCTTGTCAGGAACTAGTATTTAACTTTATAAAGTGTTTTGCTGTTGGCTCAGAAGTACAGGTCTAATGCAGTACTGGTGTCTTTGAGAAGTGTGTGTCGGTGTTTCTCCAGTCAAACCAATTTAAATTTCAGTTAAACCCAAATGAAGGGCACCTGGTGATGAAAGTAACAACATAAACACGCCTGAGCGCTCTGTTTTCTTTCTCAACTCTTGGAGTGAAGTTGCTGATCTGACTCTTGAGCAGCTTGTAACGTATTTCCTCAAGCATACTTAACCTCAAAAACAAGGAAGAAGAAGGTTACTCGTGTTGAGTTCATCAAAAACACAAATGAGCTGATAAATACTGACAAAACATCACAAAGCAGGGGAACAGGAAGCTCCTGATTTCTGTGTTTGGGTTGCTTGTCAGCCACATTTGCCGAGGACATCCAGATGGTTCCAAGCATCATTGAATAACCTTCTGTGTACATGTGCTGAACCTGAGACAGTGGAAACCAAAATACAGAAAACGAGATTTCCTCAAAACAATAAAAGGCCTCCAGGGGATAAAATGAGAGTACAAATAGAGAGGACTCTGCAGTAGTGGCAAAATTCATCATCTATTCAGAACATCAACAGCAAACTCTGACATCTGAATGTTTTGCTTGAGGAAAACTACAGTTCAAGGTGGAAATCTATTGAATGTGTTCTGATTGACTTGGTGTGTACTTCCAGCAACGATTGTCTGTGACATTTGTGTGGACAGTTGGCCCCAGGTTTGCAATACCTCTACTTAGCTTTGCCTGTTTTGACAGATCCTGGTGTATGAATTGATCAGTCTCTTGCAGCCACCCCCAGAAAAGAACTGTTATTTATTCACACTGACATGTAAACATCAGTTTTTAAGGTTTGTGACTTTTATGGAGAAAAAAAAAAGTTGTGTTCACAATGCTTGCTGACAAGGTTTGTACTTGATTTAGCATCATGATTTAGTTGTTTCTGTATGTTTGTTATGATAATCGACAGAACCATCAATGCAGTGTGGGGTTGTTGGACCGTGTTTGCAGATGTTAGGATTTTCTCAGCCTGTTTTAAAGTTAGATTTTTGGGCATTTGGCATTTATTGGATAGGACAGTGAAGGGAGAGAGGAAGTG